GCCTTCGCTTTCAGCTCCTGCACCTCGGCGCGGGCGAGCTGCTCGATCGTTTTCGAATAGCCACCCCTGATGTCCACGCGGTAGCAAGTTCCGAGGATCTTGTGTTCCTCGGTGTCCTTGCACTCCTTCTCGACGCGTGTAACATCGAACCCACGCTGGGCGTAAACTGACAACGGCAGATACTCCCCGCCCACTTGGGCAACCTCCTGCTCGATCCGAGTCGTCGTGAGAGTCTGGACGAACAGCTCCTCGAGCTGATCCTTACCAGCCTTCTCCTTTGCATCTTGCCAGAACTTCGCTTGCACTGAGGAGTCAAGCCTCCTGAAGCTGGCAGGTGGCCACGATCCGAACAAGCGGGGCAACTGCGTTCCGCGCGTGTTGCACTTTTCGCACTTCCACGAGCCCTGGCCTTTCCCAATCAGTGGTGCCCTCAAGACATCGACCTCTTGCTTGCACCTGTAGCACGTTGGGTTCGACGGCTCGTGCTTGACCTCAGGACCTTGCCAGACGAAGACCTCGCCTGGAGTGGGAGTCGGCTTGAGCACCGGGGGAGAAGCCTTGTCTGCCACCTCCTGAGTCGGAGTCGGCGAGCAGGCGGCGTCTTCGACGGCAAGCGGTTCGGACGAGGCAGCGGCCCCCGACGAGGCAACATCGTCGCCTTCGGGCGCATCCTCGAAGTCTCCCAAGTCGGCCACCTCAGGAGCTGCGAGCGCCAGCGTCGTCGCCGTCGGGCTATCGGCAGCCTCCGAGCCAGAGACAACCGACCCAGGCGACTTGAACTTTGTCCACCAAGCAACTGTTGCGTCATTCGCCATCTCGACGGTGGCCGTCTTGCTCTTTGACTTGGCCTTGGCTTTGGCCTTGCCCTTGGCCTTAGCCGTCGGCACGGGCGCCGCGGCAGGCGGTGGCATCAAGGCCAACTGCAGCGACATCGGAACCGCGAGAGGCGAGATGGGACTCGGGGGCGCAGAAGCAAGGAGCCCGCGCGCGTTGCCCTGCAAGCACAACGGCTGCGGATGGAGGAGAGGAGGATGCGGTACGTGGAGAGAAAAAAAACAACTGGTCCAGAACACGATCTGTGCAAATGTTTTCCCCTGGAGGTACGCGAAGGCGCGGAGAGAAGAGAAGAACGGATCCTATCGAGTCGCGCTTCGTTATAGCAGAACGGTTTCAATCGAGACGAGGGAGGGGTAAGATAAACGGAGTACCACGCTCAGTGTGCCAGAGGAAAAGGAGGATTTGTTTCGATTTCATTCGCACGCTCGGTTTGAGCTTCAGGGCGGGCGAAGGTGGATGTCCACGATGGCGGGCGGCAAAATATCTGAAACCGCGGAGGAGGGCGATGACGGCCGATGACATCCGATAAGCCCGATAACATACCGATAACATCCGATAACAACCGATAACATACCGATAACAGTTATCGGATGTCGCGCTAACATGCGATAACATCCGATAACGATCACCGATAACACCCGATAACAACGTTATCGGATGCACTTTCGGCTCCGATAACCGTTATCGGATTTGCAAGTTCGGGCTCCGATTAACCGTTTTTTTTTTTTTTTTTTTATTTTTTATTTTTTATTTTTTTTTTTTTTTAGTTTTTTGTTTTTTTTTGTTTTTTTTTTTTTTTTTTTTTTTTTTTTTTTTTTTTTTTTTTTTATCCGTTTTTGTATTTGTTTCTTTTTTTTTTTTTTTTTTTTTTTTTTTTTTTTTTTTTTATTTTTTTTTTTTTTTTTTTTTTTTTTTTTTTATCATTTTTTTTCTTTTTTTTATTTGTTTTTTTTTTTTTTTTTATTTTTTTAGTTTTTTTTTTTATTTTTTTTATTGTTTTTTCCGTTTTTTTTTTTTTTTTTTTTTTTTTTTTTTATATTTTTTTTTTTTTGTTTTTTGTTTTTTTTTTTTTTTTTTTTTTTTTTTTTTTTTTTTTTTTATCGGACGTTATCGGACGTTATCGGACGTTATCGGATGTTATTGTGATGTTATCGGATGTGGTTTCGTTGCCGATAACATAGCGTTATCGGCGTTATCGGTTGTTATCGGTCGATCCGATAACATCGTTATCGAAACGTTATCGGTCGTTACCGGTTGTTATCGGTCACATCGTTGAGTAGCGAATGATCCGCTGTATGGCGGTCGACCCGCCGATGCCCTTCCCTTGGCGGATGATCCGCCGATCAGCGAGTGAACCGCTCGTGACAATGATCCAAGATGATGAGCGCAGCGACGAGGAAGGTGTGCTGGTGTTCCCAGCAAAGATTCGGCGTCCGAGCCCGCGAATGAGCACCCGACGTGGGCGTGCTAAGCGAGGCGCCGACGCGCGTGGCCAAAACCTGAGCTCCGCCAGCAGCCTAGCGCAGGGGGAGCACGCGCGTCGGCTGGACGTACGACTCGATCACCTCGACGCACTGCTGGATGCACGTGACCTCCTCGTTGAACGCCCGAGCCGCTTTGGCGCAGAGGTTGGCCGCGCTCTCCGCCGAGACCTTGGCACGCTTCAGCGAGTCGACGCAGGCCCTCACCTGCATCTCCGAGAGCGTGGTGCGACCCGTGCCAGCACCCGTCGGCGGCGCGCTGATGGCGGGCTCCGCGGTGGGCTGCCACGGCAAGCTCTTGCGCTGCTTCTTCTGCCACCTGTCCTGCTCCTCGGCCCACTTCTTCTTGTCGACCTCCCAGGACTCGATCAAGTTGAAGTCGACGGCCGATTCAGCCTCGGAGCGCTCGAGCTCGTGGTAGGGCGACGTCACCAAGTGATGGATGATCGACTCCACGGCATCCTCGTACGAGTGGCACGACTTGATGGTCGCCGAGCGCTTGCTGCACTGCGAGCCAAAGGGGCACTTCCCACCCCACATGATCCACGTCGGGCTACCGTCGTCAGCGTGCGCGGCAGCAGGCTGGACATCAGCGGAGGAGGACGCAGCGTCCGACATGGATGCGGAAGCTGGCGGCGACGGGCGGCCCACGTGCGCTTCGCGTTCGAGCCAAAACGCCTATACAGAAAAAACGGTGCGAGAGCATGTGCGTGGCGAACACACAGGCGGGTAAACCGCCATGGCGGGTGAGCCGCCGAGGAAGCACACGCGTGACGCGCGCGCAGCGACACTCGTGCACACACAGGCGGATAAACCGCCATGGCGGATGAACCGCCGAGGAAGTACGCGTATTTTTTTCCAAGAACAATAGCGCGCGTCACAGGAAGTGCAACGGCCCGCGCCCGCTGGCGTCCTGCGAATTGGTCGCCCGCCGCTTAGGCCTGCGATGCGGCGACGGCGTCCGAGGCGCGGGGCGCTTGGACGCGGGCTGGAGGACGTTCTTGACCACGTGCGCGCCCTTGCCCTTGTCCGCGCCCTTGTGGCCGCCCTTGCTCTTGACGGCCGTGCCCTTGCGAACGCCCTTGTCGGAGCCCTTGTCCGTGTTCTCGTCGGAGCCCTTGCCGTGCTTGCCAGCAGTGCCCTTGCTGGAGACCGCCTCCTTGCTCTTGCCCTTGGCCGCGGGCCGCGCGATCGGCACGGGCGCGACCATCTTGGGCGTCGGGCGCGCCTTGCTGGTCGGAGGGTCGACCGTCGGCAGCACCATCCTCGGCTGGTGGGCCTTCGGTGGGGCGGCCATCATGCGCGCGACCGCCTTGGACTTGCTCGCGCGAGCGGCCTCGTCCTCCTGGAAGGCCTGGGCGCCTCGCTCCATGCCGAACTTCGCCACGAAGCTGTCTTGCCGCAAGCTGCGGCGTCGGTCCTCGTCCCCGAGGAAAGCCTCCGTGCCTCGCTCCTTGCCGAACTTCGCCTGGAACTCGGCAAGCCGCACGCTGCGGCCGCCGCGGGAGCCCCACCGACCGCTGTTCTGCCTCCAGGCTTGGCCCCTCCACTCCGTGGGCCCTCCCTGCAATGGGCCAGGGGGACCCCGCTGCCTGAATTTCTTGTGGCACTGGAACTCCAAGATCAGCGTCTTCTCGACGTTGATGACGGCGGGGTCGTTCCAGTCCACGGAGAGCGGACTCATCACCATGAGCAAGGCGATCCGCGCGAACTCTGGATCCCGCAGCATGAGCTGCTGGACGCGTTCCGCCGCGCCGTCGGGCATGGGCGCGTCGCCCGCGGAGTTCGCGTCGCCTTCACGCAGGACGTTGTCGACCGAGCGCTCCAGAGCGTCGACGTCGACGACCTGCTCTCGAGGGCGAACGGGGCGATCGACCTCCACCTCAAGAGTCGCCGACGCAGCAGAGCTCGACGCAGCAGCTGCAGGCTCCTCCAGCGGGGTGTCGCGGACGTCCGCAGCCTCCACGTGGCCAGAGTCCTCGAGCACCTTCCTGAGGCAGCCGATCACGTGCGACCTCTCGGCGTCCATCTGATCGAACGCACCGTCGGCCTCTTCGAAGAAGCTCTGGAGGTCCTCGAAGGCGGACCTCTTCGGCGCCGCCATGGCGCCCTGCGCGCCGAGCCCGCCGCGCGCGCCCGCGCGCGCCCCTGCGAGCGCAAACGGCTACGCCATCGAACGCGCATGAACCTCCATTTTTGCCCGTTCTGGTCCAGAACCGCTACCGTTCTGGCCTAGAACCGCCACCGTTCTGCCCCTGTGGCTTCGATTCAGAGCGGGGGCGGTTCTGGACCAGAGCGGCGGTTCCCTTTTCACTGGCAAACTTCTGCTCGGTCTCATCCCTTCCTAGTCATGCCATCCCTCCATATTCCTGCTCAGACCTCCCTGCCCCGACCTGGCACAACGTGGTAAGTAGCGGATGGTCCGCTGAAAGCGGTTGACCCGCACTTTTTTTCAACGCCTTTTCTTTCAAAGCAGTGGCGCGCATAGAGGTGCAACGAGTTCACAGAAGAACGAGCTTCATCACGAGCGCAACGCGCGCCAGGCGAAGAAACCAAAAGCCGATGCCATCCGTAGCACTACCCACGTCATGGCAAAGTGCTCATACTGACGGCCATCCGTCGGCATGGCTGCGCTGAATATGGCACGCGTCGTGCCGACAGCTACGCGTAGCCGTCACCCCCTCAGCCGACGCGCAGCCGATTCTCGATCCACTGCTTGGCGGCCTTCTCGGACGTCTCCTTCGTGTAGCCTGTGTTCGGGCCCCATTTGAACACCTTGGTCGAGCCAGGGCCCCTCCCGTAGTGCGCGACGCACTGGCTGCGCGTGTTCTCCACGCTGATTTTGGTCACCACCGCCGCCTTGCCAACAGGTGCCGACGCTGGTTTCTTCAGCACGCATGTCTTGGCAGCGGGCTTCGCCTTGGCCTTCGCTTTGGCCTTGGTCTCCTTCTCCTGCTGCATGGCAGCGTGTACCTGCATGGCCGCTGCTTCCACAGAGTCCACCTTCTTCGCTTTCTTCGCCTGCGGGGCCCCTCCTGCAGAGGCACCCGCCGAGTGGGCGTCCTCGAGGGCGAACTGACTGGGCTGAGGCTGCGGCGGCTGATGCTGCTGCTGCTGCTGCTGCTGTTGCAGCTGTTCCTGGAGCTGCTTGACCTGCAATTGCAGGTTGTAGTTGTCTTGCTGCTGCTGCTGCAACTGCTGCTGCTGCTGTTGCTGCGGGGGGTCCGTTACCGCGAGCTGCCCTGCGGCCGACGTCGCAGCCGCTTGCACGCCAGCGAGGCTGCGCGGCTGCTTCCCTGCGAACGTCAACACCGCACCGTTCGCGAGCCTCTCTTGCTGAGGCTGCTGCAGCGTCTGACCCATCATAGTCTGCAGAGCCTGCAAAAGTGGCGCCGACGACGCGGACCCTGCGCGCTGCCTCTCGCGCCACTTGAACGATTTAGCCACCACGGAGACATCGACGAAAGACACTCCGATGCTCGCAGGACCACCGCCGCCGTACGCAGAGGCCCACGTGGCGGGGAACGCAGCTCGGAACGCGTCGGGGTCAGCTGGGGGCGCGGCCATCTTCTCCAAGGGCTCTGCCTTGACCATGCCCTTCCACATCGTCTTGATGTGGTCAAAGGTGTCTTTCAAGAAGTGGGGGCTCATGCTGCGGGCCGCTGGGGCCCCATCTACGCAGATCGCCACGAGGGCCGTCACGTGCGCGAGGGTGCCTTCTGACGGGTTCTTGAGGCCCAGCTTCGACGAGAGAAACGACAGAACAGACCGAGCCTTGTGCAAGACGTCCCCATGGGGGTCGCTGAGCACGGCCCACACTTCACCACTCAAGAAATACGGGAAATGCTCGAAGTCCTGCGACTTCCACGCCCCGCCGCTGCTCGAGGCTGCCGTGGCCAAGGCGTTCTGCAACAGCTGTGCGTCGGCAGGCGCGAAGCCGTCTTGCTGCGCCAAACCCGCGAGACGAATGAGCAACTGGCCCTGCGGGCGCACCAATCCGACGAGCTCGACCAGCCGAGCAGCCTGTGCACCCGACGCCTGCTTCCACGCGGCTTCGCCCTGGTCCCTCGCAGCGCGCAGTAAGGGGCCCACCCCCTCGGCGCGCTGAAGGAGCTCCTGCTGGAGCGCCATTCTCGTGCAGGAGACGCGCCGCCGCCCCGCGGCAGCCCGAGCCAAAAGGGGCTGCGATAAAAGGCTGCGACGAAAGGCGGAAAAGGCTGCGGATGGGGGGGGAAGAGGGAGGAGGCGAGTGACCCGCCGACAGAAGATGGCGTAGAGCCGCCCGAGAACGCGGCTGATCCGCAAGATCGAAGGATGGGGGGCGCGCGGTTGATCCGCGGAAGGGGTGGGGAGGGGAAATGCGGCTGATCCGCAGAATGAGAGCATGCGGATCAGGAGGAAAGAAAGCGGTTGATCCGCCGCAGCATGCAAAGATAAGGAAGGCGGTGATCCGCCGAAGAGGGATGAGGAGGAGGATCAAGAAGGCGGTAATCCGCCGATGAGGGAGGAGGAGGAGGAGGAGGAGGAAGGCGGTAACCCGCCGAAGAGGGACGAGGAGGAGGATCGAGAAGGCGGTAAGAGGGATGAGGAGGATCGAGAAGGCGGTAATCCGCCGAAGAGGGAGGATGAGGAGGAAGGCGGTAATCCGCCGAAGAAGGATGAGGAGGAGGATCAAGAAGGCGGTAATCCGCCGAAGAGGGAGGAGGAGGAGGAGGAGGAGGAGGAGGAAGGCGGTAACCCGCCGAAGAGGGACGAGGAGGAGGATCGAGAAGGCGGTAAGAGGGATGAGGAGGATCGAGAAGGCGGTAATCCGCCGAAGAGGGATGATGAGGAGGAAGGCGGTAATCCGCCGAAGAAGGATGAGGAGGAGGATCAACAAGGCGGTAATCCGCCGAAGAGGGAGGAGGAGGAGGAGGAGGAGGAGGAGGAGGAGGAGGAGGAGCAGGAACATATGGAGGAGGAGTTTTTTTGGCGTAACCTGACAAACGCTCAACGATCATCAAGCAAGCGCGCCCAGAAAACACTCACAACGCAGGCAAACCGCAGGTCCAACCAGCAGACGACGCCAACCAAAAAAACTGGCGCCCTTAAAAAAACAAACATCCGAACAAACACCTAGACTTATTCGACTTATTAAGTTGGCTAATAAGTGTATATATGTGTGTAGTTAAGTCTCTGTTAGCTACATGTTATGTGACATATTAGTATGTATGATGTTAACTATATGTACTACAAGCTACAACAACTCTGTCGGCCATCCAAGCACCTGGTCGTACGCCTTGCTCCAATCGAGGGCTGCGCCGACGACCTCCTCGGACAGGGCGTCGGCGGACTCGAGTTCCAAGGCCAACTCCCACGCCTGCTCGTTTGCGCCGCGGCGCCAGGAATCCCCTTCCCAAGCGCAGCGCCACTGCGCGAAGAGGCGGGCGCGCCCGGCCGCCCAATGCCGATAAAGAATCGGAAGGAGCCAGATCGGCCGGCGCTCCAGCGGGCCCTGGCCGCCCCCAGGCTTTGGGAGCAGCAGGCCCTCCGCCTCGGCGAGCTCGCGCGGCCACTCGCCGCGGGCCTCCACCTCCTCGAACAGGTCGGCGATCCATCCGTGCAGCTCGGCAGGCAGCAACCGGAGCTCGCTGACAGCCCAAGCGTCGAGCCCCGGCTTCTTCCGCTTTGGCATCCGCGCAGCAGCCAGCCGACCATCCCTGCTGTCCATGGGGTCCGGTCGGGGAATGGCGGCAGACCATCGAGCTCCTGCAGCCACTCCTCCGCGACCGGCGGTGCGGGTGGGGCCTGCCAGATCGCCTTCCAGGGCCCCTCGAAGTACCGCAGGCGCGCCGCAGGGCCGCCCTGCAAGGCCAGCAATCACGGGCGGCTGCCAGGAGCTTCTCCGCCAACCCCGCCAGCAGGCACGAGCTCAGCTTCGATGCGACCGCCGCCGCGGATCCAACGATACAGCCGCCCCTGGCGGTTCGCGAGCGAATCCTCCACCCAGCGGTGCCACTCAGTCTGCCGGCGCGATCGCGCCGCCGCGCGCGCCTGCTGCCAGGCCGCTTCAGCGCGCACCACCATCGCCTCGGGGACCGGGGCGTCAAGCTGCATAGTCTTAAATCTCACGCCCACATAGTCTTAAATCTCACCCTTACCTCCCCCCCCCCCCTCCTCCCTCGAAAACCGAGGGGGGGTCACTACCGGTTCGAAACCCTCCCACCCCACCCCCCCTTCCGGACCGGAAAACGGGGGGGGTCACTTACGGTTCGAACCCCCCCCCCCCTCGAAAACCAACCGGAGGGGGGCCACTACCGTTTCGACCCCCCCCCCCCACACGCACCGCCAGCAAACGACTCCCGGTCCCTACCACCGTCCGCATCACATCCCCCACTGTTGTTCCCAGCACCACTGTCCTCACCACCGCTGTCCCCACTGGTTCCACCACCGCCCCTACTGTCCCCACCAGTGGCCCCACCACTGTCGCACTGTCCCCGCTGTCCCCAGAACTGTTCCCACCACGGTTCCACTCTCCCCACTGTCTCCACGGACCCAACCACTGCTTATCCCCATTGTCCCCACTGTCCCACTGACTCCTCCGCTGTCCCACTGAGCTGTCCCACTGTTTCCACCACTGTCCCCACTGTCCCCACCACTGTCCCCACTGAACCTCTGTCCCATTGTCCCACCGCCGTCCTCGCCACCGCCTTTACCAGTGTCTCCACCACCATTGTACCCTCCACTGTCCCAGTGTTTCCACCTCATTCCCACTGTCCCCACACCACTGTCCCCACCACCACCGTTCCCACCACTGTCCACTGTTCCCCCTGTTCCCACCATTGTCCCCACCACTGTCCCCACCACTACCGTCCCCACCACTGTCCCACTGTCCCCCCGCTGTCCCCACCACTGTCCCGCTGTCCCCTCACCACTGTCCCCACCAACACCGTCCCCACCACTGTCCGCACCCCCACTCGGTTTTCGAGGGGGGGGAGGGGGGGGGGTTTCGAACCGGTAGTGACCCCCACCCCCTTTTCATGATGAGCTGGGGGGGGGGGGGAGGGGTTCGAACCGGTAGTCACCCCCCCGGTTTTCGGAGGGGGGGGGGGGGGGGGTTCGAAACCGGTAGTGACCCCCCCCGGTTTTTTCGCCAGCAGCGGTAGAAACACGACTCTTTCACATAACATATACATATACATATACATATACATAGACATATATTACATATACATATACATTTGACATTGCAATACATGTTACATACACACATATAAATACATACATACATAAATAATACATTACATACATACTTTATACATAACATACATACATTACATACATACATACATACTGCACCTATATATATTATATATATATATATGACTATATATATATATATATTATAGATATTATATTATCCCGGGAGCCGACGACTGGAACGAAAAAATCCCCAGAGATTTCCCCCACCCTTTCCCAGATGCTCTGGGTCTCCGTCTGCCCCCCGCCTTCCTCCGGTAATCTCTCCGCAGCTTCCCGGGCCGGGCGAACGGGGGGGGATAGCAAAGGGGGGGGAGAATCAACTCACGTGCGTAATTAGCTGATTTCCCCGGCGCCTCCAGGCGCCAGAGGCGGCCACGTATCGAGGAGTTGGCCCCTCGATGGGGCCGAAGCCAGCTGCGTGCAGCAGCTTTCGCACCCCCCCCCTTTCCCGATCCCCCCCCCCTTTCGTCCGGCCCGAGCTTCCTGGGCGGCGAGGGTCCACTGTGCCCGTGCGTGCTTCTTCCCCTCCCGACGTGCGCGGGGAGCTGCGCGCGGCCGGGCGGGCGCGCAGCAGGAGCACGGCACGACCCAGCGGGGGGCACCGACCGAGGGGCCTGCCGACCCCTGTCCCGGGCCTCGTGGGGCTCTCTCGAGCAGACCAGGAGCTCCTGAGCTCGGGACCCAACCCTGGGGCATACGAAGGAGGGAGGAGGACGAGGAGGAGGGAGGAGGGAGGGAGAAGCAGGAGGGAGAAGGACGGAGAAGGGAGGAGGAGGGAGGAGGGAGGAGGGAGGAGGGACGAGGGAGGAGGAGGGAGGAGGAGGAGGAAGAGGAGGAGGAGGGCGCCCATCCTCGATAGGAGTGCGTCCGGATAGCCCCCCCTCGGGGTGTATCACAGGGTTCCCCTCCTTTTCTGAGCGGCTTCACGCTTCGTCGAAAAATGGAGGGGTGGGGAAAACAATCGCCTGCGAGGTACGGCAGACATGGACACGATCCACAACATCAAGTGCTCGCCAGAACCAACAGCGGCCACTGATTGGCAGGCTTCCCCCTCCCCAAACCCCTCCCCCGGGAGCCCGGTCCGGTCGATTTGGAGGGGGGGGGGGGGTCCGGGACGAGCGGGGGGGGTCCGGGACGAGCGGGGGGGGTCCGGGACGAGCGCAGCACGGCCGGGACGAGCGGTTCACGGGGCTTTTCCGGGCCCAAGAGGGCCTCAAGACGGGCCAAGAAGCCCCCAAGAGGCCTCCAAGACGGCCCACGAAGGCCCCGAGACGGCAAACGACCGCTCCAAGACGCCCAAGATGCCCCAAGACGGGCCAAGAGGTCTCCAAGACGGCCCCCGAGGTCCCAAACAAGCCTCCCAAGAGGGCCCCAAGAGTCTAAAATTGTTGAGTTTCCATAATGTTTTTCGATTTTTTTGCTTTTCGCCTTTTCGGCTTTCCCGGACGCTCCAAGACGGCTCAAAGAAGCCCCAAAAGACAGCCCCATATGGCCCAAGAGGCCCAAAGACGGGCCTCAGACGGCCACAAGACGGCCCCAACACGGCCCAAGGTCCCCAAGACGGCCCAAGAGGGCTCCACGACGGCACCACGAGGGGCCCAAGAGGGCGACCAAACATGTTGAAACTCTAGCTTTCTGCCCCCAGGAGCCCCAGGGGGCCCCAAGAGTGCCCCAAGAGGCCCCCAGAGGCCCTCACGAGGCCGCCCAGACGCCCCAAGGAACCCCCAAGAAGCACCCCAAAGGCTCCGAAACGGCCCCCAAGTGGCTCCAAAACTCGCTTCCAGAGGCCCCCGAGAAGCGATCCGCGAGATCCCGATACACATACAAGAAGCCTCTCACCCATAACCCATAACCCAGAGCCGTTTCTCCGTGTCCCCCTTCTCCTCCTCCTCCTTTTCCTCCACCTGGGCCCCCAATCGGGGATGGACAGACCCCCCTTTAGCAAAACGTGGTTTAGTGAAAACGACCTGAGGCCCAAACCTGGCGGGCGCAAGCCTGGAAAATAACGGCCACGGCGCCCTCTCGAGAACCGAGAACGGACAATTCACTAATCGACGTGTCACTGTTGGGGGTTCTGTCCACCCCCGACCCAAGTGGTTCCAAACTGCCTGCCATAGGCCCCATGCCGGCACACCCTTTGCACGCGCCGTGGCCTCGCACATGGCCAAGTTGACCCATCATGACTCCTGGGCAGTCCCCCAAAAAAACTCCCGACCGCTACCGAAACGGCTCGAAGACATTCCCGAGCCCAACCTGGCTCCATTATGCCTCTCAGATGGCCCCAGATGAGACCATGACCGCCCGCGGTGTCGCCGTCCGCTCGGACCCCCCCGCGGAACTGCCCGAGACCCTCTGGCGGTGTCGGCGAACAGACACCAAACAAATATCACTCGCCTTTTCACCCCTTCGCAGCTTCTACTACCCCCAGATTGGCATAAACAAGGGGTCGGCGGTGTGGCGTAAGCCTAAGATCTCTCAACGAAGCACGTCCCGCGGGCGTACCAACAGGGTTCCGGCACAAACTGCAAGAATAACTGTCGGCTTCGTCCCATTGTTTGGAATACCCCTTTTCGATTCGCACAAGAAACCACCCAAGCAAAACAACAATGCCACCACCCGCGGCCGTCGAATGAGAAGAAGGGCCTCCCAAACGCGCCCGAGACGCCCCCAGGATGACCCAGAGGCCCCAAGAGCCCCGCAGGAGCCCTCCAGAATGCATCACGCCCCAGGCACGGTGGCGGGATAGCCAGAAGACCACTATTTAGATCGTAGCCAGCGTGGACCCTATGAAGTGTCATCTATTGGGCACCCGAGTTATCCGGGGTAAGTCGGGTCCAGGGTAACTCGGGTTCGGAATCCCGAAAAACGAACTCGAGTTAGCCCTGACCCGAATTACCCCTGATGATTCGGGGCTCTGGACGCCCAAATTATCCGGGGCAAGTCGGGTCCGGGGTAACTCGGGTTCGGAACCCCGCAAAACGAAGCCGAGTTAGCCCTGACCCGAGTTCCCCCTGATGATTCGGGGCTCTGAATGAAGTGTCCTGCCCCGCCGCGCAGACCCCGGGGCTCTGATTCGAGGACGGCGCGCCCCGCCGCGCAGACCCCGGGGGGCCCTCGACGAGCTCCATGGGGCGCGGCTGTCCCGGGAGGCCCCAGCAGGCACCTGGACGCCCCAGGAGGGAGGAGGAGGAGGAGGAGGAGGAGGAGGAGGAGGAGGAGGAGGAGGAGGAGGAGGAGGAGGAGGAGGAGGAGAGGACGCCTGGAAGCTATGTGACATCCTGCATGGGCCCTGCCTCACAGTGCCTCCGGCCCCGGCGAACGGCACGCTGCTGCCCGCCGGACCTGGCGCTAAGTGGTCTCCGTCGCCGCGAGCACGCGGAAGCCAGACGAGAAGCGAGCCATAGAAAGGCCATGACTTCGCCAGGGGCCATTGGTGGGGCCACAAGTGGGCCATGAGGGGGGCTTCAGCGGGCCATTAGTGAGGAATTTGCGGGCCTCTACTGGGACGAGAAAAAAACATGCATTCGGAGGGGAAATACCCTCATGAGGTGCAAGCTGCGTGGTGCAGTACACGTGGTGCTAGCCAGAGACGGCCACGCGGCGGCAACGGGCGGCAAAATGAGGCGAGACCTCGGCTAACTCCCCGAGCGCTGTGGGCGACAACGAGGTGGCAGTGGGCGGCAATGCGGCGGAACCTCGTAGCCCCCAGAGCGCGGCGGGCGGCAACGGACGGCAGCGCGGCGAAACCTCGGCGGACCCGCCCAATTCCTCAGCGACAAGGAGTACCGGTGGCAAGCGAGGGGGGGAAGCGAGAAGGATGAGGGCCTTCTCGGAAGGCGGCGGGACTTCTCAGGAGCCCTCCGGCCTTCTGAGAGGTGCTCTGTGTTCTGTGTCTTCGGGGAAGGCTTGTAAAACTCCTGAGGAGGCCGGGGGGCTTCCGAGCCTTCTGAGCAAGCCCGCCCCTTCTCACTTCCCCCTCGCTCGCTGCCGAGAGCAAGAACCCCTGAGTGCAAGCACTATCAGGGAGGGACTGAACTGGACAAATAAGAAAATCGGGTGAGGATAAATCGAGAATCTCTAGGAGCCGCCGGCTCAGGAGGAAATCCCCGGCGCCGCGACATCCTCAGAGCGCTCGGGCACCATCTGAAAGCGTTCCCGAAAGCTTCGGAACGGATTCAGCCTCGCCCTAGCCCCGTCCGACCCTGATGCCTGCACTGAGTATCTTTTAACCGACCCCCATCCCCAGCGGCGTGGCCTGGGCCCCACTGGCCGATTTACCCCCCTAGATGGGGACATAGGCCTCCCCCTTCGGGGTTCGCGGGGCGTATCCCCAACTGGGGTGGTCATCTGGTGGGGGTCTCGAGGGGGATAGCGATAGGTAGGCATGGGGATGGGTCAAGCGCTACCGATGCACTGCACAGCAGCTTTCTCCGCGGCCTGCGCGCGCGGAGAGCTACCCGACGAAGCGGCGCGCCAGACCTTCGCTGGCGCAGAAGGCTGGGCGCCGCACGACGGGGAGGGGAGCACGGCGCCACTCCGGGGCAGCCGCGCGGCCCTCCGGCACTTGCCTGCTCACGGAAAGTGCGTCTCGTGAGGTCGGGCGTGTGCTTCTGCGGGCGGCTCTGGGAAGAGGGGCCACACACAGCCAAAACGGGCCCAACAGCCAGTGCACAGCCAAAAAACAGCGCCCTCACAACTTTCGACTACTGCGGAATCTGCCCCCTGTGAAGGGGCCATGCCCGACTCGAGCTTGTTTGGGGGAACAGGCAATGACATTAACAGAAAAACTCGAAGGTCCGCGCGGATCTCTTGAATCGCCGCTGGACCCCCCTCCCCTGCGCGCGGGGCACGCCAAAGGCGGCGCCGGAGGCTCCGTCACGGGGGTATCAAGTGCCGATCCAAAAAATCCGCGCGGACCTCCGAGTCTCCAAAACGGGATCAGTGATTACATGCGGTGAGAGGATCGCGCGGCGTCGCCGAAGCATCGGCGCCGCTTTGCCAATGCACCGGCGACATCGGCAACGCATCGGCGACGTCGGCGTGGAGAAAACCGAGCTTCAAATCGAGCCGCATCGCCGATGCATCAGCTGTGCGATGCGATACCCCGACCCCTTTTACTCGGACCTCATCTGGGAGGCCTGGAGTTGCCTACGCCTCCACCCGCCAGGGCCAGGGCCACCGCCAGTCCGATCGGTGTGAAGATGCATCGGGCGCCCGAAAACGATGTGGCGACAAACCGTGCCGTGACCTCGGAATCCCCTTCGACCCCACCGCACGGCCCGTCCCCGCACGATGCTCTGGGGGTCGGAAAGCGACCCGAGTCCCAAAACCGTGCGGTCACCCCGATATCCCGACGGACTCGCCACGCGGTGTGGCCCCCGCACCGCTCGTGACCACCCACCTTAAGCCACCCCGACCCAACCCCGAAGCCAAAGTCACCGCTGGGATCGTCGAGGCCTCCTAGCTGGGGTCGGAGCAGATGTGGTCGGAGGATCGGGCCGCATCGCCGATGCAGCGGCGACGCATCGGCGACGCACCGGCGATGCCCCGGCGACGTCTCGGCGGTGCATCGGCGACGCCGGCGTGGAGAGATCGGGCTCCACATCGCGCCGCATCGCCGATGCACTGGCGATGCGGCGCGATCCTCCGACCCCATCTACAAGGACCCCATCTGTGATGGGCCTGTTTTCCACCACCACCACCATCACCAGAAGTTGGAGGGGGAGGGTGTCCTCCTCCTCCTCCTCCTCCTCCTCCTCCTCCTCCTCCTCTCCTCCTCCTCCTCGTCCTCCTCCTCCTCCTCTTCGTCCTCCTCATCCTCGTCCTCCTCCTCCTTCCCCCCTCCGACTCATGGTGGTGGTGGTGGAAAACAGGCCCGTAACCAGAGATCGTCAACTTACACCGCGCCGCCTGGTGGGCGCCCACCCCCCGCAGGCGCGCGCGCCGAGGGCGCGGCCGCGCCACCGCCCTCGATCTGCAGGCGGCGCTTCCGCGTGAGCATGCTCTCCTTGTCTGGCAGGACGAACTTCTTCTTGTGGAACCTCGGGCAACCCTCATTGATGTGCATGTTTTCCACCACCACCACCATAAGTTGGAGGGGGCCTCCACCTCCACCTCCTGTTCCTCCTCCTCCTCATCATCATCCTCCTCCTACTCCTCGTCCTCCTCCTCGTCCTCCTCCATCCCCCCTCCAACTTATGGTGGTGGTGGTGGAAAACAGGCCCATCACTCATGCTCCCCCTGCTTACCATCAGACCTGGGCGACGCCCCAATAGTAAACGTTTTCGTATTCGGCGTTTCGACATTCTGGGCGGAAGGGGGGGGAGAGGGGGAGGGGTCTGGCTCCGGACCTCTGCTCAGCGCGACTGTTTGCAGCAGTGCGTCCTATGGGGGAGGGACCCCGCCTACTCGAGACAGGCGCCCAAGACAGCCAAGACCTACTCCATGGAGGGGGGGAGGGGATCTGGTGCGAAGGCCCGCACCGATCGGCAAAACAACGAATAAGAAAACGATCACCATGCTCCCCCAACTTACCCTCAGATCTGGGCGACGCCAAAAGATCGCGATGGCTGTTTGTGTTCAAAATTTGGCTTCTCGGAACCGTCTCCCAACCATCCCCAGAAGACGACAAAAGTGAACAACCAGGATGAAAAGCCGGCCCCTGGGAAGGGATCAAGTTCCCCCGGGCGGCCGACGTCGCCAAAACAAGGCAACCATCTTGTGGTTTTGGATCAGCAACGGCTCACATCTCGTACCCTCCTTCCTTCCCTTCCTCCGACTCCTCGCCCTCCCCCCATTCTTATGGATATATATATATATATACATATATATATATATGAAACAAGAAATGTATATAACTGTTGGCGCTCCGCGCGGATTTCTTGAATGCGCGCTGGACCCCCCTCCCTGGCGCGCGGAGCGCGCCAGGGGCAGCGCCGGAGGCGCCGCCGGGGGGGCCGAGCGCGGGCCCAAGGAATCCACGAGGAGCGCGACAAATTATGTTTATGGCCTGTTTCTTCTCCGAGAAACCTATCCCGCTTCAGAGGCTCTCCTCACCGTGTTCACAAACCTGGCTCCCCCTGCTGCGTCCCCCCTTCTGCCTCCCCGCCCATTGCACACTCTGTTCGCTCCTCCGGCAAATTACCCTCATTGTGTCTCGCCCTCTCGCGCGCGGAACTCGTGGCACAGCAGCATCTCGTTGCGCTCGGCACGCTTGTTCTGCAACGACATGTTCCAGAGATTTCCTCACGGGGGAGAAGCTGCCGTGGAGCAGACTCGGAGGCGGCGTCCATACGTCTGCACGCAACCACTATCCTCTGCCAGGGCCGTCCTGGGCCCTGGGATGGTGTACAGCTGGGGCTCGACCGCAAGATATCTTCCACAAGAAACCCAACCCAACCCAGAGACCGCAGGGCGACCACTGATTTCTGGTGTGGGAACGTCATGCCTTCTGTAAGAAAACCATCGGAACCCAAGAAGAAATCAAGGACACCCTGGAGCATGCAGGGTGTCTCTTGGCATAGGACTCCACTGCACGCAACCTCCGCGGCCTCGACCTTGTCGGTTCGTACGCTGCGCTACCTCGGGACAGGGGCGGACCTGCCAAATGAAGGGGCCAAGAGACACACACACAAATAAATACACACAAATCCCAAGATTCCCCACATGTATGCATATTTTCCGAAGTTTCGTCTTCCCCCCATTTCCCATATTCTCTAATATTTTCCTGGGGATCGACGATTCATTGTGTCTGTGAGTTTTTCCCCTCCTGACCAAAGGACGGATGGTCCAAGCCTGTCGGTCTCCGTGCCCCCGCGGCGGTGCAGGACGCCCCCCGCAGCGCGCCGTGCCCGCACCCGGTGGCGGAGAGCCGCTCCGGGTGGCGTGGGCGGCCTGCCCAGCTCAAGGAGCTTTAGGCGAGCGCGCTCCACGACTCGCAGAGTAGCTGCTCGCAAATGGCCTGGATCCGCCGCAGGGGATTGAGCCGCTCCAGGTGGCGTGGGCGGCCTGCCCAATGCAGGGGCTTTAGGCAAGCGCGCTCCACGACTGGCAGAGTAGCTGCTCGCAAGTGGCCTGGATCCGCCGCAGGGGATCTACGATACATTACACACAAGGGCAGGCAAATGGTTTTTGTCAGGGCGTTTGCGAGGAGGCGCTTTGCGAGTAGTGGAACGTGCTCGGCGGGGCTCGGTGGATGAGGCCGGCCTCGTACCGGCGGCGCGCGCAGTCGTTTGGGACGACGGTTGGGTCGGGCATGTCCTCCTACAGGCGGACGGTGAACGAAATCTCAATTAAAATTGGAACAAATACTGAAAAATCGTCCCCCGAGTATTCTTTCTGACTATGTTTGACTAGTCCTCCTGTAGACGGACACGCCCGACTGAAGGCTTGGTGGATGAGGCCGGCCTCGAACCGGCGGCGCGCAGTCGTTTGGGACGACGGGGGGGGCCCTTCTAAGATGGCAGGGGGGGGCCTCTCAGGCGCCGCCCTGAACTCGCAGAAGGCTTCTTCCACGCCTCAGAACCATCATGAGAGACCCCCTGCCTTCGTCTGAAGATAGGGGGCAAACAAACCTACCTCGCTTTTGACCACCCTCGCTTCCAAGAGATACCAAGCGATGCCAAACTACGGCCCGTACTGGTCAGGCCGCTTGACGAGGCGGTGCGTGGTATGACTTGGTTTTGCCTGGAAGCGAAAGCGGGATAGGTTATCCACGCTCTGAGAAGAAGACGTACATGTAAAGACAGACTGCCGGAGATCCACGCGGACCTTGGTCGGCGCCGGGCGACCAGCCGCCGCTCCGTAACGGGAACACTTTATACGCGCTCTGGACGTGCACTCCGCGAAGCGAGAGGCACCGACGTAACCTCATTCGTCATCCACAGTTGGGGCGTTGACCTAGGGAACCCTAAACAAGGAACGGGCCCCCTTTTCCCCATAAGTTAAACTCCGGTTTTCCATGGAAAGCTTTAGGAACACCTTGTAAAACAACTAAGGAACACGGAGCCCCTCCTAATCGAAAAGGGTTCCTTCTTCAGCGCCCCGACTGTACCCCTGCCCCCGACGTCGTGACAAACTTACAACGTGGGCCGACGGAGGTCCAGCCCCATCCCCCAGGACAGGTATTTCAGCCTGAATCGGACTGATGACGGTCGCGAATAAGATCCCCCAAAGACGACCACAAAAAGGCCAACAACCTTCAGTCGCCATTTGCCACGGCGCAAGGGTGTATCGAAGCCTTCCTTCCTCCTCCTGCGCGAATGCGGGGCAACAGCAGGGAAGGACCAGCTCAAGGAGGAAACATCGACGTGAAATCGACGACACATCGCATACAGATCGACAATAGGCCCCCCGGTAACGAATCCGCATGATCCTAGGCGAGGTAGGACTGCCGGGCCCCGTGGGCGATCATTGATCAATCCGGGGCAACTGTATAATCCCAAAGCTGCCCCCTAGCGAAGGAGGCTGCTCCAGCGGGAGCAGCCACCGTTTCTTCGTCGTCGTCGTCGTTTTTGTAGTCGTTTTTGTCGTCGTCGTCGTCGTCGTCGTAGTCGTCGTCGTCGTCGTCGTCGTCGTCGTCGTCTTCATCGGCGTCGTCGTCGTTGCGGGGCCGCTCCAGCGAGATTCGTGAGCTGCTTGCTGAGCGGGAGCAGCTGCAGCGAGTGCACCAGCCGGGCGACGCAGAGGGCGCAGTGGAAGGTGCTCTCCGCCAGCTGGCAGAGGGCCTGGCGCGCATCGTCAGGACTTAGGAGGAGCCACCCGCTGGGAATGAAGCCCCATCGGGGGGCTGCCACGCCGAAGTAGGCCGCGGATTAAGGAGAGGAAGAAACACAACATAACAAAGAGGAAGAAAACTATAAAGAAGAAGAAGAAGAGGAAGAAACAACACTAATAAGAAAAGACGCGCGGAGACGTCCCGCCCGCAGGATGCGGCGGGGCAGGGCCGATTGCTGGCCTGCGCGGGGGGGCCGTGGCCCAGGGCTCAGTCATTGTCGTCGTCGTGGCCGTACTTGTCGTCCCATCTCTCCACTTAAACCATGCTGCGGCTTCCTTCTGGCACTCCTCTTTCTCCTCCTGGGCGACGCCGTCGAAGTCGTCTTAATCGTCGGATTGGGCCGCGGATTAAGCGGGATTCATCAGGACCAAGCCTGATTCGGCGGGATGAAGCCCAGACTTCGGACCAGGCACAGTCAGAATTTGACCTCCCAGGAGTTGCATCCGAACGTCATCCCCCACGTCGTCGCTCGGAGTTCGAGAAAGGGCGTTGCCAGGGTGGAGCTTCACCCACCTCCAAGTGGAAGGATAGAAAACGATTACCATGACCATAAGAGCGCCTAACTTTGCGCTTCGCGCTGCGCGAATATCTTCGCGCTGTTGCGCCGCCCACCACATGGCGAAGAGGAGGATGAGGAGGTATCGGAGCCACCGTGTCTCGGACCTCGTCAATTCGTGGATCACCCTGGCGAGTCGGCCACGGCCGCTTGGTCATGGTGTCACGGTCATCGTGCTCCGTGCTCCTTTTCTCGGAGGACCCACGTCCACGACGTCGTGCCTTGTTCATCATGACTTGACCCCCTCTGAGATCTTGCGTTAGGTCGGGCCTGTCCCCCTACAGGCGGATATCGGGCGAAAAATTAAAAACATGTTCAAACAAGATTCCCAAAATGCTCAAGAATAGTAAAAACAATTTCCCCTTGATTACTGTTTAACTATTTTTGAATATTTGAATATTCCTCCTGAAGAACGACAGGCCCGACTTAAATCTTGCGCCGGGTTCTCACGGTCCAGGGGCACGGTGAAGGCCCCCGGAGGCCCGAAGCACTGCACGAAGAGAATGTCCGGCGTGTTCCTTTCACAGTGCGGCGAGTCTGGAGAGGAGGCGGAGTTGGCCTCCGCCGACTCGTAATGGCGCAGCAGCGCCTCCGGCTCCACCTGGCGTCTGCAGAGAGTGCGGCGGCGTCGCCGCCGCCGCTCGCGGGTCTTCGAAGCGGCCGCCGCTGACGTCGTCGTCGAAGTCGTCGCCGTCGCCCTCGTCGCCGACGACGACGTCTTCATCGAGTTCGCCGACGAGGTCGACGTCGTCGCCGTCGCCTGCGTCGCCGCTGCTGCCGATGTGTTCGATGTCGTCGGGTTAGCCGTTGTCGTCGTCGTCAGTGTCGCCGTGGCCTTCGAAGCCATCGTTCGAGGATGAGGCGGGAATTTCGGAGGTGAAAGGAGGGAGGTGGAAGAGGAGTCGGAGGACGAGGGAGATGAGAGTGGGAGGGGTGGAAATCAGAAAAAAAGAAGGGGATGGATGTGGCTGAGAACCGGAAGCAGACAGGGAGGAGTGGCACAGGAATGAGGGAGAAGGGGGAGGATGATGGTGCGGGGGCAGGGGTGAGAGGGGCAGGAGCTCCCGAGTCCAGCAGACCCTGACAGAACGGGAGGCGGCCGGACTGACAAAGTGTCACGGGCACTGCGGGGAGTCAGCCAGCGCGCCGACTGGGGCACACACAGGTGCTGCCCAGACTGCGCCACGACCTATCATGTTCCCATGGCATTTATGGACCACATCCAAAAAGTAATCCCGAGCACCCAGAAACATGTAGCAACAAATGTCGAAACATTGCCGGACGAGTGTCTCCTGGGGCCCGACACGTGAAAACCCTCGAGTTTCGGTACTTGTTACTTGTTTGGTGCTCGAAATTCTTTCTTACTAAAGTAGGCTGGAACATCATGAGCCAAGGCCCCATCCAGGCGACAGGGGAGCAGAAGGCACCGGCCTGGAAGGAGGCCACCCCGAAGGAAGTGGGCAGGGGCCCTCCAGGACCGCGGAGCACGGGATCGGACGGCCGCCGGCTAACGGTGGCGGAGAGAGAGGAGGGGAAGGCGGCAGCGAGGAAGGGGAGGAGGCGGAGGAGGAGGAGGAGGAGGAGGAGGAGGAGGAGGAAGGAGGAGGAGGGAGGAGGAGGAGAGGAGGAGGAGGAGGAGGAGGAGGAGGAGGAGGAGGAGGGGAGGAGGAGGAGGAGGAGGAGGGGGAGGAGGCGGAGAGGAGGAGAGGAGGAGGAGGAGAGGTGGAGGAGGAGGAGGAGGAGGAGGAGGAGGAGGAGGAGGAGGAAAAGGAGGAAGAAAAGGAGGATGGCGTGGGGGCAGGTGGCAAGAGGGGCGGGAGGGGGAGAAAAAAGCAGGGAGGCGGGGGGCGAGTGCAGAACACCGGGGAGAGGCGGAGGAGGGAGGCGCGCCCGGGGGAAGCGAGAGAGAGAGAGAGAGAGGGAGAGAGAAAGAGGGAGAGAGCGAGAGAGAGAGAGAGAGAGAGAGAGCAGGCGCTACGAGCGCCCCCGCAGGTAGCGCAAGAGATCGAGAGAGAGACAGGGGAGCGGGGAGGAGAGGATCTCGGGGCAAGCGGGGTGCGCTCGCGCCACGCCGCTCAAGAGTCTGAGAAGCACGGTCGGTGAGGGCACTAAGACGGCCCTTGGAGGCCGAACCTGGGATTTGCTGGGCGGCGGGCGACCCGTGCGCAAGGCCCTTGGAGGCCGAACCTGGGATTCGCTGGGCGGGGGGCGACCAGTGAGAACGGCAGAGGGCGGGCCGCGCAGGCAAGGACACGAAGGCATCCTAGACGAAGGCGCGCGTCCTTCCTGGGCGCGTTGACTGTTCAATCGGACCTGGGACAGGAGAGCATCCTTCAAGAGCACGAGGCCATCCGCCGGCCAAACCGAGGAACATTCGAGGGCGCCCTCCCCAGAACGCACAAGGACACCCAACGAACACGAGGGGCATCAGGGTACCCTCCCCGAGCGGACCTCGACCTTATACCTCGATCGACTGTATCTGACATCCCGCCCATCTCTTCCATTTGCGCTGCATGGTTCTCCGGCAGGTGTCCTGACGGATATGGTTCCCCAAGACGATCTCGTCCGATGCACAATCAGAGGGGGGAGCTGTGCAAAGTGGAGGAAGCAATGGCAGCTAGAGGATGAGCAGGAGACAGAGTGGGAGGGAGGAGGTAAAGCAGCAGCAACAACAACAGGAGCAGGAGGAGCGCGATGAGCAGGAGAACCAGGGAAAGGCGGAGAAGGGGAAATGAGGGGGCGGCAACGGTGACGCGAAAGGATTCGAATCCACAATCGTGGTCCGCGCTGAGGCGAAGCCGAACTCCTGAACGACGGGAGCAAAGCGCCGATCCCGAAAAGTGGCCAACGCTGCATCAAGAGCACCATTCGTAAAATGGAACGCTGCGAATTGAAGAACCACATGGGAAACCGAATCTGAACGGTCTTGCGTCAAAACTAATGAAGACTCCATGTGCGGGGTAGAGGGCAAGATCGGGGGGGAAGGGAGGGGAACACCCGTGCGAGCGAAAAATCCGACTCTTGTGAGCTGGCCCGAAGGCGCTTCACCGTGCATCGGTAGCTGAAGCGGACGCAAACACTGAAGTTCACATAGACTCGGAGAGGGCCCACCCTGCAGGTTTCGTTGACAACACATCGTTGAGCGGTGCTGCAGCCCCCTTTACGGGATCGGGGAGGAGAAGGGAGCAGCATTCATATTGAGAAACTGCGGAGGCGGAAGGGGGGAGGGAAGGCAACAGACGCAGACGAACAACGTGGGCACCGTGCCAAACTGCTTCCCCCCGACCACCCCTCATCTCGGGGCTGGGTAGGTGTTCAACCTGCCCCGCCATCATGCGTAGTTCGTTACCCCTCGAAAGAAGATCACGGCCTCCCCAAAACAAGCAAAATGTGCCACACACACACACACACACACACGCACACGCACACGCACACACAGACACAGACACACGCACACACACAGAAAAAAAAGCAGCATGGCCTCCCAGGAAAAACAACAACAAACGAAGAGGCTCTGAACAAATCCGCGTCGAACAGAGGAGATGCACCGCCAAGCCTACTCAGCAGCAAGTGGTCCTGTGGACTTCGATTGGGAGCTCTCGTTGGTGCTACAGTGGGATCAGCAGTAGGACCAGCAGAAAGATTTCTTCAATGAAGACTTACCCGACGACTGCGGTAGGGGTTGCAGTCGGACTTGAAACTCAGGCCGTAATGACACTGCACTTGGGGCTGTCGCAAGACTTCGCTGGGGGCTGAAGCAAGACATAACGAACAAGACCGTAATAGGGGCTGCACTGCGGGCTGTGTTGTGGTTTTGGGGCTGAGTAGATCTGTAGCAGTGGGCTGTTTCGGAACTGTACTGCGGGCCCTAAGACGGCACTAGGGGCTGCAATGGGATTGTCGTACGGGCTGTCGCACGGGCATCCATGCGACGAATTGCAAGTCATGTCGTAGGGGCTGCGGTCGAACAAGCTTTCGATTGTCAACATCTTCGGTGCCCATCGCCTACAATCAAAACAAATACAAATCACGCGCGATAAAGATGCAATGGCCGTGGAAGGCCATTCCGTCACTTGGCCAGAACAAGTGGCCAGGGATGGGCCGAAGGAGATGGATGCAAGTGAAGCCTTAAAAAGTCGCTCGTCCTTACTACCACAGTTGACTTCATCTGGAAACCGAACTCTCTGTCAGCGCATGCAGGGAGAGGGGACCGCAAAAACAGCACCACCTGACGGCGGGCGCCCTCGCGGCACATCGTGCCCACTCGCATTCCGCACGTCAGCTTCTGCTGCATACCTCCAGGTTGTGGTGGTGGTGGTGGTGGTGGTGGTTGTGGTGAGTGGTGAGTGGTGAGTGGTGAGTGGTGAGTGGTGGTGGTGGTGGTGGTGGTGGTGGTGGTGGTGGTGGTGGTGGTGGTGGTGGTGGTGGTGGTGGTGGTGGTGGTGATGGTGGTGGTGGTGGTGATGGTGGTGGTGGTGGTGGTGGTGGTGGTGGTGAGTGGTGGTGTTGATGGTGGTGGTGGTGGTGGTGGTGGTGGGTGGTGGTGGTGAGTGGTGGTGGTGGTGGTGGTGGTGGGTGGTGGTGGTGGGTGGTGGGTGGCGGTGGTGGTGGTGGTGATGGGTGGTGGGTGGTGGGTGGTGGTGGTGGTGGTGGTGCGCTTCCTGCCCCCAACATCTCGGGGCCCCTTTCCGACCTCGCTGCCAGCACCTCGGTGCCCGGTGCGGAGCGGCCCCCACCCTGGGATCGCTCGCCATGGAGGCACCGCCGGTGCGGGGCGGTACGAAACCCCTAGGGATGCACAGAACCCACCAGGACGCACCGCCGGTGCGAAGCCTGATACGGAGCCCCCGGGATGCCCCCCAACCTCCAGGCCAGGAGCGTGTGGAAGCGCCCAGGGAGAGCGTGCGAGCGTCCAGCGGCGGCGGCGGCGTCGGCGGCGGCGAAGACGGCGACAACATCCAGCCAAAAGGCTCCAGAGGCCCCCCGCGGAACCCACGCGGAGGTTTTCCTCGAGCAGTTTTTAGTGTTCTGGGCGTCCTCGGTCCCTAGAGGTTTCTGGAGGTCCCCCGAGGTGTCCTCCCCACTCCATTGCACTCCTCGGCACCTTTCACCGCTTCCCCCGACTCCTCCCCACTCCATCGCACTTCTCGACCCCACTCGGCACTCCTCACCGCTCCTCCCGATTCCCCCCCACTTCTGCAGCAGCCCCCCACCTCAGGACCACAGGGTGGGGGGGGGGCCTGCCGGCGCCCAGAACGAACCCCCCGGGGGGAGAGGGGGGGCTCCAGGTCGTCGGCGGCACCTGGTGCGCCTGGTACGATGACCCCCCCGCGAAGGCGGAAGGGGTTCGTGCCACGGGAAACCGCCGACACACACACGCACACAAACCCACACACACACACACCTACCTACCTACCTACCTGCCTGCCTACCTACCTACCTACCTACCCACCCACCCACCCACCCACCCACCCACCCACCCCCCACCCACCCACCCACCCACCACCGACCTACCGACCTACCTACCTACCTACTACATGCATCCTTACCTACCCACCTACCTGCCTGCCTGCCTGCCTGCCTGCATGAATGCATGCATACATAATTACATATATGCATACATGCATACATACATGCATACATACACACATCCTTTCGTCCAAGACTTCGCGACGCGGCGAAACTGCCGCCAACAACGACAAAGCCGCCGGCACCGGCGGGGACGACGACAAGCGCCGGTCCCCTTCCACCACTGGCAGGTGGGTGAGGCCGAGCTGGGCGCGCGCCAGCATGGGGAGGTCGTAGGAGCCGAGCTTCGGCAAGAGGTCTGGGACCATGGGCGGATGGGTGGGTCGAACACGGGGGAGGGGAGGAGGAGGAGGGGGAGGGGGAGGAGGAGGAGGAGGAGGAGGAGGAGGAGGAGGAGGAGAAGGAGGAGGAGGAGGAGGAGGAGGAGGAGGAGGAGGAGGAGGAGGAGGGGGCTTTCCGCTCCACTTCGATCTCACCCCCTCACCTCCGACAGGAAGAGGAATATAGAATAACACCCAAGGAACATCAACTAATGTTACACCTGTTGGGACCCTCTCGGGATTACTCTTGGAGGCTTCTTGGGGCGTCTTGGAGGCCTCTTGGGTAGTGTGGAGGGCGTGAAGGCGCTGAGAACTGATCATGGCCGATCTTTTGGCGATTGAGTGCCCTCTTGGACCGTCTCGGGGGCCTCTTGGGGCACTCGCGGCCTGCCTTGGTACTTTTTCGGGCCCCGGGACCCTCGCTTCGACTCGATTACGACATTGCTAGATGCTTCTTTCGCTGATAAGCTTGAGGAGGAGGGTGCAGAGAAAGGGGACGACGGAGACGACGACTCGAACAGACAAGCCCCCTACACACGCCGACAGGGTCGGCGGATATTTGTTTCCCTGCCGTTGTCTGAGAGATTTCAACACGGAGTACAGGATAAAGAGAACTTTAGAGGCCAGGGAACACTACACTTCATGCCTCGAGGCACGGCGGCGCATCTATAAATTTATATATAATACAAAAATGTGTATAGATCCGCTATTGGCCTTGGTCAGTGGCCGCGGCTCGCAGGTCCGGAGATGCACAGGAGAAGATTTAAGTTGGGCATGTCCCTCTACAGGGGGAATATTCAAAAATAGTTCAAACATAGCCTGGGGACGATGTCTTGAGCATTCTTGGATTATTGTTGGGGTAATGTTTGACTACTGCTTCCTCTTCCAGCCAAAATGCGCCTGCAGGGGACGTGCCCGACCTGAGAGAAGATGCCTGGTTTGGGGCCCACGCGATGTGGGGAGATTCAGGAGGGAAAGAAACACACATACACAATTAATTGTCGATCCCCCAGAAGATATGGGAAAATATGGGTAATGGGGGGGAAGACGAAAATCCAGAAAATATGGCCCTCGCGTGAAGTCCCGACATTGCTTCACGTCAGCGTCCAGACAACCCAACACAGCTCTGGCAAGTCCCATTCTAAGAGAGGGGGGCTGGCGGCATGGGGGCGAAACCTTTACGGATACATAATTATAAATGACAAATTTAACGGTTTCGATGTTTCCTCTTCTCGCCGCTCCAAGAGGGCCCACGGTCTCCCAAGATCACCCCAATTCAGCCCGCGAGGCCTCCAAGAGGGTCCTAAAACAGCCCAAGAGGGCTCTGTGAGCGTGCCGCCCAGACGGGAGACCCGAACGGACATTTCGAGCCCTCGGCCCCGAGAGGCTCCGAGGAAGCCCCGAGAGGTTCCGAAAGAGGCCCCAAGAGGCCCACAAGAGGTCTCAAGGAAGCCTGAAGAGGCCCACCAGAGGCTACCAAGAGGCCCCAAACTTCCCCCCACTGGCCCCCGAAAGCCTTCCGAAGAAACCCCAAGAAGCATCTCTGAGGACTCTGGCCTACGTCAACGTCGTCGTCGTTCTCGCCACCGCCGCCGCCCCTGTCGTCGTCGTCCCCATGAAGGGTGGGCGGCACTGGCCGTAAGGCCTTCGCAACCTACAGTCGCTCCCGCGCGCTCTCGGGATTCCTGGGATTCCTCGGATGACTTCTCCCAGAGGCTGGAGGGCCCCATGACGGGCCGAGCGGGCCCCAAGAGACACCCGAGAGGGCCCAGGATGCATCGGCGATCCGAGTGGGATCGCGAGTGGGATCGCTGTCGCTATTCACTTGGAATCGCTTCCAAGGAATGTAGAACATCGATCCCAGGTGTTGTGCATCCAAGACAGCCCGACAACGCTCCAGAACGCCAAGGATGGCCCGAAGACGGCCCAAGAGGGCCCCCACGGCGCACCACGAGAGCTCCCAGAGGCCCCCTATAAGATGGCCCCGAGAGGCCCAGATCAGTGACTGCCCACGGGCTTTGGAAGGACGCTCCAGTTCTTGCCCAATCGGGCTCCCGGCGCTCCAAGACGGCCCCAAAGACTCCCAGTATCGCCCCAACACGGCCCAGGAGGCCCCCAAAAGAGCCCCCAGACGGCCCAATGGAGCTCCAAGAGGGGTCCCAAGGAGACCCTGGAGGGGGAGCGCGAACCGACATTTTGGAGCCACTCGCCCTGAGGTCCGAATCAGACCCCAAAAGGAACCCCAGAGACCCCGGAGAGGTCCCCAACACACCCCAACACCGAATCCCTCGAGAGGCTTCCGAGAAGCATACCAACACATCTAAAGGCATCCCGGAGGCTTCTCACCTGCAATCTGGGCACGGTGGCGCGCTGGACTGGAAGCCAATCTACATCACTTTTTTCTATATGTTTGAAATCCAGGGCGGCGCGACCCCCCCCCCCCCCAAAAAAAGGAGCCCCCCAGATCCGTGGCCATGGGAACCCCTAGACATCCCTGCAGAAGGCATTTCGGACGCACCTGCTAAGCCAAAATCTGTCAAAAGTGCTACGGAACGGCCCATCCAGAGCCCCGAGCGGCCCGAGCCACCTACCAAACACCGGAAGACGAGATCCAAATATGGCAACGAAATGTGTACATATCCACTGCTCCCTGGCCAGGCTCATCCAGAACCCGGCAGCGGCGCATACGCCACGCCCTCCTGGCTTGGCCAGGAGTGCGTAGACACAACTCTTGGGTTCAGGATGGGCCTGGCAAGGGAGCAGAGGATATGTATAGATTTCGCCGCCCGACCAAAGAAGACCCGCAAAGGCTATGCAAACGCAAAACAATAGTTACTTCCCATGGATTGTTGCGCGATGTTGGGAATGCCATGCTTCTCGGGCGCCTCGTGGAGCGGGGGGGGGGGGCTGAGCGCAGCAGAGCGATTGCAGTTGCAGCGCTGGCTGCGCGCAGCTCTCTCCATAACCCGTCCCTCGCCGCCGCTCGGACGTCCATCCCCCGCTTAATTTTCGGTACCCTGCGTGTTTTTGTCAGCCCCCCGATGGTCGAGGATGCTCCTCGATGATCCTCGCCGATAGAAAATCCACACGTCCGAGCGATGCCGAGGTCCACAGCCTAGGATTCGTTACAGGGCAGCTGGCGACCCGGGATGCTCCTCGAAGGCCCGTGCCGAGACAGGAGTGCACCCGCCCGAGCGACGATCGGATACCGCCCTCCCTCGCGGCGGCGGGGGCCGCCGTCCTTTCGCCTGCACGAGGAGGTCGCAGACCAGCCGCCCGTTCGTCAGGTTGGCGCCGACCCAGAAGCCCCCGCCCTGCCGCCCCTCCATGCGGGGCATCCTCGGGGGGCGAGGGTCGGGCGCGAAGTACAGCCCGACCCGGGCCGGAAGGACAGCTCCCGAGGGCACGAGACCCTCCGCCGGCCAGAGCAAACAGCACACCCGAGGGCACCGTCCAAAAGGGTGCCACGAGAGCATCCCACGGACACGGAGAACATCAGGGCACCCTCCCCGAACCGACCTCGACCTCACACCTCGGTCGGACTGCAGTGGGCGGTGATGAGCATGGGGGGGGGGGGAGAAGGGTGCCCTTTTCGGGGCCTCGAGGCCCCCTTCTGGGCCCCGAGGGGCCTCTTCAGGGGCCCTCCAGGGCCCCTTTTTCGGCAGCCCGAGCTGCCCCTCCCCCATGCATCGCGCCCCACTGCGCGCCCCGCAACGGTCGGGCGGGGACCCACTTCTGGACCGCCGCAGGCGCCTCGCGCGGATCGCACTGGGGGGGGGGGGGGGAACTGCGCAGCACCCCGCACCTGCGGACAAGAGCTGAGGGGGGGCGGCTGTGCGGGGCCGAGCCCTGGTGCCGCTCCCAAGTGCCGCCTCCACATGTGAGCAGGGACCGACCGTCCCGGCATTCCTGTAGGCCTGTCACGACATGTTCTGAGAACCGAAGCCTGTTCTGAGAGCAAAAACCACATGATCTTAGAACACGAGTCCGATGTGTCAAAAAAGATTAGGCTCGGCCACAACTGTTCCAAGACCACCTCGTGCAGACCACCCAAGGTTCTCAGACCACTCCTGGGTGGGCCTGTGGGCAAGCCAGGATGCTTCGCCACCGCTTGACTGGCGTCGCTCCCCAGTGCCGCCTCCACGTGCTCGCCATCTCTCGGACGTCCACTCCCCGTGCATGTGCCGGTCTCTTGCGTTTTTTCTTTTTCGTTGTTCGCAAGATGATCCCATCTGCTCCTGGAGGGGCCTCGCCGAAGTGGACACGTCCGAGCGAAGCCGAGCGTGCCGCCTCCACGCGCGCCGCCCAGGGCGACACGCGGGAGCGAGCGACGCCCAAGGGGGGCATGGATTGCTTCCAGGTGCCGCCCACCCCGAGGCGGAGATCAGGTCCAGCCGCGCACGCGCGGGGGGGATCGATACCAATTCGCACCGCTCGGCCCCCCTCGTGGGAACAGGGAGCGGCGACACAAGGACCACCGGGGCGAGGAGGTGCGAGGAGGCAGGGAAGGGCAGGGGAGGTCTCCCCGGTGGCGTAGTCCCCTACCCCCTCGCTCGAGACGTCCCCGGCCTCCAGCCCGGGGAGACGTCGTGCCCCGTCCTCGCTCGAGGTGGGCTCCCTGGCTGTGCTGAAGTGTCGCTTCTCCTCCCTCCGACATCGCCTCGCGCATCGGCCACGGCCCTGTCGCGCAGCTCGGCTGGCCGCGCAGCTGGAGGCCCCCTAGGAGGGACTCCGAACATGTCGGGTCGAAGGATCGCACCGCATGGCCGATGCAACGCCGATGCCACGCCCGTGGCATCGGCGACGTCGGCGATGCATCGGCGCCATCAGCGTGAAGAACAACGGGCATCGAGCTGCATCGCCGGTGCATCGGCGATGCGGCGCGGTCCTCCGAGCCCATCTACTCCGACCTCATCTGGGAGGCCTAGATCAATTCCCCAAAACCTGGATCAACGGAGAGCGCCAAAGAGGAAACGGCCCCACGTGGTTCCCAGACACGGGTCAGCCCGAGGGGATTGGCTCACCTCCCTTAGCGCTGACCCCCGTCACGTGAGCCCAGACGAGGAGTTCGGTTGCGACTCATGGGAGCCTCCAATACCATCGTGTCGGCTCTTGCGAATCGACGCTGGTCGGCGCCAATCGACGCGAGGTCGACGCTAATCGACTCCGAATCAGCTGTCTCATCAGTTACGAAACGCTAATCGACGCCAATGCGTTCCACATGCGGAGTTACGAGGGTGCACATGGCTCCCATGATTTGCTACCGACGAGGAGGACGTCCTCCTGAGCAAACTATATAATCATGTTCGGCACCTGGGGCCGTAACCACAAGCGGCCACGGCGGCAACACTCACGTTGCATCCTCGGGGAACCTTCTCTCTCCCATCGCGGCCCCATCCGCGTCGAACCCGTGACGAATACACGTCGAGCTCGTCGGACCCGTGGCGAATCCGCGTCGAAGCCACGCCAGGTCCTCGTCGAGTCCGCACTGAGACCGCGCCGGGCCCAAGAAGAGATACCAATGTTCGGGAAGAGCGTAACCGTTCAACAGGCGAGTAACCGTTCGAGGGCGCCCCGAAGATGCACGAGGTGAGGTGTCCGCGAGCGGGGCGCCCTCCCGGCTCGGGGGGGGCGCCCTCGAAGCGGCCCCCCGCAGATGCAAACGTAAACCGTTCCAGCAGGCGACCACGGCGGCAGCACGAGTCGCAGCCGAGCGACTCGCCGCCGAGAGGCCCGCGGGCCGAGCGCGGCCCGGAGCCTAATTCGGAAGGGCTCGCGCGGCGCCGCGGGCGGCAGCGCCGAGCCGACCGCCTGCTCGGGGTGCTGCCAGAGGTGCCCCCCGGCCCAGGGTGCCCCCCAGGAGTTCCCAGGAAGCCCCCCACGGCCTCCAGAAAACCCCCACACGAGGCCCAGGAGGGCACATGGGACTCCGAGATGGAGCGACATTGGGAAGCCAAAAAACGCCATGAACATAAACTGTTGGCGCTCCGCGCGGATTTCTTGGATCTGCGCTGGACACCCCTCCCTGGCGCGCGGAGCGCGCCAGGGGCGGCGCCAGAGTCGCCGCCCGCGGGGGCCAGCGCGGACCCAAGAAATCCGCTCGGAGCGCCAAAAATGTAGGTTTATGGCGTATTTCTTCTTCTTCGAGAAAAGCTCGGAGCACCTTGAGCCAGGGGCACCTGTATCAACCCCCAAAATGCAGACGACTACGAGGCAGCCGAGCCTACCGAAGCAGGATATGGTTTGAAATTGAATACTGCCGGCAACGGTCGTTCCCCAGGGGAAGGGGACGAGACCTGTCCTCCCCTCAGAGCCCATTGTAGCATCGCAAACAATCACGACTGGAGCCATAGGCCCCCATCTTTCTGCTGCATTATGTTGAGCCGGATCGACCTCTGATGGCCAGAGGGCTCGAAACTGGGCAGAAGGGCTCGGTATGGAAAACTTGGAACGCCGGGAGCTCAGGATCGGTCTTCGTTCCCGTTCTTTTCGTACAGTGGAGGTCAATCCACAAGAAACTTTCCACAAGAAATCGAACCCGGAGACCCCAGGACGTCCATCGATTTTTGGTGCGGGAACGTTACGCTTTCCATCGCAAAACCATCGAAACCCAACAAACCCAGGGCACCCTGGAGGCAAGTAGGGTGTTTCTTGGCATGGGCCCCCACTGTACACGTTTGGGTCGGCCCGATCCGACGCCCGCGAAATTAGTTTGTTTCCCGGTAACAATCATCATCCAGAGGGCGGGTAATGGTAACGCTTGGGCAGGATGGACGGGTCGGGTCCGGGGTGTGCGCTGCGATCACCTTGACATGAGCAACCCCCCACCCCCACGCACGATCGTTACCGTGACCTTGGGGGGGGGAGGGGGGAATTCAGCCCAGGTAGTTAAAACTACCGTACGCGCCAGAGGATACAAAAGCAATCTCCGAGGTGCTACGCTCCCACCGACCAGGAGCCACCCAAAAACGGCTCGGGACGAGACGCTGGTCTCGACAAATGGGATGGGGCTCCACGCGCCAGCGTGGCGAAAAAGTAAAGTCGTCGGAGGTCTGGTCGTTGGTGGAGCGCAGACGAAATGCCCATCGTTCGGAAGAGGTTGGTAGAAACATGCGGTAGGAATACCGTGAAAATGAATCGGATAGCCGCACGTCCCCTGAGAAGGAATGGGAAATCGTTCGATTACGGAAATTGAAGGGCGCCCAATACAGATTGGGAGCTGGGGGCCCCAGAGCCCTCCACCGTGCCGCGAGGCACGAGTTGGAGTGTCATCAGGTCCCTCGAGCCCTTCGGGGATGGACAGACCTCCCTTTAGTAAAACGTGGGTTAGTGAAAACGACCTGAGGCCCAAACCTGGCGGGCGCGAGCCTGGAAAAGAACGGCCGCGGCGCCCCCTCGAGAACCGAAAACGGACAGTTCACCAATCGACGCGTCGCTGCTGGGGGGTCTGTCCAACCCCCGAGCCCTCCCTCGGTCCGCAGTCCCGAGGATGCAGGAAGCACGGGGCCCAGACCTCCGACCCACGTATTTCTCCCGGGGCATCGGCGAAGGAGCCCGTGCGTTCTCGCCAGGACTTCCCCCGAGGCAGGAGCGGCGCACGAGAGGCCAAGAGGCTCGAGAGCAGTGAAAAGCCTCAGGACGCCCTTGATGGGAGTCTTTTCCACCACCACCACCAGAAGTTGGAGGGGGAGGGGGTCCTCCTCCTCCTCCTCCCCTCCTCCTCCTCCTCCTCCTCCTTCTCTCCTCCTCCTCCTCCTCCTCCTCCTCTCTCCTCCTCCTCCTCCCTCCCCCTCCCCTCCTCCTCCTCCTCCTCCTCCCCCCCCCTCCTCCCCCTCCTCCTCCATCCTCCTCCTCCTCCTCCTCCTCCTCCTCCTCCGCCGCCCCCTCCTTCTCCTCTTCTTCGTCCTCCTCCTCCTCCTCGTCCTCCTCCTCCTTCCCCCCTCCAACTTATGGTGGTGGTGGTGGAAAGCACGCCCATCATGTCATGTTCTCCGCGGCGTCCCTCGAGCGTCGATCCCTGTACCCTCTTAGGGGTGCGTTTGGGGCCAGGCTGCGGCGACGGAAGGCAACCCCACGAGGCCCCCAAAAGGGGTGAACCGCTCCCAACGACCTCGATCCCCGAGACGGCCCCACGACCGTATCCACCGCGGGCCCCCGAGCCCCCGGGTGCTGCGCGCAGCGCTGGCGACGAGACGTCCGCAACCCCCCAATACTCCGCAGCGCGGCAGCCGCGAAGACCGGGGCCGGCGTGGCCGCCGCGTCGCGGCGCGGCCCAAATCCTAGACATCCGACGGACTATCTATTTCAGCGGAGGTGGTTGGAGGAGGAGGAGGAGGAGGAGGAGGAGGAGGAGGAGGAGGAGGAGCCCGACCGCACACATACGCACCTCCGACGACTTCGACCACGCCAACGGCCGCAGGGTGTCCTGCTTCCAGGGCGCGCCCAACAAATGTTGCCCCCGACCGGCATCGGCCGCTGCTGCGCAGGCGACTGGTTCGTCCCAGATGGACAGCGTCCACGGCGCCGCCGGCAGCGAGCCCTGCGCAACAAGAGAAAGAACTGCTGGCCCCTGAGATCCGACGTTGCGAAAAAGCTACAACATAGCGACAAATCACGACTGTTGCCCTGGACCTCATCTTTCTGCTGTATTTTTTCGAGCCGGATCGATCTGTGATGGTCCAGGTGCCCGAAACCTAGCGGAGACGCTCGGAGTGGAGAGATCGCAACGCCAAGATCTCAGGGACGGTCTTCGTCCCCATTCTTTGCGTACCCATGTCGGTCGTACCGATCTGGAGCCCGCGACCCCCCCGTGGCGACGCCGACACGGACTACTGCTCAAAGTGGACAGGAACTGCTGTCGGTCTTCGTCCCCGAGATCCTGATTCTCGACGCCGTGCTTCTTGTTCACAACGTGGCCCCCCAAAAATCTGGACCCCTTCCTGCGGACAGATGTTTCATCCCGGGTTGTTCTCTGACAGTCCCAGGGGCCCCCAGCGGCCTAAAACTGCAAAGCGAAAACTCCCATCGTGACTTCTTGAATCGTACCGATGCGACGACCCCGAACCCCCTAAGCGATCAAAAGGCATCTGGCTGCCCGGGCGCCCGAGGCGGCCCGGCCTGCTGTGGCACCTCGTGGGAGCATCCCGGGTCATCCTGCCGGCTCCTGCGAATCGACGCTCACCGTCGCGAGTCGACGCTAAGTCGAAGTTCGTCGGCACTCGGCGCGTTCTCATCGGCTACCAGACGCTAGCGCACGCTACCGCACCCGAAATACAGAACTTCGAGGACACACCCTTGCGGCGCGAAGAGGGGGCTTGGGTTGGGGGAGGGGGGAAGGCTCCTGTCTTAGAAGCCACCAGCTCTACATCAATAGACAAGACCCGCGCCTTCTGACCAGCAACCTCCTTCTGAGAAACCTTCGCCCCTCCCCCTAACCCCCTCTCTGCGCGTGGCCGACAAACCTCTTCCTGGGTGCGTTCTGCCCACAACTTCGAGGGCAATACAGCCGTGGGGACGAGGGCCCTCGAGGACAAGCAGCGGCATCTGCATCTTTTGAGCAAGGACCGACCGTCACGGCATTCCAATAGGCACACGGCGAAATGCTCTTAGATAAAAATAACGTTCTAAGAACAACTTGGCGACTCCGAAGCGCATGGTTTGCACAGGTTGTGGTTTACAACTGGCACCCTGGGGGGCACCCTGGGGGGCGAGCGAGGGACCCGATTGAGCTCTCCGCCGTGCCCCGATAAGGCCCGAATGGGACAGTGTCGTGCCCCCCAGACCCCAACGAAGCCGACCGCAAACCACACCCCAGCACAACCACACCCTCTGTAATCCACGAACAAGGGCCATGTTCTTCGAACAGAAGGCCGGTCAATTCAACTGAGACGGTCTCAACAAAAAGCCATATTATAGGAACATTTCGTGCAAACCATCAAGACGGTCCTCAGTGCTCTCTCTGGTGGGCCTACAGGCTAGCCAGGACGCCTCGCCAATGGGGAAACCGTAACATACCGATGCCGCTAGGTCCCGATACCGCCACTCCCCGAACCTCTCCCGGCGTGCGTTCTGACCAGGACGTCGAGGCGAATCCGGTGGTGGCGACGAGGCCCTCCCAGGAGGCCGAACTAGAGGGAAACGGGCGAAGGGCTGCGGTATAGGGTGCCATTTCCTCCTCGGCGCCACAGCTTCAGCTGCGACGGCCCTCAACCGCCCCCCCCACAGGAGGAGGAGGAGGAGGAGGAGGAGGAGGAGGAGGAGGAGGAGGAGGAGGAGGAGGAGGAGGAGGAGGAGAGGGAGGAGGAGGAGAGAGGAGGAGGGAGGAGGAGAGGAGGGAGGGGAGGAGGAGGAGGAGGAGGAGGAGGAGGAGGAGCAGGAGGAAGCCCCCCCCAAGGGCGCGCGGGCTCGTCCTGCAGCCCGGGCGCCGGAGGCGGCCCAGCCTCGGGGGAGGGGGGGGGGGGCGGGGCGCATCTCTCCCCGTGTCCACGGGCTCACGGGCGGGCCTCCTCGGCCGCGACCCCGTGGCTACGGGGGGGTGGGCTCTGCGCGGACGCCCCGCTCGGAGCGCAGAGCCGTGGGATCGCGTAATCCACGGGGTCGCGCCTCGGCATCCAGACACCGCGAGGGCATGTGAGCACCGTTTGACCGATCCCTATTCGGGCGTTGGCAGAACTGGGTTTAGTGGAACCTGGTTTAGTGATTTGTACCGGAGGCGCCCCCCCGCCCCATTTCCACAAACAGGAACTGCCGTCACCCGAAGAACACAAGTTACAGCAAACCTGGTTTAGTGAATCTGGCCAATTCAAGGGCCCCGGGGCCCTACCGCGAACCGGGTCCCCTTACCTGGGGTCCTGGCTATACCTGACCTATCCCCACGGGCGTGGCCTGGGTCGCACCGGCCGCCACATCCCCCTAGATGGGGGTATAGGCTGTTCCCTTCGAGGTCGGAGGGGCCTATCCCCAACTGGGGTGGTGGGATGGCGGGGGTCGGGGTGGGGATGGGGATCGGTGAAGCGATACTCGAGCATGGATATGGATGTGTTCGTCGCTCGTGGACAGCCTCTGCCAGTGCCCGAGCTTCAGGGCGTGCATGCGGGAGCCTGCGGGGGCGGTGGGGGGGGCGGACCGCCGCGCGGCGCGGCGCGCGGGCGCCCAGCACCCGGCACCCGGCCAAGAGGAACCAGAAACCGCACAAGCCCAAACTGTCGGAGCTCCGCGTGGACTTCGCCCCCGAGAGGCCCCCCACAAACCCCAAGAAGCCCACCAAAGGGCCCGAGGCCCTGAGGGGCTCAAAGACGGCCCCCAGGACGCCGCAGAGGTGCGGCCGCGCCCTTGGCCGGCGCCTCCGGCGCCGCCCCCGGCGCGCTCTTCGCGCGCCAGGGAGGGGGGTCCCGCGCAGATCCAAGAAGTCCGCGCGGAACTCCATAAAGGTCTCCTAGATGTGGTCGGAGGATCGCGCCGCATCGCCGATGCATCGGCGACGTATCGGCGATGAATCGGCGATGCACCAGCAACGTCGGTGTGCCACCAGCGTCGTCGGGGTGGAGAAGCTCGGGCTCCACATCGAGCCGCATCGCCCATGCATCGGCGATGCGGCGCGATCCTCCGACAGCATCTACTCCGACCCCATCTAGGAGGTCTAGACTCCAACAGCTCATGTGTGTGCTGCTTTTTTGTCCGTCTGTCCGCCCTCCGCGTCGTCTCGGCTGCTCGCAGGGGGTGCCGCTGGGCCAGGGGTTGAGCAGGGACCGACCGTCCCGGCATTCCTATAGTCCTACCACGAAATCTTCTCAGGACCCAAAAGTGTCCCAAAACAAAAAAACAATGTTCTTAGAACATGAGCCCGATGCGTCAAAGCAAGACGGTCGCAGCCAGAAGTGTTCTGAGAACATGTCGTGGAAACCACAAAAGGTTATTAGAACATTGTTTGAGAATTCGGCTTAAGTCGGGCCTGTCCCCCTACAAGGGGATTTCAAACGAGAAATAACAAATATTCAAATAATGCTCAAAAATGCCCAAACATAGATAAAAGACACGTCCCCATACTATGCTTTTTACTATTTTTGAATGTTCCCCGTAGAGGGACAGGCCCGACTTAAAGATAGATCTCAAGAGCCCCCCCCCAGAGTCCCCCAGAGGCGCCAAGAGTCTCCCAGGGAGAAGACCAAAGAGGCCCTCGGGAGGCTCACAGGAGACCCCCAGGAGGCTCTGGAAGGCCCAATGGCCCCCCCCCTCCTCGTCCACCTGTTCCATCTCCATGTCATCCTCGCATACAGGGTCGGCGGCACCTGCCAGAGGGCCTTCACAATCCTGGATGCCTCGCGCAGAAATCCCACAAGCCCTCAAAGGCGTCAGTGGTTCGAAGGAGGCTGCTTCTTAGCAGGCGCGGGCCATACATCTACAGAACAGGGCCCGCGCCTTCTAAGAACCAGCTCCTTCTAAGAAGCCTTCCCCCCTCCCCCTAACCCCTCTGCGCGAGTCCGACCTGTATTCAACCGAATGCATCTTCACATCCTCAACGAGCACGAGACCCTCCGGCGGCCGAAACACACAGATCATCCAAGGGTACCCTCCCCAGTACGCACAAAAACATCCAACAAGCACGAAAAGCATTAAGGTGCCCTCCCCGAACCGACCTCGATCTTATACCTCGGTCCATCTGTAGGGGGAGGGGGAAAGGCTTCTTCGAAGGAGGCTGCTTCTTAGAAGACGGCAGCCTACATTTGCAGACAAGGCCCGCGCCTTCTAAGAAGCAGCCTCCCTCTACGAAGCCCTCCCACCTCCCCCCCTGACCCCTCTGCGCGAGGCCGACCTGTATTCAACCCGATGCTTCGCCACGTCTCTGATCAGGGAAAAGAGTCTGGGCATCTTTTGCGGACGGACTGGTGGGGCTACGCGGACCGTCTAGGACTTGAACCTCGGATCACCGCCTCCCCTCCCCCCTCCTCCTCCTCCTCCGCCTTCCTCCCTCCTCCTCCTCCTCCTCCTCCTCCTCCTCCTCCTCCTCCTCCTCCTCTCGCCGAGCAAAAGCGGAGCCGAGGACGTCCAGGTCGAAGCCGTAGGCGTTGTGTCCCGCGATGGCGTCGGGGTCGAACTCCTGGATCTTGTTGAGCAGGGCGGCCAACATGACGGTCTCGTTGTTGAAGTGGGCGACTCCGGAGGGGGATGGCGGGCAAGAGAGGGGGGGGACGACCTCGCGGAGCCGGCACTGGCCCGTGGTGCAGGGAGGGGGTGGAGGAGGGAGGGCTCCACGATGGGGCCTGCGGAGGGTCCAGGAGGTTTCTGCAGGTCTCTGTGGGGAGGCTGGGGTAGGGAGAGAGAGCGGGAGGGGCAGGTCAGAAGGGGAGGAGCAGGATGAGGAAGGCAAGAGAGGGGGGCAGACACAAGGGAGGGGGACTCCTCCCTCCAGAAACCTCGAGGAACGTCTGGAAACCTGCAGGGGCCTCGAGCTAGCTGCCTCCTCTTGTCAAAAATAGCCCCCAGACCTATCTGGGGGTGCGTTTGAACCAGAACGTCAAGGCGATTCCGGCCGTGGCGCACAACACTCACGATCCGACAGCTGCAGGGGTGCGCTTTGACCAGAACTTCCTATGGCTCCCGCCACGCTCCCCCTTTCTTTTGCAGCGGCAAAGCACCCGTGCTCTGAGGACGCTCCGTTTTGACCAGAACTTCGAGGGGGATCCAGAGCCCTGGCGACGAGGCGTCTCCAGGAGACCCAGGAAGAGCGAAGAACGCACAGCATCCGACTGTCAACTCGAATAGCGCTGTGAACGCACCCAGATCCGATGCCGTGTTTTTTCAATACGGGGTCTCCGCAAGTTCTGACCCGTTCCCCAGGGCCGGCTTTCATCGGCAACACGCAAGAGTGACCCTGGGTAAGAGTGACCTTTGGTGCGCGGCTTTTGGGGGTCCGCGAGGGGGCCAAACACAAGCGCGCAAGACGCCACTGCCGCCTCGCGTTCGGCGATCGGGGGGCCCCATTTGGCCCGCACCTAAGGTCACTCCGGCGAAAGGTCACTCTTACGTCTGGTCGATTTCATCCTGCGTCGCTTTTCGACGGTCCCGGGGCCCACCGATGGCCACCAGATGCCGGAACCGGCGAACAAAAACGTTCGTCCTGATTTTTCTCAATATCTTGGAGCGACCGACGGCTGCGGCAGCGCCGACGAAGACGGCGTCGTGGCGACGGCATCGGCGGCGGCGCAGGCGGCGCCCTTCTTCTGCGCCAGCAGCGCGTCGGAGCCGCGGGGCAGCGGCGCCGAGTCGATCCGCCGCACCGCGATCCAGGTGGAGATGCCGCTGCGCAGCTGGGGGCCGGCGGGGGAGGGGGATCTTGGAGGCTCTCTGCGGGCGACTATTGGGAGGTGTTCGTCGGAAGGAGTAGGGTTAAGTCGGGCCTGTCCCCCTACAGGGGGATGTTCGACGAAAAATAAAAATACCCCGAAAATAATCGAAAAGTAGTCCAAAAATAGTCTGGGGACTATTTTTTGACCCTGTTGGTGTATTTTCGGGGTATTCTTAATTTTTTATCGAAAATCCCCCTGTAGGGGGACACGCCCGACTTCAGAGTAGGGAGAATTGAGCCCTGTTGGGGGGCTGCTCGGGCTGCTTGGGTCGCGGACGAAGCAGATCGGTGGATCCCGCTGCAACGGGATTACGCCAGAGTGAGCTGGGCTGAGCGAAATCGAGCCGCATTGAGCCCGATGTCGGACCAAGGCAATCAAAATTTGACCTCCCAGGAGCTGCATCCGGAGGCTTCGAAACGAGGAACGGGAGGAACGGAGGAGGAGGAGGAGCAGAGGAGGTCCAGGGGCGGCGCCTTGCTGAGCACGGGCCGACAGACCACTCCTCACCTTCACGACGTCCGGCTGGGCGAGTTATTCAACAAAGACATGTGATGCCCCGCGCCGTAGATCAGAACCGATCAGCTGGCCATGTCCCCGTCCCACCCTCCTGAGCGTCAAGCACGACGCAGATAAGGGTACTTCTCAGCACTGGCCCAAGTGGAGAGAGCCACCTCTAAGCTCAGCAACCTTGGCTCGCAAGGCAGTCGAGACGGCGACGCTCGACGGGCCAAGATCCCCTCGGAATAGTGCACCAGGATGTGGCAGTTCACGCGGTGGATGGGGTCGTAATCCAACGGCTGGACGGCGGAGAGCAGCGAGAAGCAACCAGAGACCCCACACCTCATACCCGCAGAGGCTGCCGGCAAGACGGCAGCGCGGTGTCGTGGGCCCCACCGCGGGCGGCGCCACGCTCGCAGCGGGAAGTGCACCCGTGCTCCTGGTCCTGGCTGCCTTGACCTTGCCAGCGCCTTTCTGGAGCACGCGAAGGTGGTGCCTTCGCCCTCGCATCCGCTTCAACATGGTCTTCTGCACTGACCGCGTGGCCGATGAGGCCGGAAGGTCGTTGTCGGGATCTCTCATGTGCTTCTGCCCCGTGACCTTGAACCTGGAGCATCCTGGCGAAACCCTTCAAGTGGTGGGCCGTCCAGGCGGTGATTGCAAGGTGGCCTGACTTCTCAAGCTGCAGCACCCGACCAAATGTGCCAACATTCGGAGGCAATTAATGGGGGAGCGATACATGGGGGGGAGAAATGTGTATCTTTCGTACCCCTCTTGGGCACGAGGAGGCCTCTTTAGGGCCTCTTGAGGGCACAAAAGGTGCACCTGTCTTCACCCCCCCCCTTCATCGCACCCCCATTACCCGACGCCCGAAGAACACTGACGTGGCAATCGCCAATACCCAGGACCTATGTGGACCCGTGCCGATCCAACTCGACGCCACGTCGTCCACCAGGTCCCGCGGGCGCACCCCCTTAGCGATGGCCGAGGTGAGCCTGAGGCGGTGGGTCAGCAGGACCATCAGGAGCGTCGTCGTAGGAGGAGGAAGAGGGGGAGGAGGAGGAGGAGGAGGAGGAGGAGGAGGAGGAGGAGGAGGAGGAGGAGGAGGAGGGAGGAGGAGGAGGGGTGGAGGAGATGGAGGAGATGGAGGAGATGGAGGGGATGGAGGAGGAGGAGGAGGAGGAGGGAGGAGAGGAGGAGGAGGAGGAGGAGGAGGAGAAGAAGGAGGAGGAGGAGGAGGAGGAACAGGGAGGAGGAGGAGGAGGAGGAGGAGGGGATGCCAGGGCGGGGATCAGAGCGGGAAGGAGAACACCGAGGCGCCGAGGGGGGCCGAAGACGGGGGAAACGAGGGCGTGGAGGAGAATGACGCGGGAGCGTCGGGGAGGACTTCTCGCCTGGAGAGGGAGGAGGAGGAGAAGGAGGAGGACGAGGAGGAGGAGGAGGAGACGCAGGAGACGCAGGAGAAGGCGCAAACGGGGAGCCGAGGGATGAGGGCGAGGAGGGAGACGAGAGGGCGAAGAGGTCAGGGGGGAGAAGAGGGGGGCAAGGGGGAGGAGGGCAGAGGAGAGGGGGGCACGGGCTTGGAAGAGGGATGCCGCCCCGATAAAGGAGGACTCGACCTCTAAACCAGAGGTAGATACAAGAGAACAAGAGAGAGAGAGAGAGAGACCAAGCAATGAAGAGAGCGAGAGAGAGAGAGAGAGAAAGAGAGGGAGAGAGAGAGAGAGAGGGGGAGAGAAAGAGAGAGAGGGAGAGAGAGAACGAGAAAGAGAGAGGGAGAGAGAGCGAGCGAGAGCAAAAAGACAGAGAGATAGAGAGAGAGAGAGGGAGAGACAAGAGGCAGAGAGACAGACAGAGACAACAGAGAGACGAGAGAAAGAGAGGGGGAGAGACAAAACGAGTGTCATAAAGGGAGAGAACGGCACAGAGGGGGGGGGAGAGAGCGAGCGAGAGAGAGACGGAGGGGAGGGCCGCCGAAGGGGCGGCCGCGCGCGCCGGCCTCCTGCTCCGACTCGCTCGCGTCGGGGCTGACGTTGGGGTGCATGGTGCAGGCGATGACCAGGGCCTCGTGGGGCTCCTGCCAGGGGAGATCGGCAAGTCGGGCCTGTCCCCCGACAGGGGAAGTTCGGACGGAAAGTAAAAGATAGTCAACAGAATACCATCAAACACTCAAGAATGGCCAAGACATCGTCCCCAGACTGTGTTTGAACATTCCTCCTGCAGAGGGACACGCCCGACTTAAGAGAATCGGCCAGCGGCATGGCCACAGAGAGCGCCAGCTGTCGTGAGGCTTCCAGGTCCACAGATCGCCCCCCCCTCTCGCAACCTCCTCGATACGAGTGGCCCCATAAATCGGGGATCTTCTGACCCGGGTCAAACCAGACCCGGGTCAGCAAGAAACCAAAAACTGCAATGCAGGAAAAGAAAACTGCAGCGCAGGTCCTCGCAAACCCGGGTCAGCCAATATGTGCGGCCGCCTCGCGGCCACGAGCGGCTCGCTAACCCGGGTCAGCCAAACAGGGTCTTCGCAGGATCCTGCAGGATCCGATGCTGTGGCTGACCCCCGTTTGCACTGACCCCCGTCTCAAGGCTCCCGAAAAAAACACTGCGCGCGCCTGCCGGGCGCTCTCTGCACCTGAAACACCAGCTCTGCAGGCTGCCAGAGTCGGGGGGGAAACGGAAGGGGGGGATAGCAAAGGGTAGGGCAGCAAATCGGCTCACGTGGCTGATTTTCCCAGCGCCTCCCGGCGCCCATGTGTCGAGGAGTGGACCCGGCGGCGGAGCCGAAACCAGCTGCATGCGGCGGATTTCGTAACCCCCCCTTCACCTATCCCCCCCTTTCGTTCGGCCCGACAGAAGCATGGCCACAAGAGAGCTGGTCAAGAGCACGAGCACCGTCCCCAAAGGCCCAAAGCCCCTGAGAGATGCCCCAAACAAAGGGCACTCCACGGGGTGGAGAGCCCAAACACGAACCAGATCGGAAAAGAACGGGAAGCGCCGTTTTTGTCCATTGGGCTCGTGGGGGGGACGAGAAGAAAAGGATGATGGCGACGACGAGGCGGCGGATGTCGGGGATGGCAGCGTGGATGACGGGGAGGGCAGCGAGGGGGGCCGAAGGACGACGAGCAGGAAGACAGGCGCGAGAACGAGAAGTAGGAATCCGCGGGCCCCCGAGAAAAAAAAAGGCGTGCGATGAGCTGGCCGACGCTTGCCCCCGAGCCTCTGGAGTCTCCAGACAGTCCAGGGAGACGGCCCCAGAGGGCCCAAACAGAGCACCAAGACTGTCCAGGCGAGCGTCGGCACGGCCCAGGGTAGCGCCACCAGGGTCCACGGTGGCTCCGAGAAGGCCCACGAGGCTCCCCAAGACGGGCCAGTTCCCACAGGACCGCCGAGGGCCCCAGGAGGCAAACAGAGTCCCAGTCCCGCAGGGCAACGTGTGTGTGCGTGCCTGTGTGTGCGCGTGTGTGTGTGTGTGTGTGTGTGTGTGTGTGTGTGTGTGTGTGTGTGTGTGTGTGTGTGTGTGTGTGTGTGTGTGTGTGTGCGTGTGCGTGTGCGTGTGCGTGTGCGTGTGCGTGTGCGTGTGCGTGTGCGTGTGCGTGTGCGTGTGCGTGTGCGTGTGCGTGTGCGTGTGCGTGTGCGTGTGCGTGTGCGTGTGCGTGTGCGTGTGGTGTGCGTGTGCGTGTGCGTGTGCGCGTGTGCGTGTGCGTGTGCGTGTGCGTGTGCGTGTGCGTGTGCGTGTGTGTGTTGTGTGTGTGTGTGTGTGTGTGTGTGTGTGTGTGTGTGTGTGTGTGTGTGTGTGTGTGTGTGTGTGTGTGTGTGTGTGTGTGTGTGTGTGTGTGTGTGTGTGTGTGTGTGTGTGTGTGTGTGTGTGTGTGTGTGTGTGTGTGTGTGTGTGTGTGTGCGTGCGTGTGTGCTTGCAGCATGCTCGCCTTTTTCGTCTTCATGGTGTCCAAGACGGGCGAAGGGGCCGACAATATCGTCCCAAGGCAGCCCATGAGGCCCTCAAGAAGGCTCCAAGACGGCTCAAGAGAAACCCAAGACGGCACCAGGGGCCCTCAAGACGGCCCAGGAGAGGCTCTAGAGGGCTTTACGCGGGGCCCAAGAGGGGCAACACGAGCTGACACACCGAGCCCCCCCCCCCCCCGATGGGCCATAGTCCCCCAAGGCGCCCCCAAGAGGCCACCAAGAGGCCCACAAGGCGTCCCAAGAGGCCACAAGAGCCCTCCAAGAGGCCCCCGACAGGCATCCCAAAAGACCCTCAGATACATTTAATAGGGTTGTGAACCACAACTCAGGCAGGGTGGGCGGGTTGGGTCGAAAGGCGGGTTGGGCTGCAGGCCACAAAACAACTTCCGGGAACGTCGCAAGCTCTTCCGTACTCCTTCTGGGAGTCGGCGGAATGGCGTAAGCCACTCGAACAGCCTAAGAGGAACCCCCACCAAAGCCCGGGATATTCTTAACCCTCGTGCCAACGTCCCTCTCCACTATAGGAGGACTTTCGAAGAAAAATGAAACATACTCAAAATACACTCCAAAATTGTCAAAAAGTGCTCCAAAAATACTCCCCAGGCTATTCTTTGACTATTGTTTAAGACTCCTCCTGTAGAGGGACAGGCCCGACGTAAGGGCAGAAGCATGCAGCAGGAAGGCGTCGACAATCCGTAGAGCGAGCTCCCGGCCACCTCCCGAAAAGCAGTGAGCAGGGGAGGCCATTCGATTCTCGAAATGGAGCAGCACGGCGCCTAACTTTGCCTGTACTCTTGGAGTCCTCAGATTGCACTTTGGTCGGCGGGGCGAGAGCGAACTTCTTCCGCTAAAGGCTACGCGTCGCACGGCTCTAATTAGGGAGACAGGGCACAGGCGGGCGGGGCCTCAGGCGGCCGGAGTGGGCGGGGCCCGGGGGGAGCCCCCAACTTACACACATCCGGCTAACCATAGGTACGCGCACGAGTCGCCCTAGGCAGGAGCGGTCCTCCCCCCCCTCCTCCACCTCCTCCCCCCCCCTCCTCCACCTTCTCCCCTCCCCCCCTCCTCCCCATCTCTGACTCGGTGGTGCGGGCGGTTCTCCTGATGAAAGATGGCGCGATCGACCATTGCCGCCGGTGAATCGGCGGGAGGAGAACTAGAACCAAGAGGAACCCGGAGAGACAGGCGAGACGGAGTAATTACGGATACCTGTGACCAGGGAGGAGGGAAGGTCACGTAGCTAAACATCCTCCCCATTTCGCCTCCCGCTCCTCATCCTCCTCATCACGCAGGAAGTGGTCCTACAGTATGGGGCTCGACCACACGAGACCTTCCACAAGAAACCCAATCTTGAGGCCCCAGGACGTCCATTGACTCTTTTGGTGTGGGTGGGCTGCTCATTCTGGGGACCTTCCTGAAGCCACTCGCTCCATTCGTGCGTCGAAGCTGCGTCGAACGTCCGTCGATTTGCGCCGACCTTGAGCTGAACCTGAGTCGAACCTGAGTGACCTCGAGTCGAACTTGGATCGGACTTGAGTCGAACTTGAATCGAACAGCGGTCGAACTGGAGTCGAACAGGTCCGTTAGGTGGACCCCGGAAAGGTCATACAGTATGGGGCTCGACCGCACGAGAAATTCGACAAGAAATCCAACCCTGAGACACCAGGACGCCCACTGACTGGAGGAGGAGGAGGAGAAGAAGGAGGAGGTGGAGGAGGAGGTGGAGGGAGGAGAGAGGAGGGAGGACGAGGGAGGAGGAGGGAGGAGGAGTGATGAGGAGGGGGAGGAGGAGGAGGAGGAGGAGGAGGGAGGAGGAGGAGGAGGGAGGGAGGAGGAGGGAGGAGGAGAGGGAGGAGGAGGAGAGGGAGGAGGATGAGAGGAGGGAGGAGGGAGGAGGGAGGAGGGAGGAGGGAGGAGGAGGAGGAGGAGGAAGAGGGAGGAGGAGGAGAGGAGGAGAGAGAGGAGGGAGGAGGAGGAGGAGGAGGAGGGAGGAGGAGGAGGGAGGAGGAGGAGGAGGGGAGGGGAGGAGGAGGAGGGGGGGAGGAGGAGGAGGAGGGAGGAGAGGGAGGAGGAGAGGAGGAGGAGAGAGGAGGAGGAGGAGGAGGAGGAGGAGGAGGGGAGGAAGGAGGAGGAGGAGGAGGAGGAGGGGGGAGGAGGAGGAGGAGGAGGAGGAGGAGGAGGAGGAGAGGGGAGGAGGAGGAGGGAGGAGGAGGAGGAGAGGAGGAGGAGAGGAGGGAGGAGGAGTGGAGGAGAGGAGGAGGAGGAGGAGGAGGAGGAGGAGGAGGAGGAGGAGGAGGAGGAGGAGGAGGAGAGGGAGGAGGGAGGAGGGGGAGGAGGGAGGAGGAGGAGGAGGAGGGGGAGGAGCAGGAGGAGGAGGAGGAGGCAGGAGGTCGAGGGGCATGGCAGCCCACGAACCCCTGGGCCCCCTGCAGGCAGGCAGGCAGGGCGTGCCTTGGCCTGGGCCTCACCTTGGGCAGGCAGCCGGCGGCCCGCGGGTCGCGCGGCCTGCCGATGGCCGCGCACGGCGCGCAGGCAGCGGTCTGTGCATCTCGGGGATGCTGTTTGGCTTGCGTCGCGCTTCTGTCCACACTGGGCGATCTCGTGGTGCTTCGGGCCGCCGAGGGCCCTCACGCATCGGTCCAGCTCGGGAGGTGCCGCCGAAAGAGGAGGTCCGCACGGCAGGTTCGCGCGGCGATGACGTCGGCGGGGGGGAAGTGAGAAGGAGAAGGCCTTCTCAGAAGGCGGCGGGACTGCTCAGAAGCCCTCGCGCCGTCTGAGAGGTGTTCTGCGTCTTCGGGGAAAGCTTAGAACACTTCTCAGGAGGCCGCGAACTTCCGAGGCTTCTGAGAAGGCCCGCCCCTTCTCACTTCCCCCACTCGCTCGCCGCCGATTCTTAAACCCAAAAACTAAAACATATCAAACATGATATTGAAAAGGTTGGAGAAATTCTCTCCAGACTACGAGAATGTTGCCCACGTTTGAAGTATTCCTCCTGCAGAGGGACACGCCCGATTTACGTCTGGCTGCCTCGTTCCCCCGGCCACCCCTCCCGAGCGCCGCGCGCCCCGAGGACACTGCGGCGAAAGGCCGCTCTCACGTGCGGCCGAAGGGGGCGAGGGACCTCTTGTTGGACCTTCTTTTCTGAAGGGGCCCAGGGACACACACACACACACATACACACACGAAGAGAGATAGACACGATTCCCAGGATTCAGCATCGTTCCATTCGTTTCTGGATGTTTCCTGTCGATCCACTGTCCATCAACTTCTGATGTTCTCAATAGTTGATGGGAGTCGACGATGATTGGAGTCTGTGTGTTTTGTCCTTCGTGGCTTGTGACCAAGCACGAGAGGTCATGCGAGAGGGGGGAGGGGAAACACAACACTGGACGATAGCAATAGGCAATTTCAGGTGTGAAGCCCAAGGTTGTGGAGGCACGTTGGCACCCCTCCTTACCGCCGTCGCCTTTGGCCGAGGGATCATACAGTGAAAACGTATAGTGAGGAGGCGTGGTCAGGACGCAAGACCCTTGGAGGCCGAAGTTGAAGTATTCTGGGCGGCAGGCGGCCAAACCCCCAGGGAACCTGAGAAACTGGCCTGCGAAAATTGCTAGGGACGGACCGCAGGGGCTGAGGCAGGCAAGGACCCAAGGGTACCCTTGAAAAAATCGCTTGTCCTTACTATGCGCGTTGACTGTATGGAGGGCCTCGGCCCCCTCTGGTGCCTGTTGGCGGCATGGTGGATTGGTCGAGGCCGTGCGAGAGGGGGAGGGGGAGACGGAGAGCGGGGACAAAAACGACAGACACCCGAGGTCGGGCAGCGACCGGCCCTGCGTGGGGCATGGGCGGATGGCACCGCAGTGCCTCGGATGGCATGGCCTTCGTGACAATCCTGCACGCAGGGGCGCCCCTCGAGGCTTCTCCACGGCTCCGTGTCGCAAGCGTCAGCTGATGGGCCTGTTTTCCACCACCACCACCACCATAAGTTGGAGGGGGGCAGGAGGTGGAGGAGGAGGAGGAGGAGGAGGAGGAGCAGGAGGAGGAGGAGGAGGACCCCGTCCCCCTCCAACTTACGGTGGTGGTAGTGGTGGAAAACAGACCCACCATAAGCAGTCCAGATCCCTTCAGGGGAGGGGAGGGAAGACGAAGGGCGACCCACGAGCGGAGGTGCCCCAGCGCAAGCAGGACCAGCGCCGAGTCACACTGCCGCAGCCGCAGCAGCCAGCCCCCCCCCCTCCCAGGGACCAGCTGCCAGGGCGCCGAGGGGACGAGCGAGAGGCCCGACGGTGCGAGGGAGGCGGGAACGTGTGTTTTGTTGTCCCCTTTCGTTAGTCGTTTTTGTTGCGTTTCGCCCGTTGCCTCGCTCCAAACCTCTGGCCCTCCTGGGCGGTTCTCGCTCCCGTCCTGGCGTGTCCCCTGGCCCTCGACCACGTCACTCACCGTCTCTGGGGGGTCGCTGACGCAGCTCGAAGATCGCTGCCACGCTGCCAAGAGCATCCTGTTTTGCCCACGATGCCGAAGACGACGACGGCAACGCCAATAAAGCGACGATGGCGCTGAAAACTACTACCACGACGTTGACGTGACGCTCGGGGGTTGCCAATGCTGAGACCTCCCCGTCCAGTGATTCAAAGACGAGGTCCAATAGTTTCCCGAGGATGCCTCCAACGCCAAAGGCCTCCGACATCCCCCAAACCGGGCAGCGGCAAAAGACGAGGTGAGAAATTCGGGATCTCACGGGTCCGAACAGAGTGGGCCGGATGAACGCGCCGCATCGCCAATGCATCGGCGCCGTCGACGTGGAGATGATGGGGGTCAACATCGAGCCGCACGCCCAATGCATCGGCGATGCGGCGCGCCCCCCCCCCGACACCATCTACCAGAACCTCACCTGTAAAGAACAAGCATAAAAAGCATGAGCGTAATCTTCCCGAGGTCCACGCGGATTTCTTGGCTCTGCGCTGGACCCCCTCTCTGGCGCGCGGAGCGCGCCAGGGGCAGCGCTGGAGGCGCCGCCGGGGACACCCAGCGCAGATCCAGGAAGTCCGCGCTGACCTCCGAAAGCTCATGTTTACACCCTGCGAAATGCTTAAGAAATCATGGGTTAAGAAATCTCAGAACTTGAATAAAAACCCAACATTTCCATTGAAATCTTAAGATGTACATTGAAACGTTAAGAATAATCGAGACTCTGGCCGAAAACTTAAGTTTTCTTAAGCATCGCCTAAGGTGTATGCCTCGTTTGGAATCAACACAACCCACTCACACCCCCAGCCAGGACCCCCACTGCCGACCTGGTGATCCAGGATGTCCTGGCTGGGGGGAGGGTGTCTTCTGACTCCCAAAAGCCATCTCCAACACCAGCCGGGACATCCTGGATCACCAGGTCGGGAGTGGCGGTCGTGGCTTGGGGTGGGGATGGGCTTATGCTGTCCTCGTTGTTCTGCCCTTCGGATGTGGGAGGCCCGCAGGTTTGGGGGCCCCTGAGACGACGAACCAGAGCTCCGACGCCTTGATTTGTTCACGACGTCGACCCCCAGAAGTCTAGACCCATTCCCCGAGAATGGCTTTCATCCTGAGTCGTTCTTTGACCGTCCCGGGGGCCTGGCGAGGGACGGCCGAAAAGCGCCGAAAACCTCCAGTCGTGATTCTCGTCATGATGCGGAGGGGATGCCGACATTCTTTGCTTCTCCAATTTCATTTGGGAGGCACGGAGTTTTGAGGCACCTGAGGCGCCGACGACGCCGAATCGCCTGTTCGGGTCTGCCCGCCCAATCGGCCTGTTAGGGTTGTCAGTCGTCGTCGCTTGACAGTCATCGCCGTCGTCGCCGCCGCCGCCAGCGATGCCGTCGACCACGCCGAAGCCGAGGATGCACGCCGAATGGGCCAGCGCGTGGGCCGCATCCGCCGGGCGGGCGCTTGCGTCCTGGGCGCTCTTCTGCATGGTCTGCATGCTGATGCCTCGGCCGCCACGACAGCGACGACTGGGACGGTGCCACCGAAGCCGACGGCAACGAAGACGACGTCGACGCGGACGACGGCGACGACGACCATGCCGACGACGACGACGCCGACGAAGACGACCACGACGACAACTGCGACGACGACGAAGACGACGATGTTGACGACGACGACGACGAGGGCGACAACGACGACGACGCCGCCAACGACGGCCACGAGGGCGACGACGCCGCCAACGACGACGACGCCGGCGGAGGCGCCGCCGACTGAGGCGCTGACAGTGAAGGCGACGACGACGACGACGACGACGACGAGGGCAGCGACGGCGACGACACCGACGACGACGACGACGCGAGGAACGATGACGATGGCGGCGACGATGAGGGCGACCAGGGCGACGGCGACGTCGAGACGTATGGGCTACGCCCCAACCAGAGCAGAGAGCGCGCGCGGCGGTGCGGGAGGGGGGCGTGTGTAGTAGAAGGAAAACACACGCGGATTTCTTGGATCTGCGCTGGGCCCCCCTCAGGGGCGGCACTGGAGGCGCAACCAGAGGGCCCCAGCGCGGATCCCAAAAATCCGCGTGGAGCGCCAAAAGTCTATGTTGATGATGGCTTATTCCTCCACGACAGAGGAGAGACCGCGCGCGCGGCGGAGCGGGAGGGGGCGTGTGGGGAAGCTTCTCGGGCTTATTTTCCACCACCACCACCACCATAAGTAGGAGGGGGAGGGGGGTCGTCCTCCTCCTCCTCCTCCTCCTCCTCCTCCTCCTCCTCCTCCTCCTCCTCCTCCTCCTCCTCCTCCTCTTCCTTTTCCTCCTCATCATCCTCCACCGCCTTCCCCCCCTCCAACTTATGGTGGGGGTAGTGGAAAACAAGTCCATCACTTTGGGCTCCTCTGGAGGTCTCCCGGGTACCCTGCGGGCCTCTGGACACCGCCACCCGGCCCGCTCCGGCAGACCGAAATCCTGAAAAAACGCGTTCTCCTCCCGAGGACCGCGTTCTGGATGCTCACTCCGGGGACCTTCCTGGAGACAATCGCTCCCCTCGTGCGTCGAAGCTGCGTCGAACGCCCGTCGATTTGAGCCGGCCTCGAGTCGAACCTGAGTCGACCTCGAGTCGACCTCGAGTCGAACCTGATCCCCGAGGGCATCGAACTTCGCCCAGGGAGGTCCCCCAAAGCGGGCACCGAACGAGCAGTCTCCACCCGCGGAGCCGCCCCCCCGCCTGGCTCCCGGCGACCCCCGCCGAGGGCGCGCTGCCCAGCCTCCCGGGCCGCTCGAAGCCGAGGCCCCTCCCGGGGCGCACCGACCACAGAGAGCAGAGGCTCCACCCTCAGGATCCGCCGGCCCCCTTGCGGGGGCCACCAGGCTGCGAGGACGAGGATTGCAGCTCCCTATGCCAGTTGCAGTTGCCAGTTTCCCCTGTTGCAGTCCTGCTTTCTGCTTCCTCACTGATAATTGCTGCTGTCCGCGCGAGGGGTGGGAGCCCCAAACAAGTTCTTGTTTTGGTTTACGACGCCCTGGGAGGTGTCTCAGAATTCGTGGGGGGGCGTGGGACATATAAAAATACATTATACTCGCATCCCCCAAGCCATAATCTCCAGTAAGTGACACCAGAGTCGCGTCCCCGAGGCCATAACCCCTTGCAGATTACCTACCCCATGTTCGCGTCCCCATAGCAATAATCCTTTGTAATTTACACGAAATGTGCGTCCCCGAGGCCAAACACCTGTGTAAATTACGCAACATGCACGCCCCCGAAACCATAAACCTTTGTAAATTATACAAGGTTCGCGCCCCCGAAACCACAAACCTTCGAAAAGTATACAATATTCGCATCCTCAAAGCTATAAGCCCTGTAAGTTGCACCATACTTGGGTCCCCGAGGCCACAAAGCCTAGCAGATTATACAATATTCGCGTCCCCGAGGCCATGAACCCTTTGTAAATTACACCATATGTGCGCCCCCGAGGCCATAAACCCTTGTAACTGATTCGATAGTTGCCTCCCAGAGGACACAAACCCTTGCAAATTACTCAAAGTTCGCGTCCCCGAAGCTATAAACCAATGTAAATTCTTGATATTCGCGCCACCGGAGCCATAAACCCTAGTAAATGAACATTGGCCCTCGCGTGAAGTCCCGACTCTGCTTCACGTCGGCGTCCAGACATCCCAACACAGCTCTGGCAAGTCCCATTCTAAGAGAGGGGGGCTGGCGGCATGGGGGCGAAGCCCTTACGGATAATCAACCCAGCACGCGAAGCCGTTTGGCAAACACACACAGAGAAGGAATCGAACAGGGCAGGGCTGTTCACAGTAAACGCCCAGGGACACACACACACAAACAAAAACACAAAAATCCAAGGATTCCCCATACTTTTCTGTATTTGTTCCGTTTTCGTCTTCCCCCCCACTTCCCGTAGTTTCCAATATTTTCCTGGGGATCGACGATTAATTGTGTCTGTGTGCCTTTTCCCCCCCTGACCCTTGGACGCGCGGTCGCATGGATGTTCGCTGGCAGCTCATGTGAGCCTCACGTACCATCTATTGTAGGCTGTTGCGAATCGACGCTAGATAGACGCTGAATCGACGCCCATCGACGCCAATCGAAGCCAGATCGGCGCTGTCCCATCGACTCCCAGACGCCAACCGACGCCAGTTGACGCGAAAGACAATTCTACGAGGGTATATGAGGCTCTCATGATTTGCTGCCGAGCGCGGCAAGTTCGCATCGTGTCCACCCCGGCGGTGACTTCTGACACCGTGGGGGTCGTTCGACCTTGAACGATCGGCTGTTTCCGGAACGTCCAAATCGCTCCGCATCGAAGGACTCTGGGTCGCCCGCGGCGTTCAAACTCGAACGCCGCTGGCGGGGTCGCCGCTGGCCGACACGACACGAACCTGCCGTGCACGCGCTCCGCGCGGAGCAGCCGCGCAGCAACGCCGCCCCGCTCCGCCCCCCCTGGCTCGCGGCCCAGGGGCCCCGCCCTCGAGGCAGTGCATGCGGCTAGGCTTCCCCGCCCGCTGGGTTCAGTCGGGGATTTCCGACGACAAATAAAAAATGAGAAACCTACTCACACATGGTTCAGCAATAACTCAAACGACAATTGTCCCCAGACTATGTTGTGAGTAGTCTTGCTTGTTCCTCCTGTAGAGGGCCGTGTCCGACTTGACCCAAGGCAGCCTCGGCGCCTCGCGCCGCCGCCATCGTGAGGCGGGCGAGGCTGTGCGCAGAGAACTCCCCCCTCTCTGGGTGGTCCCCCGAGCTCATCCGGGGGAGGTCCCAACGCCTCAACCCTCAGGGGGCCACATGTAAACCCTACCCCTACCCCTCACGAGTTCTGAGGGGGAGGCTCGGGCTCACTCCGCTCGGGAGCTCCCGAGCGAAGTGGACCCCACCCTCCCCCGCAGAACTCGTGGGGGGGGGGCATGGGGGTAGGGCTCGCACGTGGTCCCCTAAACGCTGGGGCGCGGAGGGCCCCATGCAGAGGCGCCGCCCGGGCGCCGAGACCGCCCAGAACTGCGCAGCGGGCCTGTCGAGGCTGGCCGGGGCCGCCCGAGGGGGGCCCCCCTGGGCGCCACCCGACGCCTCACCACGAAAGGCGCCGCGGCCTCGCCGCGCTCTCCGGGCCGCGCTCCTCCAAGAGGCGCAGCGTCGGGCCCCGCCTCCCTCGAGGGACCTGCGGAGGGGGCGTCTGCCCGTGCGCCACCCGACGCCCTATGCTGCGTGAGGCGCGGCGGCCTCCACGCGCTCCCCAGGCCGCGCTCCTCCAAGAGGCGCAGCGCCTGGCCCCGCCCGCCTCGGGGGGCTGGTGGTTTTGGGGAAACCACAGAGGTACGGAGACGACTTCTCCCCGGACCTCTCCTGGGGTGCGTTCTGTCCACAATTTCGGGGCGGATCCAGCGGTGGCCACGGGGCCCTTCTCGGAGGCCCCACAAGCGAGAGATGAGGCAAGGGCAGCTAACTAGCGGTATGGGTGCCTTTTCTTCCTCTTAACCCCTCCTCGCCCCCTCTCCTCCTCCTCCTCCTCCTCCTCCTCCTCCTCCTCCTCCTCCCTCCTCTCCTCCTCCTCCTCCTCCTCCTCCTCCTCCTCCTCCTCCTCCTCCTCCTTCTCCTCCTCCCTCCCTCCCCTCCTCCGCCTCCTCCTCCTTCCCCTCCTCGTCCTGCTCGTCCTCCTCCTTCTCTTCCTTCTCCTACTCCCACTCCCACTCCTACTCCTATCCTTATTCCTTATTCCTTATTAGAATATACTCCTACTCCCCCCTCAGGCCGGCCGATAGGGGCCGCATCCGGGTGGTCCCATCCTAACCTGTAAAAAACAATACAAAATCAACATTTTTCTTATTTGTTCCTCTCGACATGGACGTCCTGTCGTCCACGGCGATAATCCATTGCAAAAAATACCACAAAGAGCACACGCGCGCGTTCATGTCAGAATCCTACCGAACACCGTGTGTTTGCAAGCATTTCAACATAAAAACATCAAAAACCCAATGCTTTTTCACAAAAATTGTACAAATTTCCCGCCCGGGCTCTCTTGCTGAAATCATAGGAAAACCATAGGAATCTTAAGAATTCGGTCAAATCCAGCGATTTCACGTCATCGCGCGGTGCACTCGCGATGCTCTGTCATGCACCCAGGCCGCGAATCCTGTGCAAAAAATACCACAAAGAGCACACTCGCGCGTTCATGTCAGAATCCTACCGAACACCGTGTGTTTGCAAGCATTTCAACATAAAAACATCAAAAACCCAATGCTTTTTCACAAAAATGCTTTGGGGTGTCCTGTCAGACCGTCGGGCTTCCTCCGGCCACCTCTGGCTTCCTGCGGTGTACCGGGCCATTCTCGACTCGTCTGGCAATGCGTGCGCGGCATTCAACACGCGCTCGCCAGTTCCCGTCGGCAACCGCCATCGCGGCCGCATCAGCTGTACCAAACCGGCTGGCCGGTGTGACTTCGGCCCCCAGTTGTGCCAGCTTTGCTTCTTATGTTGTGGGAGGGCGGGTGGGACTGGGCATGCCATGCTTGACTCGCTCGAGCTGGCTAGCTTGACTCCTACTCCTACTCCTACTCCTACTCCTACTTCTACTCCTACTCCTCCATTCCGTTCCCATATAAATAACTGTTCCCTGTTGCACCACGGCGTGCCACTTTTTAGGGCGGGCCAAGCGTTTCGCCTGAGACCTCCTCACCATGTATGACCCTTCAGCTGAAACATTGGCAACAGCTTCACAGATGGAGGGCGGGTCAAAGTGTGGCTCTCGCCTTAGCGCCGCGCACATTCGCTTCAGTTGCAAGAGTTTCGCAGATTAAGGGCGAGTCGCTTTCAAAATGTGGCTCTCGCTTCAGCGCCGCGCACATTCGTTAAACTAATGACACGAGGTTCACGGAATGATGGCGGTTCCTTTTCATAATGTGGCTCTCGCCATAGCGCCGCGCGCATTCGCATATAACAATTGCAAGAGTTTCACGGGTTCCCATGATCCCCGTATCAGCAATTGTGTAGTGGACGGATTCAGGATTACGCGGGTGCAACAGTTACGTTGGTTCGCTGTGTTTAAAGTCCCAAGAATGACGTTCTGGTACGATTCGGAATCATCAAGACGCAACAGTCAAGTTGATCCGTGGCGTTGGAATCCCGAGAACAATGTTTTGGCATGCTTCAAGGTCTTCAAACGGTTGTCTTCCAACGAGGCAGTTCACCCAATGGAAATACGCCGTTGTATGGGCATATGCAGAGGGCGATTGGAAAGGGGGGAGGGATATTCCAACATCGTTGATGACTCTTGGGTTTGCATCGGTCCTCCTCCTCCTCCACCTCCTCCTCCTCCTCATCCGCGCTCCTCCTCCTCCTTCTCCCCCCTCCTTCCTCCTCCCCCCTCCTTCCTCCTCCCCTCCTGCCTCCTCCCTCCTCCCTCTCCTCCTCCTCCTCCTCCTTCTTCCTCCTCCTCCTTCTTCCTCCTCCTCCTCTTCCACATCTTCCTCCTCCTCCTCCTCCTCCTCCTCCTCCTCCCCCTCCCCCTCCTCCTCCTTCTCTTCCTCATCGTCCTCCTTCTCCTCCTCCTCCTCCTCCTCCTCATCCTCAAACCTCCCTCGCCCACCGGTCAAAGCAAGAGCCACGAACGATCCGTCACGGCCGCCGCATCGACAAACGCTGAGTTCGCCAACGCCCTCCCCGACCTTGGCCCCCCCTTGAGGGAGAAGGATGAACAGGAGAAAGCCAAGAGGAGGCCAGTAGGAGGAGGAGGGCAGGAGGAGGAGGAGGAGGAGGAAGGGATGGAGGAGGAGGAGGAGGAAGGGATGGAGGAGGAGGAGGAGGAGGAGGAGGAGGAGGAGGAGGAGGAGGAGGAGGAGGAGGAGGAGGAAGACAGGTGAACAGTCGATGGCGTTACATGTGGTTTCAAGGGGCCCCTTGGGGAGACTCTGGGGCCGCTCCCGCTTCCGCTCCAGCTCGTGCTGCTGCTCCCCTCCTCGCCAGGACGACGAGGCGGGCACTCATGAGGCGAAGCGGAGGGCTCGACGTGGGCATGCCCATCTCCTGCAGCTTCAGGGCGTCCTGTGGCTTGCTATGTCCCTCTCGCTCTGTCTCTCTTGTGTTGTTTTGTTTGTTGTCTCTTTCTCTCAATAACTCTCTCTCTCTCTCGCTCCGTTTCTGTCCCCTTCCCTCTTTGTTTTGTCTCTGTCTATCTCTCTCTCTCTCTCTCCACCTCTCCTCTCTCCAACCCTCCTGTCTGCACGCATGAGCAAAGTATGCTGACGTGTGTTTGTGCGTTGCCATATGTGTGTGCGTCGCTCTCTATACTTACGTCGTGTAGCTGATCTGTCTCCCTGGCTCTTTCTTGCTCGTTATATATATATATATATATATATATATGTATATATATATAGATATAAAGATCCCCTTCGCTTCGTTATCTCGATCTCTACGTAGTTACCTGGATGTATATCGATATGTGTCTCTACATATCAATACACCCGTCCTAAGATGGTCTTAGGCGTTCGTGGCGCTCCCGAGGTGTTTCGCGTGAGCTTCCGGGACAGCAGCCGCCAGAGAGGGCCCCGACACGGGCCCACATGTCCTCCCAGGGAACGCCAATAGCGGCCCGAAGAGGGCCGCAAGAGGCCAAGACATGTCTTCATGCTTTTGGCAGAATTCAGCCTTCTCGCCTTTTTCAGCTTCCGAAGGCGCGATTCTGTATTCGCGGCGATAACGGACGTTACGTGGGGGGGCCGGTGGGAGGGTAACACCGTGACGCCCATCCCCGCCGCCGTGAGTTACGGAGCCACCACAACCTCCGCGCGCACGACGAGGACAAACGACGAGCGACGACGAGCGACGACGACGACGACGACAACGACGAGACGACGACGACGACGCGCGACCACGACGACGACGACGAGCGACCACGACCACGACGACGACGACGAACAAGAGCTACCACGACGACGACGACGAGCGACCACGACAACGACGACGACGACGACCACCGCGATGACGACGACGACGACGACGACAACGACGACGACGGCGAACGACGAACGACGACGCCGACGACGCCGGCGACGACGCGAGCAACGCCTCCAATGGTCTCCGGAAATTAATTTCTTGATTCTTGAAAAGCCTATGGATGCCTCCTGAAGCTTCTGGAAACCTCCAGAGGCCTTCCGGAGGTCATCCGGAGACTCCAGAAGCCCAGAAGACATCCGAAGGCGTTTGGCAACGACAAGCGACCGCGAGCGATGACAACCGACAACAAAGACGACAAATACGGAATTGACGACTACGACAACAACGAAAGGCGCCGAAGACGACGACGAGAGACGACAGCGACGGCCACAACGACGACGACGGCGACGACGAGCGACGACGACGACGACGACGCTCTCTGACGCGGCGTGGGACCGTGTCCTGGCACTGCCCCCGCGCCGAGCAGGGCGCGAGCGAGGCCGCGCGCGCCGCTCGGGCCCCACGCGCACCGCGATTGACCGCGCGGCGGAGGCGCCGCCCAAGTGAGGCGGACCCCGAACCCCACCAACGGGCCCAGCCTTCAACCAGCCCGCCTGGTTTCTGACGGTGCCGCCTCGCGGCCCCACCTCAGCCGAAGTCCCGCTTCACCAAGCTCCCTTCGGTCCCTTCCAGCGGTCCCCGCTAGCCTTAAGGGCCGCCGCCTGCTCCTCCTTGACGAGCTCCGCCGCCGTCGGGCTCCGTAGCCAGTCCTCGTCCTCATTGATCCGCCCCGTTTTCGCGCTCAGGCGCGTCGCGGTCGCTCCCATCGCCGCCGCGTCGTCCTCCGCATTGGACGTGTCCAGCACCAAAACTCCCGCAGGGTCGCCCCCCTGCGTGACGCGGGCTGCGGGCTTCCGAGGCGGCCCGTTGGACCAGTCCACGTCGTTCGCCGATGCCACCCGCTGAATGTCCGCCCGCCCACGCCGCCCCACGGGCCGCCGCCGGACCAGGCTATCCTCCTCGGTCTGGGTTCCTTGAGGTCCTCGCCGCCGCCCCCGACCATCAGGCGGGAAATCTCCTGCTGCACGCGCTCCGCGACCGCCTCCGAGTCGACGGAGCTCTCCTGCTCGCCATCCATCTCGCTCTCGTCGCTCTCTGCCGCGTGATGGAGCCGCCGACGCCGCTGCCGCCGCCGCCCACGGCCGCCCCGACCGCCGAAGCCGCCAGCCGAGCCGCCGATGCTTCGGCAGCCGCCGTCGCGATGGCCGCCTCTAAGACCTTCGGATGTCCTGGTCGTCCTGCTCCTTCTCCAGGCCGCCCTTGCCGCTCTTCTTGCCCTTTTGCTCTGTACCGCTCGTGCTGGCCCCCGCCATCTCAAGAGCCCCGTCGCCTCCGTCGTCGCCGCCATCGTGCTCTCCCACAGCCGCCAGCTCGTCGAACATGTTGGCGCCCTCTGGCGGCGCGCGGGGCCCGAGGCCCTGGCGAGCCGCCGCAGGGCGCCTCGCCTTCTGCCAGCCCTGCTGCTCGCCCTTCGCCTACAGATCCTCCAGGTCGCACTCCTGGGTCGCATCCTGTGGAGTGTCATCGATCACCTCCTTCCCCTCCTGGTCCTCCTCCTTGGCCAAGCTCTCGTTCGCGACGCCCTGGCCCCCTTGCCGATCTGCGCCCTCGCGGCCTCCCCCGTGAAGTCCCACTGTCCCGCCGCCTGCACCACCGCCCACTCAACAACGACCTCCAGGATGGGGATGGCCATCGGCGGGGTCCAGCATGCCGCCCCACACTCGCACCAGCAGCCTCCCCCGAGGAGGCTCATGCGCAGGTGTGTAGCGACCCGCACTTCACCACGGCCACTCAGTTCGCCATCGCAGGCCGGCCCCAGCGCGCGCGGCCCGCCGCTGGCGCTAGTCGCAGCACGAGCTGAACTCGCGCCGAAACTTGAACCGAAATGGCTTGAGCCAAAGTGGCTACGGACGACGACGACGACGAGGACGACTACGACCGACAACGAAGAGCGACGAGGAGTCGTGGCGAGCACATGCCTGCGAAGGCATCGTTGCCTCCACGTGGCGTGTGAGGAGGTCTGCTCCTTGCCTCCCTCCTCCACCCTCGTCGGTGCCGTCGTCGGTGTCGTCGTCGTCGTCGTCGGTGTCGTTGTCGTCGTCGTCGTCGTCGTCGTCGTCGTGCCCCTATGCGTCCCTGGCACCGCCGCCGTGCGCATAGGGTTCCTATGCGGATCCCTACGCGCACGGCGGCAGTGCCGGGGGCGCACTGGGGGCCAGAGCGTGACGTTATAGGGGGGGGGAAGGAGCGGGGGGGTCATAACGCGCGTTATGGCCCAAGCAATGAAGAAACACACTCCAACGCTCCAAGACGGCCAACAAAGCAACCCAGCGCGCCCCAGGACTGGCCAGGAGGCCCCAAAACGTCCCAAGAGTGCTCCACGACGGTCCAAAGGGCCCCCAAGAAGGCCCCAAGAGGGGGAACACGAATGGACATGTCAAGCCTTTCCGCCCCAAGATGGCCCCAGGAGCCCTCAGAGGCTCCCAAAAGAGCCCCTTCCAGAGACTCTCGCGACGCCCCGAAAGGCACCCGAGAAGCCACCGAGTCTTTTCAGAGGCATCCCCACTGGAACCTCACGTGCATCCAAGCGGCCTCTGAACCACAGCCCAGGCACCCGGAGTGGCGGGCTGGCCGGCCACCAGATCCGCCGCCCCCCTTTGTGGGCTTGCAACAGGGGCGCACGGCGTGCCAAACTTTCGTTTTTTTGTGTTGTTCTCTTGATTGTTTGTCTCCGTCGAAGCTTCCGAGGCATCGGGTGTTGCTAGAAGTGCCCCTGGCCCCAGGTGCCCCCAGCTTTTCGCTCCACGTTGGAGCCCCGGGGGCCCTTCTGGGCCTCTTGAGGGGTGCTTTGGAGGCCGTTTGGGCTACCCCGAAAATCCTGGGGGCACCTTGGCCCAGGGGCACTTCTAGAAACACCCGAAGGGACTCTCCGTCAGAGTTTCCGAGGGACTTTCTTCGGCCGCGTGCGCCGGCACGAGAAAGGGACCCGCGAGCTTCCCAGGTCGTGTGGCTTCCCACTCCAGGCGGCCCCAAGATTGTCTCTAAGACGGCCAAGACAGTCTCCAAGACGGCTGCGATGGCCCCGAGGGGGCCCAAGAGCGCACGAAGGTGTATCAAAGAAGGGAGGAGATGCCCCACAGATGGCCCAAGATGGCCTCAAGGTGGCCCAAGACGACCCAAGAGGATTCCAAGACGATCCAAGAAGGCCTCCAAGAAGGCCTCCAGGAAGGCCCGAAGAGGCCCTGATCTCCTGCATTCCTCGTCGATTTCGGCTGGCCGATAGCTTGGCCAAGCTCTGGCCGAGCTCTGGCCGCAACGGTTGCCACGTTGGCGCTCCCACAAAGAAGGGGGCGGCGGTGATTCGCCGCAGGCCTATCCGATACACCATGTGCGTTGCCAGTCTGCGTGCGCACTGCACCTGTACCATCTCTATATGTATATGTATATGTATATGTATATGTATATGTATATGTATATGTATATGTATATGTATCTGTATACTATATGTATATGCGTATGAATAGGAATATGAATATGAATATGAATATATATATATATATATATATATATATATATCAGGAGCGGCCTAGAGGGGGGTGCCCAAGAGGGGGGGGTGCAAATCATGACCGGCGGCATGTGCGCGGCCCAGCGGGGGGGCCAGGGACGTAATGAAACAAGACGAGGCGCCATGAGATCTGGCGAAATATCATGGCCCACGCCATGATTATCCACCCCTCCTAGTCATCACCCCCCTCTTTTCCGCCCCCGAATATAACACCTCGCTCTCCCTCCCACGGCGACTACACCATACATGATCCCGGGCTCCAGGCCCATGGGCCCGCCCCCGCCACCCTCCAGATGGGATGGGTCTCAGGCGACGGCGACGACGATTATTTCAGACTGGCATCTTCCTCCGTCAAGGGTAGCAGTTTACGGCATTCCTAGCACGGCGTGCATGTGCCGATGCCGATGCCGATGCTGTCGTCGTCGTCCTCCTCCTCCTCCTCCTCCTCCCTGATGGGGGGGGAGGGCCGGACTCAATACCCACCACCGACCGCCAACAGGGGAAGACCCCACCACGCCACACCCACCCGCGGGGGGGGGGCCATCGCGCGGGAGGGGGCCGATGGCATCAGCATGATGGGTGGGGCCAGCCCCTGACCAGCACACACACACACTCACGTAAGTGTATGTGAGCATGCGTGCGTGCGTGCGTGCGTGCGCGTGCGTGTGCGTGTGCGTGTGCGTGTGCGTGTGTGTGTTGTGTGTGTGTGTGCGTGCGTGCGTGCGTGCGTGCGTGCGTGCGTGTGTGTGTGTGTGTATGTGTATGTGTGCGTGCGTGCGTGCGTGTGTGTGTGTGTGTGATATCTCTCCTCATCTCTCTGTCTCTCAATCTCTCTCTCTCTATATCTCTTCTGGACACGTTCCTTGTTCCTATGTGTGCTAACTCCCCCTCCCCCCACCCCCGTCATCCACGCAACAAGCTTGCAGAACAGAGCGCACAGAGGACGAGAAAACGTTGAGAGGCCATGGTGCCAGGGCGAGACGTCGATCGAGTCATGGCAAGCAACCTTGCGGGGTCCTCTCTCTCTCTCTCTCTCTCTCCTCCGATGCGATCAGAAACCAAAATGTGACCACGGTCGGCTTCGGGGCACGCGCGCCAACCTGGCTCATCAGGGCCCGGAAACTGACCCCCCCCCTTCCCCTTCCTCCCTCCACCCGCTGAATGATCCTCAGAACGTGTGTTAGCGTCAAAGCGTGCTGGTCCACCGAAGCAATTCAAGAGTACGCAGGGGGTGCAGCGATGGCCGACACAGGCCGAACGGGGCAAACCAAGCACGCATTGGGCTAACACTCGGTGGTTGCTGCAGGTGCCCCCGGCCAAAAGGTGCCCCCAGCTTGCCGCTCCAGCCTCCGGGGGACCCCCTGGGCCTCGTGAGGGGCGCTGCGAAGGCTGTGGGGGCCTCCTCGGAGATCCTGGGGGGCACCGTGGGCCCCCGGCCAGCTGGCCCTCGCTCGGGCGTCCGTTCCCTTGTGCCTTTTTGTTCCGGCTTCGTGCGTGGCTGTCTCGCCAAGTGATCCAGGGATGCTCCTCGATGGTCCTCGCCGAAGGAACAGTGCACACGTCCGAGCGACGCCAGTGGCAGGGGTACTCTGGCAAGCTCCGGAGCACACGTCCCGAGGCTCCTCTCGAACGCGGCCTCCGGTCCTCGGCCTTCTTCGGCGCGCAGATGGTCTCGGGCCGGATGCGCAGCTCGACGGCGCAGAAGGACAGGCGGGCGGGGTCCTGCGGGCTGGGCGGCCGAGCAAGCCAACAGAAGCACCAGGTCTGGCGAGCCAGGCTCCAACTTCTCCCCGTCCCCAAGCTCGGCAAGCCAGGAGCGACGACAATCTCGGGGGTTGTGCCCTCAGAAGCTGAGGGAACCCTCGAGAGCGGCACCGAGGTCAGGTGATGCCAGGCGGAAAGATGCGTGTCAAACTGGCAATCCACTAACCAACCGGACCACCAATGCTGAAGAACAAGCAACCCGCCATCGTTCGGACGTCCAAGCCCCGTGCAGGTTTTTCGATATCGTGCGTGCATGTTTCCGTAAGGTGAGCCGAAGCCATGCACGTTTCGGTATCCTGCGTGCACTTTTTTCGCGAGGTGAAGCAATCAATGGGAAAGTGGCGCGTGCCCGTACGGGCCTCCTTCGAGCGTCGGGGGCAGCAGTAGGGGGGATCGTGATAGGGGGGGGATGCCTCGACCCCCCCCAATTGCCCATGGATCGCCGAGGAGAGGAGAGGCGCCTTTTCCGAGCGATGCCAAGGCAACGGCGCAGGCGTGGACTTCCAATAAAGGTCGCGCGGATCTGATTTCTTGGGACACACTCACAGACAGCCACACAGCCACACACACACAAACACACACACACAAATGGATAGACACGAATCCCAGGATCATCCCCCACATGTTCTGGTCCTCTTCAGGGTGCTCGTCTTCCCCCCCCCCGGATTCCCATATGTGCTCCCTCAGTTCCCTGGCGGGCTTTTTTTTACTCGGCGTTTCGACACTGGGCGGAAAGGGGGAGCGGGAGGGGGGAGGGCCTTCCTCCGGACCTCTGCTCGCATTCGTCTGCTTGCAATAACGCGCGCCCCATGGGCGAGACTCCACCCGCTCGAAACCGGCGCCAACAGACAGCCGAGATCTACTCCATGGGGGAGGGGGGGGGATGAAGGGTGCGAGGGCCCGCGCCGACCGGCAAAACAATGGATAAAAAACGATCACCTGGGAATCGACAATTCTCATTGCACCAGCCTTGCAGACGTGCTGCAGCGGATCTTTGCGTGGATTTCTGCGTGGATTGTTTCCCGAAGCGGCGAGCGAAAAACGAGGTGAATTTCGCGTGGATTGTTCGGGGGTCTTCATTCCTGGCCAAAAATTCCGCACGAGATTCACCTCGAAATACAGAACATGACAATTCATTGTGTCTGTTTGTCTTTTCCCCTCCCGATTGCTCTCAGAAGTCCGCGGCACCTCGCGCGCGCCGCGGGAAGGGGCGGGGAAGTCCAGCGCCATCGGTCGAGCTGAACGGGGCTACCGTTAGGTTGGGCATGTCCTCCTACAGGCGGATTGTGGACGAGACATGGAACATAGTCAAACAAACATTAAAACAACAAATGTTAAACATACTAGAAAAATCGTTCCCAGACTATTGTTTGCCTATTTTCGGATATTCCTCCTGTAGAGGGACAGGCCCGACTTGAGGCTGCCGAAGAGCGAATTGCCCAGCATGTAAGAGGAGAGACTGAGTCAGACAGGGCGGCCGCGGAGGCGGAGGGAGGAGGGGGGGCACTCAGATTTGAGCAGGGACCGACCTTCCCGGCATTCCTGTAGTCCTACCACGCAATTTCTTCGAAACCAAAAATGTTCTAAGAACAAAAACACTGTTCTTAGAACATAGGCCCGATGTTCTAAAACAAAGCAGTCCCAGCCAGAAATGTTCTAAGAACATTTCGTGGAAACCTCAAAAGGTTCTTAGAAGATTGTTTGGTAGGGCTATAGGCGAGCCAGGACGCTTCGCCACTGCTTGACAGATGGGACGCGCAAAGACATGCTAATACCACATGTCCTCCTTGGAGCCGCGCGTCCGACCCGAACATGCAGTATGCCCATCTTGTAGCGTATCGTTTCCCGAGCGGTGTGGCCAATCATCGCCCGCCACGATGCATATACTACAAGAGTTCTCGGTGCGCGCGTCGCCCCTGGGGTAGCGACGCACATGCAATAGAGGCATGTTGGGGTGACGCCGATCAGAGGTGGAAGACTTCCGTCCTGAGCGCGCTGGAACGCGCGGACCTCCGAACACACACGATCTGGACGCACCGCGCTATCAAACCCCAATCAAACCGGTATCGAGCCAGAACCAACATGAAACGGACAACATCGGACAGGACAGTACGCAACAGATGAACCAGACACGAAGCCCAGCTTACGATAAGGTAAAAAAACAAGCCAGCTGACCGATCCATTAACCAATCGACCTGCATCACAACAGGCCAGGCAGACAACCTCCAACTACACCCCTTACCCACAAACGAAACAGACATACCGACAACATCAAACGATACGCCGCAAAAACTCCCAATCGATCGACCTACCAATCATTCACACGCCCACCCGACAGGGCCGGCCCACCTGTCGACGGACCAGTCCGCAAACCAGACCGCACAGGCGCAGCGCGTGAAGTAACCCGCCGTCGGCCAGACTGAAGCAGTGCCACTCCATATCAGCGAGGGTTGAATCTCCACGCGCCCCCCCTCCGCGCGCCCGTGCAATTCCTCCTTCCACATGTTGGGCTCCAGCCGCAGCCAGGAGGGGCCGACGATGCGCCGCGTGATGAGCAGCCGCTCCAGCAGCGAGGTCTGCACGCCGAACGCGTAGCGAAAGTGCTGACCTGTGTGGGCCCGCTGCGCGAAGGAAGGGCACTCCACGCACCGCACGCGAGGGGAAACGGATGGGCGTCCTGCTCTTCCTCCTCCTCCTCCTCCTCCTCTTCCCCATCCTCCTCCTCATCCTCCTCCTCTTCTTCCTCCTCCCCCTCCCCCTCCCCCTCCTCCTCCTCCTCCTCCTCCTCCTCCTCCTCCTCCTCCTCCTCCTCCAAGGACCAGCTCATGGAGGAAGCCATCGAACTGGACTCGTCGAGGGGCACCCGACACCCGACAGCGGATCCTCGTGCTCCCGGGCGGGGTGGGCTTCTCGCTCGGGCCCCCCGTCCCGGCGATCCGTGGGCGACCCGGGGGGGGGGTCCAGAGCGTCCTCCCCTGCGCCAATGCTCCCCCAGTGTCGGCTTTTGTGATGCACGAGAATGTAGGGAGCCCACAAAGGACGTACGCGCCCAGCTATGTACATGAACGCGGCCCCTCGACTCGCGAGACCGGCCGCGTGATACGAACACTTGTGCAATGCGCGCTCTCGAAACCAGCGTGGATTCATGTACATGCACGTCCTTCTTTCGCTCCTCAGAATGAGGTCCCCCCGCGCCGCCGGGGCTGGTGAAACGACCTCGCAGGGCGCGAGAGATCTTTTCCAGTCCCGCGCGGCAGGGCCCGAAGACACCACGGGAGCCACCACGCCGCCGCGGCCGTCCCCGGCGGTCGGGCGCGTCGGCGCTCCTCACCGGCGCCGCCGCCGTGTGTGTTCGATGTGGCGGGCGCCAGCCCCGCGAGTCGCCCGAGCGGGGAAGCCAGTTTTTTTGACCATCCAGTCGGGGGCTTGACCTAAGGAACCCAAAATAAGAAACGAGGCCCCTTTTTTCCATGAGTTAAACTTCGATTTCCGATCGAAAACATGAGGAAACCTGAGGCAAGCTGCGAAACACTTACGGAACGCGGAGCCCCTCCCCAACGAAAAGGGTTCCTTCTTCAAGACCCCTACTGTACGCCCCGTTGACTTCTGTTGATCGCAGGCTGACAGTATCGCTGCCACGGGACTCCGCCAGTCAGGAGGCATCAAAGCTGCACAGGAGGTGCTCGGCGCGCCAACAGGCCGAGCTCTGCGTGGCCCCTCCGCAGGAGCTCCAGCGGTCTCTGCAGAGGCCACTCCCCGGAGAGGCCCCCTAGCGAGCTTCCAGGAGGCCGCCAAGAGGCCCCGTCAGAAGGCCCCCCAGGAACACCCGGGAGGCCCCGAGCGGGCCCGAAGGCCTCACGGTCTTCCTCATGTTCCTCCTTCTCCTCGCTCTCCCCGCTCTCCTCGCTCTCCTCCTCCTCCTCCTCCTCCTCCTCCTCTCCTCCCTCCTCCCTCCTCCTCCTCCTCCTCCTCCTCCTCCTCCTCCTCCTCCTCCTCTCTCTTCCTTCCTCAGCTGTTCCCCGAGGGCTTCCACCAACGCCTGGGGGCACACGTGATCCAAAAGCCTGGCCAGGCGTTGGCCCAGCGCCTGGCCACCTCGGCAGCTCCAGCAGCAAATAAGAAAGCACGGGGCGCGGCGGGGACTCGCCGCAGGCGGCTTCGGCTCGCCCCTCGCCATCCTCCCCATCCTCCCTCCGCTCCTGCTCCTCGTCGCGCCTCCCTCCCGTCCTCCACTGTCGCGCTCCTCCTCCTCCTCCTCCTCTCCGTACACCCTCCCCCGTACCGTCCCCCACCCCGTCCTGATCCCCATGCCTCCCCTCCCCGCCCCACGCTTCGCGTCCCCCGCACCCGCATGTACATTGGGACGCGTGAGGAGGACAGGGTGCCATCTGTGCCGCGACCGCACCCGGCTTGACCCACCACCGTCGTCCCCCCTTCCTGCGCTCCCCGGCCCTCGCTTGGGGAACACCCCACGCATCGTCGACCTCTCCAGAAGGGACGTCGAAGCCGGCCCCCCCGCTCGGGCTGGCCCCTTGCTGGTCCTCCCCCCCCCCGGTCTGCCCCCCCCCCGCCAAGCCGAGCTCGTCCCCTCCTGCCTGCCCCTCCCGCCCACGCCGCCTCCCCCAGGCGTCGCTGGCCTGCGCCGTTCCTCTCCCCCTGCGGCAGCAGCGAGAGCGGCGCGCTCCGTGGGCGAGCGCACGTCTTAACGGTGGGGGACAAGGGAGACAGGAGAGGCGGGCCGCTCAGGCGATCGCCTACTTGCCTTAGGCCGGGCATGTCCTCCGACAAGGGGATGTTGGACAACAAGCTTGAAAAACCGTCAGGAATGCTCTCACATAGTTAAGAATTAGTGAATAACTCGTCCCCCGACTATTTTCCGACTATTCCTGAACATTTCTCCCGCTGAGGGACAGGCCCGACTTGGTATGTGCCCCCTCCTGCGCCTCCCTGCACCCGTCCCAGTCCCATCCTCCACCCCTCCCCCGGGGCGGGCCTGGCTCACGTGGCGGCGACCCTGGAGAGAGGGGGAGAGCCCCGCTCCCCAGCGGGCCCTGGACACGGAGGGCACTTGCTGCACCGTGCCAGTTTGTCTACTTCGTTCGCAACCCGCGGCGCACCTTGTTCGACGTTGTCGGAGCATTGTTCTGCCGCCTTCGTTCCCCCTGGTGTGGGCCTGCTCCAGATTGATCCAGACCGTTTTCGAGCCGATTCCGAACGTCCACTCGGATCGCCGGCCTGCCCAGGCAAGCTCGGTGAACCGTGTGTGTTACCGTGTCAGTCAGGCGCTAGCTTTTGCGGCTTGCACGATCCGGAAACTGTTTCTTCGACAACGGTACAGTCGGGGCGTTGACCTAAGGAACCCTAAATAAGGAACGAGGCCCCTTCTTTCCCCTAATTAAGCTAAACTTCGACCTCCCATGGAAAACCCAAGGGAAACTGCAGAACCATCGAGGAGCACCGAGCCCCTCCCCAGCGAAAAGGGTCCCTTCTCCAGGGCCCCGACGGTAGGAACAAAAGCGGCCCTGTCGCTTCTGGGGGCCCGCCAAGCCCCTTCCATGTCGCGAGATTGCCCTGGCCCCTTCTTTCCCCGAGTTAAGCTAAACTTCGAACTCCCATGGAACACCCAGGGGAAACTGCAGACCAATCGAGGAGCACCGAGCCCCTCCCAAACGAAAAGGGTCCCTTCTCCAAGGCCCCGACGGTAGGAACAACAGCGGCCCGGCCGCTTCCGGGGGCCCGCCAAGAGCCCCTTCTCATGTCGCGAGCGTGTCCCTGCCCCCCCTCCCACGTCCTGCCCCGCCCCGCCTCCTCCCTTTTAGCAAGGGCCGACCGCCCGGGCATCCCCCCGGCGCACCACGACGTGCCACGTCAAGAGGATCTCAGCTGCCGATGTTCTAAGATGAAGGGGCCCTGGGACACACAAATAAATACACACAAATAAAACGATTCCCCATATTTTCCAATATTTTCCGGGTTTCTGTCTTCCCCCCCACTTCCCATGTTTTCCAATATTTTCTGGGAATCGCCGATGAATTGTGTCTGTGTGTTTTTCCCCCTCCTGATTTAGCAAGGACCGACCGCCCGGGCATCCCCAGGCGTACCACGATGTGCAACGTCAAGATGATCTCAAGTGCCGATATTCTCAGAGAATGCTGCGCAAACCAGGAAGAGGACGAAGCTAAGACGAGGACACGTTCATCGGGGGGCGCGCACCATGGATTTGGCGCGCGGTCGCCTACTCTATGGATCGGGGGAAATGCCCTCCCCGAAATGCGGCCAGTGCCGCCTCGCTCGGCGGCGACAATCCGCGAGATCCCATGGAAACGGGACCCTGCGCTAATCCACGCCCACTTGATCCATGTTTGCGATCCCCTGAATTTGAGCAGGGACTGACCGTCCCGGCATTCCTATAGTCCTACCACGAAATGTTCTAGAACCCAAAAATGCCCCAAGAACAAAAGCAAGGTGCTCAGAACATCAACCCGATGTGATAAAACAAGACAGACTCCGCCAGAGCTGTTCTGAGACCATTTCGTGGAAACCACACAAGGTTCTCAGAACTGAAGGGGCCCTGGGACACACAAATAAAGTTACACAAATAACAAGACTCCCCATATGTTTCCATATTTTCTGGGATTTCGTCGTCCCCCCCACTTCCCATATTTTCCCATATTTTCGGGGGAATCGATGATTCATTGTGTCTGTGTGTTTTTCCCCCTCCCGGAGAACATTGTCTGGTAGGGCTATAAGGCGAGCCAGGACGCTTCGCCACTGCTCAAAACCAAGAATCTCTGAGATCCAGCGGCTCGAGAGGCTGCCTTGGGCGTCGGGGCCTCCCCAGGGCGCTCCGGAGCGCTCTCGAGTGGCCTGGAGCCGCTGTGCCCTCGCCCCGGCCCCGTCCGACCACAGAAGGCCCCGAGATCACTCCTTGGCGGGACTGCGAGGGGCAACGATCGGCTCGGGCGAAAGGGGGGGTTAGCAAAGGGGGGGGGAGAATCAGCTCACGTAGCTGATTTTCCTGGCGCCTCCCGGCGCCGGGAGGCGCCCATGTATCGAGGAATGGGCCCCTCGGCGGGGCCGAAACCAGCTGCATGCAGCAGATTTCGTAACCCCCCCTTTCCCGATCCCCCCCTTTCGTCCGGCCCGAAACGATACGGAGGGATAGTCGGAAGCTGGAACATCTGCATCACCAGTGAAGAGCTCTCCTTCAACCCCAGGACTCTTTTGGAGGGTCGGGGACGACGTCGGGGTGGTGTGGTGTATACTTTTTCCCCGTTTCCCCAGGAAGACAAAGAAACACGTATACACCAGGACCCCGTGTACCCCAAGATCCGCTTGCTTGTGAGAGTTCCAGTGCAGGGCCAGAAAAAGCGTTGGTGTATATATAGAGTTCGGTTTCCTAGATAGGCATCAGGGGGCGATGCATCGATCTGGAATCGGCGATACATCGTCGATAGATTGGGGATGGGCCCCCGATGGCGGGGCTATCGGGTCCCTATCGGCGATTGGGGGTCGATGCATCCCCCCCTATGTCAGGGGCAGCAAAGAGGGGGGTGTCCAAGAAAGGGGGGTGCAAATCATGACTGGCGGCATGTGCGCGGCCCAGCGGGGGGGGGCCAGGGACGTAACGAAATAAGAAGAGGCGCCATGACATCTGGGGAAATATCATGGCCCCCGCCATGATATCCCCCCCCCCCTAGTCATCACCCCCCTCTTTTCCGTCCCCGACTATGCCATTCCCCCCCTGTCGTTGCCCCCGACACTATAGGCAGGCCAGGACGTCTCGCCACTGCCTCACGGCGCCCTGCAGGGCCCCACGCCGAGCCCCCGGCCGCTCATGCCCGTGGGTGGCATCTGGCCGGACGGGTCGCAAACCACCTGGCCGGTGGCCGTCACGGGGTCGAGGCTCCCCCGCCCACCTCCTCCTGCGCATGCTCCGCCCGGCCCCCCAACCTGTTCTCCGGCTCCCTCAGAGACCCCCCCTCTCGCGGCCCTTCCCCTCCCCATTCCTTGCCCTGTCCCCTCTCCCCCGTTCCCTCCTCCTCCTCCGCCCTCCTCTCAGATGCCGGCTCTTGGCCAGCGCGCGATGACCGCTACATGTACCTTGGCTTGGATGCTTCAAGAGGGGCGCAAGTAATGTTCCTCCAGCCCCTCCTCGTCCTTCTCACCCTCCTGTGTCTTATCTCCTACCCTGTCGTCGTCCTCCTCCGCCTCTCGTTTGCCCCGCCTGCCTCTTCATCCTCCTGCTCCTGCTGCTCGTCCTCATCCTTCCTCCTCTCTCCTCCTGCTCCTCGTCCTCGTCCCTCATCCCCGGCTCCTCCAACCTCCCTCCCTCCTCCTTTACCCCGCCCACCTCCCCCGTGCGGGTTCCTCCCGCTCATTGTTTCTCCTCCCCCTCCTCCTCCTCCGCCCTCCTCCGCCCTCCTCCTCCGCCCTCCCCCTCCGCCTCCTCCTCCTCCTCCCCCTCCTCCTCCTCCTCCTCCTCCTCCTCCTCCAAAAACCTGTTCTCGCTGAAGCGCTGGCCTCATGTTCGGGCTACCGCTCGTTCCGAATCGTGCTCCTGCTGCAGCGCTGGCCTCCTTTCCGCGCTTCCGCTCGTCCCGAATCGTGCTCCCACTGCAGCGCTGGCGTCATTATCTCCAGTGCCATACCACGGCATGGCTTTCGGTCCTTCCAAGTAGGCCCCAAAATCTAAAAAATTGTCTTCCGAAAAAAAATCGGAAGTGATTACACAATCGGTGCCTGTTCGTTGATGTTCTGGGCCGCAGAAGCTCCCCCCCACTTTGGGGCGTCGCCACACCACGCCATGTCATGATCCGCGTTGATCTTCAACACCATGATATGTCAGGTAATGCTATGCCATGTTGCGACATCCGATTGTCCGAATAGAGAGGAGATCTACGCCATGGTAAGGGATGGCAGGGAGGGGCAGGACGTCAGATATGACGCGAGCGCACCTAGCTTGTCCCCCTCCCCCTCCCCCTCCCCCTCCCCCCCCTCCCCCTCCCCCTCCTCCTCCTCCTCCTCCTCCTCCTCCTCCTCCTCGTCCTCCTCCTCCCTCTCCTCCTCGTCCACCTGCCGCCTCCCGCCACCTCCACACTGCCCCCACCGCGTGCGTGCAGGCCGCGCGCGCGCTGGGGCGAGGAGGGCGAGGGAGGAGAGAAACGAGGGAGGGAAGAAGATCAAGGACGACGGGAATAGGGGGAAAACGAACCTACCTCGCTTTTGACCACCCTCGCTTCCAAGAGATACCAAGCGATGCCAAGCTACGGCCTGTGCTGGTCAGGTCGCTTGACGAGGAGGCGCATGGTATGACTTGGTTTTTCCTGGAAGCGAAAGCGGGGTAGGTAATTCACGCTCTGAGGGAAGAGTACAACAAACATGGGGACAACGGACACACGAACTACGAAATCATAGACACAACTCCCAGGATTCAACATCTGTTACATCTTTCCTGGATGTTCGTCTTCCCCTCCACCTCTCCCCTCATGGAAGAAGCGGAGGTGGTTGAGGGACAAGGAGGGTCAGAGGAGGAGACAAGAGGAAGAGGAAGAAAGAACTGCAGGTGGAAGAGGAGGACAGAGGAAGAGGAGGAAGGAGCAGGACACGGAGGAAGGTGCAAAGAACGGGACGACGACGACCACCACCAACACCACCACCACGGTAGCGGCGATGCTCACATGACCAAGACCAACCCAAACATCCGCCGACATGTTTTTTCAATCCCGGCCCCAGATCGGGGATCTTCTGACCTAGGAATCCAGACCCGGGTCAGCAGGAAACCAAAAAACTGAAATGCAGGACAAAAAACTGCAACGCAGGTCTTCGCAAACCCGAGTCAGCCAATATGCGCGGCCGCCTCGCGGCCACGAGCGGCTCGCTAACCCGGGTCAGCCAGAGGGGGTCTTCGCAGGCTCCTGCAGGATCCGGTGCCCTGGCTGACCCCCGTTTGCATTGACCCCCGTCTCAAGGCTCCCGAGACCTTACGCGGTGGCTTTACGCGGGCCGCCGGCGCGGCACGCAACATCGGAAGGCGAAGGCGCTTACGCGCGACCCTGTGCGGGCAGCTTATGCGCGCCAGTGTCGGCGCAGACGGCCCCGTTGTTCTGCGTCGCTCACGTGGGCGCGTGCAGCTGGACACCTGCTTGGACAGGGCACCCGGGTGGACACGAAACTCTTCCGACGGCAACGCGGCCCCAGAGCATACAGTCGGGGCGTTGACCTAAGGAACCCTGAGTAAGGAACGAGGCCCCTATTTCCCATAAGTTAAGCTTCGATTTCCCATCGAAACCCTAAGCAAAACCAAAGGCAAACTACAAAACAACTAAGGAACACCGAGCCCCTCCCAAACGAAAAGGGTTCCTTCCTCAGCGCCCCGACTGTAGCAAAAGACATGCGGCTTTTTTGCACAGGACAGGGTAGGCTGGACACACGGGCACCCTCGATTTGGCATGGTCGACCTACAGGTGGAAGCCCGTCCACAAGAAACCTTCCAACAGAAACCCAACCCTGAGACCCCAGGACGTCCATTGAACTTTGGTGTGGGGACGTCACGCTTTCCATGGCAAAAACGATAAAACACCCAAGAAACCCAGGGCACCATGGAGGCAGGCAGGGTGTTCCTTGGCAGGGGCCTCCACTGCACTGATCAGGGCCGACCGCAGGGGGAATGGAAGGAAAGGAGGATGGCGACGACGAGGCGGCGGAGGCGGGCGACGGCGAGGACGACGGCAGGGCACGCGAGGGGAGCCGGGGCCACGGAGCGGATCGGGGTGCGGAGCCGCAGAGGCCGCCCCCCCCAGCCTTCGGCACGCTGGGGCGCGGGAGGAGGGCACGGGCCGCCACGCTGAAGGCCCCAATGCGGCCGCCCCCGAGAGGCCTCAAGAGGGGCCCAAGAGAGGGAGCACGAAGCGAACAACCGAGCCTTCCGCCCCAACATGGGGCCCAGAAAGCCCCTCGAGGCGCCCCAGATGCCTCAAGAGGCCCCCACGAGGCCCCCAAGAGGCTCCCAGGAGACCCCCAAGAGGCCTCCAAGAGGCCCCCAAGAGGCCCCCAAGGGGAGGCCCCCAAGAGGCCCCAAGACGGCCCCAAGAAGCCTCAAAACTGCCTCCACGAGACCCCCGAGAGGCCTCCCACGAGGTACCAACGAACATCCAATACTCTCCGTACCCACCACCCAGGCACGTTGGCGAACTTGCCGTAGGCAGCTGGATCCGCCGCCCCTGTTGATTCATCACAAGGGTACCTAGCGTGCTGAACTCTTTCGGTTTTGGTTCTTTCCCAAAAGAACTCCCCCTGGGGCTCCGGCGCGTCCCGCCGGGGTCCCCAGACGATCTTCAAGGAGCTCAATTCCCCACAAAATCCTCCAAGACGGTCCAAGATGGCCTCCAACATGGCCACGACGGCCCAAGATGGCCTCCAAGATGGTCCTAGATGGCCTCCAAGACGGCCCAAGAGGGTCCAAGATACCTCCAAGTTCACCCAAGAAGCCTCCAAGACGGCCCAAGAGGTCTCCAAGAGGTCCTCCAGGAGGGCCCGAAGAGGCCAAAATCATTCATGTTCCGAAGGTTTTTGAAGGGTTTGGGCATTTGCCTCTTCTCGGCGTTCCGACGGCTCAAGATCGCCCACGAGACCTCCAGGAGGGCCTTATGACGGCCCAAGAGGCCTCCAAGACGGCCTCAAGAGGGCCCCAAGAGACCTCCAAGACGACCACGATAGCCTCCAAGACGGCTAAGATGGCCCCAAGAGGCCCCCAAGAGGCCCCCAAGATGCATCCAAGACAGCCTGAGATGGCCTCAGTATTGCCCAAGACGGCCCCAGAGGTTCCCAAGAGGCCTCCAAGACGACCCAAGAGGCCTCTAAGAGGTCCTCCAGGAGGGCCCGAAGAGACCAACATCATTGATGTTACTTCAGTTTTTGAAGGATTTAGGCATTTGTTTCTTCTCGGCATTCCGACGGCTCAAGACGGCGCAAGAGGCCCCCAAGATCGATCCAAGATCGCTCACGAGGCCCCAAGACGACCCAGACAGGCCCCCATGACGGCTTCCGACGGCGTCAGACTAGGCAGGAACACTCTAAGACGGCCAAAGAGCCCCAAAACGGTCCAAGTGGCCTCCAAGACCCAAGAGGGCCCCACGACGACCCAGACAGGCCCCCAAGACGGCTTCCGACGGCGTCAGACAAGCCAGGAACGCCCTAAGACGGCCAAAGGGGCCCCCAAGGAGCCCCCAAAGACCCCCCAAAACCCTCCAAGAGGCCCCCAGGAAGCTCCCAGGAGGCCCCAAGAGTGCCCCAAGAGGCGCCCTAGAGGCTTCCTCCTCCTCATTTTTCCTCATCCTCCCCCTCCTCCTCTTCTTGCTCCCCCATGCGTTCCCCGAAGTCTTTCCAAACCGACTCGGGGAACACCTGGCCCGATAGCTTGGCCAAGCTCAGGCCCAGCTGTCGGCCACAGAGGCGCTTCCAAAGGGGCAGGGGGCGGCGGTGATTCGCCGTGGGCGTCTTCGATAGGCACGGGCTGCGCGGGGGAGGGGGGGCACAGCCGAGCGCCAAGCGCTGTACAAGGAACGATGTGATGTTTGGCCCGACAGGCGCCCTCAGCCCAGGTGCACGGAGAGCGCCAAAGAAACAAACGTCCAAGGGCCCCACGGAACCACTGTTTGGTCGGCGGGGCGAGAGCGAACCTCTTCAGCTAAAAGCTAGGCGGGCTACGCACAGCTCTACTCGGGGAGACAGGGCGCAGGCACGCGGAAACACGCGCCCCTTCCGAACCCGAACTGCTCCTTATTTCAGCGTCTTGCCCGCAGGGCAGGCGGCCGCGGGGGGAGGCAGAAGCTGCTGACACCCTCGATGCTCGAGCCTCGACCGAACGACGGCGGCGGCGGCAGCAACGACGACGACTCCGCCCAGGCGGCCTTCAGGAAGGGCAGGCACCCGTCGCAGCCGTCAGGCAGCGGCTTCTCGAACGCGTAGTTGCGCCACTTCAGCTTGGACCGCAGCACCTCGACGCCACCCTCCCCCTCGCTCTCGGCCAGACTTTTGCTCGGGTGGGCGACCAGAGGAGGAGCAAGCACCGACACCGCCGCTCGTCCCAGAGGTCTCTCGTCGACACGGCTGGATGTTCCTCGGAGTCGCAGTCAGAGCGCACCACGAGAGGTCCGAGGAGACTCGGCGAATGCACAAGTCGGTAGAGCTGTCGGCGACAAATGCAGTTAGCACAGGGACCAAGGGCGAAGGAATGGGGTTAGGTCGGGCCCGTCGGCATGTCCTCCTACAGGCGGATGTTGGAGGACAAATAAGAAACAGTCAAACAACTGCTCCAACATATTCAAACATGGAAAAAAATCGTCCCCCGTACGATTGTTTGACTATTTGGGGATATTCCTCCTGTAGAGAGACACGCCCGACTTTACGATAACATGGATGACGGATCCGTAGATTTGCCGCATGGGCACCAGATCCGCGCACCAAAGCACTGCACGGAAACGAGACCCGTCGCTGACCCGCGCGCCAGAATGCCAACCCGGGCAACTTTCATTCAGCTCGGCCTCCCGGTGATGGCGGCGCGCACGAGGGGGTGGAGGGAGGGGGCAGGGCTTCTTTGAAGGAGGCTGCTTCTTAGAAGGCCCTGGCCTCACATCTATAGATAAGGCCCGCGCCTTCTAAGAAGCAGGGGTGCTTCAAAGAAGCCCTCCCCACTCCACACCCCCTCTGCGCGTGGCTGACTGAAGTCTTCCTCCTCCCCACATCCCTCCGCCGGTCCCCCTGCGTCAACATCATCCTGTCCCATCCTTCCGTTGTTCTCCCTGTCCATCTTCCTAATTCGTATGCACTCCTATTCGGCATCCTAGCGGGGCAGATAGCAGCCGGATCCGGGATGTCCGGCCATAACCATTAAAACTAATCGATGCGTGCGTTTCCTTTCAAAACGGTCGTTTTGTCGTCGACGTCGTAAATTGTGTGATGTGAATGGGACTTGGCGCGCATTCCGCACGCAAGGGCGAAATGTCGCTCTCGCCCGAGCGTCGCGCAAAAATTCCACTGAGAACTGAAGATCTCCCGCTCGTGCGCGGCGCGCATTTTTTTCGCTCGCCACAGACGCGGACGCGCGAGCAAATGAACATATATCGATCTCGCCTCGGCGCCGCGCAGAAGTCATCAGGAAGTGGCGCTCCTGCCAAATCGTTTGGGGCGGAGGCCGCGCGCGAACGGGCAACTGCTGTCCTCGCCGGGAGGCCACGTGCGAACCCTACCAAACCGCCCCACGAGCTCTCACGGTGGAGGTGGAGCTCACTTCCCTCGGGACCTCCGGAGCTGGGGTAGCTGTGGCCTCCTCCTCGTCCCGAGCTCCGCACAGCGCTTGTGTGTGACGGTGGCAGGTGCGGACGAACGGCGCGGCGCGTACTTGGACTCTGCTGCGCCCGCCGGGAACTTGCCCGCGGCGAGCGAGGGGCGGGGGAACCACGGGAAGGGGAAGGCCTCCTCGGAGGGCGGCGGGACTTCTCAGAGGGCCCTCGCGCCTTCCGAGGGGTTGTCCGTGTCTTCGGGGGAGGCTCAGGACACTTCTCATCAAAGGCCCGGGGACTTCCGAGTCTCCTGAGACGGCCCACCCCTCCTCGCTGCCTCCCCCCGCTCGCCGCCGAGATGTCGTCGCCCAAGGGGAAAGCCAGGCTGCGCCCTCGCCGCAGCGCCGTGCGCAGACTTTCTTGTCCTGAAGCTCCGCTCACCCCGGTCGTGCGCGGCCCGCGTGCTTTTTCACCTTGGCCACGTCGTTGGACGCAGGGCCATACGTAACCAGCCTCGAACGTATCCCTATCCCTAAGATAGGCGAGCAACAAGCGAGGACAACCTTAGGGATGGGCCCTCAGAAACTGAGGGAATCCTTAAGATCGGCATCGAGGTGAGGTGATGTCAAACACAGGGATGGGGATATGTTTCAAACTGGTAAATACGCGAGCGACTTCAGCTCGCTGGGTGGGAGCGCGACCCGGGCCGGATAGCACACTGGGCGGCCACGCGCAGCTTGCACCACGTAACTAACACAGCCAGGGCGCCAACAGTATGCCTGCCTCCCCGCCCTCCGCCACCAACCTCACCTTCCTCCTTCTCCTCCTCCTCCACCTCCTCCTCCTCCTCATCCTCCTCATCTTCTCTGCCTCCTCCACTTCATCCCCATCCTCCTCCTCTGCCTCATAAACTTCTTCGGCCTCCTCTTGCTCCTGGTCCTCTTTCGCATCTACTCGTCCCGCCGCTCCGTTGCCGTGAGACAGCTACTGCTAGGCGAGAGCCATACCACCACTCTGTTGCAAGGTTTGCCGTGGAGCCATCAAAGAGGTATCAAGAACAAAAGTCTAGAATCAACGATCTACATGTCACTCATCGTACCCTTTGGGGCACCCTGTTTACCGTACTGGCTACACCCACAACGGGGCCAACGAGCACATGCCAAATCGAAACATCGCTGCACTCATGTTCGCCCGCCAATCTAAGCTGGCCTCCCCAGCGCACCTTGATTCCAGGGCACTGCTCCCTGCACAGGCTGAAGAACTCGTCCTGACGGGCTGTCGGGAGCCAGCATGATCAAGCGAAGGGTATAACAACAACACACTGGAATCCATATATGCACACATCTACAAATACATACATGGATCTCTATATATGTCCGCCAGCCCCCTCCGGGGGCGCAAGGCTGCGAAGGTGTGTGCGGCCTCCTATAGTGTGTTATGTGCTGTCATGTGTTCTTTGGCCTTCTGTCTCTCCAGTCCTGTTTGCTGCCTCCTGTCTACTGCCTGCGAAGGGGCCACGCCGCGCCACCAAACAGCCAAAGGGGGGGGGAACCTCAAACCCAGGCTGCTCCGGGCCACCCCAGGATTCTCATGGTGACGCCACCGCGCGGCCAAAACGGCCCGAGAGGCCTCCAAGATTGCCCGACGAGGCTCCGAAGAGAGCTTCAGCAGGCTAAGACGGCCCAAGATGGCCCCACGATTTTCCCAACGTTTTTGAAGGTTTTGGGCCTTCTCGCCTTTTCGGACCAAGAGGTTCCCAAGATCGCCCCACGACGACCCTAGAAGCCCCCATGACGGCCCAAGACGGCCGAAGACGGTCCCCAGACGGCCGAAGACGGCCGAAGAGGGCCCCAAGACGGTCCAAGAGGCGCGCCAGACGGTCGAAAAGGGCCCTGAGACGGTCCCAAGAGAGGCTCAAGAGGGAGTCCGCGAACCGAACACTCTACCTTTCCGCCCCGAGAGGGCCCCATGAGGCCCCGAGAAGGTCCCCAGAGGCTCCCAGAGGCCCCCAAGAGGCCCCAAGGAGACCTCCAAGAGATCCCAAATATTGTTTCCAATAGGCCCCAAGAAGACCCCCAAGAGGCCCCAAGGAGACCCCCAAGAGGCCCCAAAGAGGCCCCAGAGAGACCCCCGAGCAACCGCCTGCACTAGTAATAGGGAAGCCGGCGGCAGAGGGCGAAACCCTACATATATACATATGTATATTTATATATATACAGATATGCATGCATCCATGCATGCATGCATGCATGCATGCATGTATGTCTGTATGTGTGTATGTGTGTATGTATGCATGTATGTATGTTAGTAGGTATGTGTGTAAGTATATGCATGTGTAAGTACGTATGTGTGTATGTATGTATGTATGTATGTATGTATGTATGTATGTATGTATGTATGTATGTACGTATGCATGTAAGTATGTATGTGTGTGTATGTATGTATGTATGTATCTATGTATGTATGTATGTATGTGTGTATGTATGTGTGTATGTGTGTATGTGTGTATGTATGTATGTATGTATGTATGTATGTATGTATGTATGTGTGTATGTATGTATGGATGGATGGATGGATGTATGCATGCATGCATGCATGCATGTATGTATGTATGTATGTGTGTATGGATGTGTGTATGGATGTGTGTATGCGTGTATGTATGTCTGTATGTATGTATGTATGCATGCATGCATGCATGCATGCATGTATGTATGTATGTATGAATGTATATATGCATGTATGTATGTTTGTATGTATGTATGCATGCATGCATGCATGCATGCATGTATGTATGTATGTATGTATGTATGTATGTATGTATGTATGTATGTATGTATGTACGTGTTTATAAACACATATGAACATATAAGACGTACATGCATATCTTTACACATAAGCTGTTGGGGCTTCACTCGGATTTCCTGGATCGGCGCTAGACCCCCTCCCCTGGCGCACGAAATGCGCCAACTGCTGCGTTGGAAGCGCCTCCAAGGATCCGACGCCGACGCGGGAAACCTGCGCGGAGCTCCGACAGTTGATATGCTATTCTGCAGTTGTTTGTTGTTCGAGGGGGGCGCCAGTAGCACTTTAGGCACGGGCGTCCTGCGTGGCAGCGCAGCGACTGGCGAACGAGACATATGCACAGGTCAGGTGGCGACATCCGAACCCTAGCCCAACCAACCATCGGTTCTCCTGAATCGGTGGGAGGCGGGGGTAGGGTTCTGATTCAACCACGTGGTCGACGAAGTCCTGAATCGTTGATCGGCGAGGGTAGGGTTCGAACTTCTACAAGGGAAACAAAGCGCCATACACATAAACGTTGGGCGCAAGGCGCGGATTTCTTGAATCTGCTCTGTACCCCCCTCCCTGGCGCGGGGAGCGCGCCTGTTGTGGCGCCGGAGGCGCCGCCAGGGAGGCCCAGCGCGGATCCGAGGAATACCCGCGAAGCACCAAAAGTATGTGTATGGCATTTTTCTTCTTCGAAATTCGTCGCCGAATCCATGTCCATACCCCTCCCCCGCAGTCTGGACACCGTGTCGCGATCCCATTAAACCTCTCTGCGAGGGGCACGCGCGCAACGCCGCCACATATATCCACGGGGTGGGACGCGCGGCCGAGGCGGAACAAAAAACATGCATCAGGGGGATACCGACAACCACGAGGGGGAACAACACACACATCCAATAGAGAAACAATACACGCGCAGGGGGGATAACAAAAACCCCGAGCGGAGGGGGGGGTAGCAAAGTAAGCGGGTAAGGTTCGTATCCATACCTGCTGCGTCTTTTGGAATTTCTGGGAAGGGGCGCCAAAGTTCCGATGCACGGCGGATATGGACAACAAGATAGCCTCCAGGGGCCAGATGTCTATCCAAATGCACTGCGCCTCGGGTGTCTGGGGGAGGGGGCCCGAAACTCCGAGATCCAGCGGCCATGGACGAACACATTGCCCGCGAAGAGGCCGCGCAGGGGGGAGGATGGGAAAGGCAAAAGCCGCTGCTCCCACGTGGCTCTGCGAGCGGATGGGGCCTCCGAGGGGGAACATCAACATTCCAGCTAGAGGAGGAGGAGGAGGAGGAGGAGGAGGAGGAGGAGGGGGGGGAGGCAACAACAGAACTCGAGATGGGGGGGGAAGAACAAAAAGAATGCCCAGCCACTACGCCGTGGATGCGAACACGGCCCCCGCACCCGCGAGAGAGAGAGAGAGCGAGGATGCCCCCGTCGGAGACACTGGATTCGGACGCCCGAGATGGGCACGCGGAAAACATGGGCACGATGCCCAGCGACAAATGCGTGGTCCAAAACCGACACCGGCCGCTGTTGGGCAGGCGGCGTCCTGTCTCAAGAATCGACGACGCCCGCGGCGACGCCGACAGCGGGCCCTATTTGGGACGATCAGGAAGCACTGTTAGCGCGTCGAATGTTGTGGATGCCATGGCAATGGACACTCTAACAGTCTTATCATTGAATTAAACATGTGATTAACATGTGTAACACATGTCCAACACATGCTTCAAACATATATATATATATACACATGTAAATGTATATATATATATATAAACAAAACATGAGTGACACATGGTTTGTACATCTGGAACTTATGTGGCAGCATGCTTCCTCTCCATCAATCGCCTTCCACGCGCGTCAAGGATGCACGCCTACAGCACAAGTCTGGTGATGATGCGCGTCGAGGATGCAAAGGGCCTCGCAAGGGCCCCGCCAGCGTCTTGGGCGCGAGGCTCGCCGGCGAGAGGTCGCGGAGGACGCCCGGGAGCGGCCAGCGAGAGGGGCCCGAGGACGGGCCGACGGGGGCAGGACGCAGAGGGCAGCCCTGGGCTGCTTTGCGCCCATCGTGCTCAAGGACCACACCCCAAGAATGATGTCTACAACGGCGCGAAGATCGGGACAAGATCGGATCGGGATGACTCGAAATCTCTGAGAATCGGCGGGTTTGGAAGATGTATTGGGCGCCGCGGCCGCCCCAAAGCGTTCCGGAACGCTGTGAGAGCGCTCCGGAACGCCCTGTTTAATTTCGAGCGCCAAGAAAAAAATTAGGGGGCCACGTGCGAACCCCACCCCTACCCCCCACGATTTCTGCGGGGGAGGGTTGGGTTTTCACTTCGCTTGGGGGCTCCCGGTCGAAGTGCGCCCCATCCTCCCCCTCAGAGATCGTGGGGGGTAGGGGTAGGGTGCGCATGTGGCCCCCTCAAAGTATCGAAACGGTGTCGAACGAGTACTGCCTCCCAGGGCCAAGCACGTGAAAACCCTCGAGCTTCGCTACTTGAAGCTCGAAGGTCTTCCTGGTGATCGAGGCTAAAGAAAGCTGGGACATCATAAACCTTCGGAAAATTACCCATCCTTACGATGCGGGCTCGTATTGGGCCCTGGAAACGGCAGGGCTGTGTTTTCGCCGTTTTCGAAAAAAAAATTCTTGCAACAAAAACACGATGTGACTGCGGCAACCGGAAACGGCTAACACAACGGCTCGGGGCTTGGAACCTGAACCGGAACCGGGCAAACAACTGCGACGGAACAGCCGAAACTGCAAAACTGAAAAACGCAGAGTGGGGACAGCAGCAGGGGCATTGGTAAAAATCGACCCCGAATGAGAATCGTTGACAGTCGCGGAGCCTGAAAGGGCCCCCCCCCACAAGCCGAAAATATGAAAAACACTATAGTGAATTTCGACGCGGTGTTGGAGGTCTGTGCTCGAAGGCAGGCAAGATGTGTGCGTTCCAGCCAGAACGAGGGCGGCCCCAGGAAGCTAACAAAAAGCCCGCAAACGCAGACCTGGAGTCAGGAGGCCTCATGTGATATAAAAAACCTAGAGGCTGATTCATGTCGTGGTGACGTCGGGTGTAAACTTTTGACGCCGCGTGGATGAACCCTGAACGCGGCTTTCCGCAGGCGCATATCGATGACTGCTGGGTAGTTTGTCGGGTCGGGCGAAAGGGGGGGATAGCAAAGGGGGGGTTGAGAATCAGCTCACGTAGCTGATTTTCCCGGCGCCTCCCGGCGCTGGAGGCGCCCATGTATCGAGGAATGGGCCCCTCGGTGGGGCCGAAACCAGCTGCATGCAGCAAAGTTCGTGACCCTCCTTTCCCTATCCCCCCCTTTCGTCCGGCCCGAGTTTGGGGCAAGCTTGTGCCACTTAGAGCGTTCAGATTTGAGCGCCCGCCGTCGCCACGCCAACGCGGCGCCAGCCTGCTGTACATCTCACTCTGCTGTTCAGGACGGCGGCCATCCAGAACGCTTGACCCCGAGATCTGGCGGCGCGGACGTCCATTCCCTGTGTTTATGTTTCGGTTTCGTGAATGGTTTTGTCGCCCAATGATCAAGGATGCTCCTCGATGATCCTCGCCAAAGGAAAAATGCACACGTCCGAGCGATGCCGAGAGATCTGGCGGCGCGGACAAGAACACAGAGCATCGCAAGAGATCACGACCAGGCCCCTGGGCCCGCCATCGCTCGGGCGTCCATTCCTCGTGTATTTTTCGGTTTCGTGCGTGTTTTTTTCGCCCAATGATCAAGGATGCTCCTCGATGGTCCTCGCCGAGAAAAAAACGCACACGTCCGAGCGATGCCGAGTGGGCCCCATTTCCCGGTGACTGCTGTCTCGAGGCGGACCACTCCTGGGAAGGGCCCGAAGATGCACCGACCCGGTCGGTCGAGGAGCTCGGTCTATAGAGACGCTCCAGCTTCCCAACCTCTGGGGCCCTGGAGCGCCCACCGCACCCATCAGAGCCCCGAATCATCAGGGGTAACTCGGGTCAGGGCTAACTCGGCCTCGCTTTTCGGGATTCCGAACCCGAGTTAGCCCGGGCCCGAGTTACCCCGGATAACTCGGGCGTCCAGAGCCCCAAATCATCAGGGGTAACTCGGGTCAGGGCTCACTCGGGTTCGTTTTTCGGGAATCCAAACCCGCGTTACCCCGGACCCGAGTTACCCCGGATAAGTCGGGCGCCCAAACCCAAGTCCCTCGCCCAGGGCGAGGCGGCGACGGCAAATCGGCCTGGGCGCTCTTGGCCACCTCGACGGCCGCCTCCGGCTGGTCCGGGTCGGGATCCTGCACGTTGAGCAGCAGGTGCACCTGCGTCGGGCCCAGCGGTTCGGACGCTGGGGGAGGGCCAGCACTCTGGGTAGGGCTCCGCTCCCCGGCGGATCGTGTACCCTGGGCTCCGCTCTGGGGAGGGCCAGCACTCTGGGAGTCGTGTACCCGATCCCCCTTCCCGGCGGCGTGGCCTGGGCCCCCTTCCTGGCTGGCCGATTCACCCCCCCTGGATGGGGATGTGGGTTGTTCCCTTGGGGCTTCGAGGGGTGTGTCCCCAATTTCTTGGGGGGGTAACCTGGTGGGGGTCTCGAAGGGGGTGGGGATGGGGATGCGGATTTGTAAAACGATACCGGCTCTCGTAGGGTCTCTCTGCGGCGCCGCTGCGTCGAGGGAGGGCGCCCGTGGGGGGGGGCCGGCTCCAGCTGCACGCGGCAGATGTCGTGCACCACCCGTTCTTCCCGTCCTCTGCTGCACCCATCCTATGTTTCCTAGCCTGCTCTTTCTATATTTGGGCGCCCGAGTTATCCGGGGTAACTCGGGTCCGGGGTAACTCGGGTTTGGATTCCCGAAAAAGGAACCCGAGTTACCCCTGACGATTCGGGGCCCTGGACGCCCGAGTTATCCGGGGTAACTCGGGTCCGGGGTAAGTCGGGTTCGGATTCCCGAAAAACGAACCCGAGTTATCCCTGACCCGAGTTACCCCTGATGATTCGGGGCTCTGATATATCGGCCCATTGATGCTTCATGCTTCAACAGGCTTGACAGCTGCTGATCCTGAGCTCACGGATGGTGCTTGGGTTCTGTTGCACAAATGGCAACCGATACGATGATGTCGTGGCATTCAGCTCACAACACGCGGCAGATAGACAGCGTGCTGACCCCGGAACGTCTTCTTCATCATCTGAGGGGCTCCGGCCCCCCCGCCGACGCCTTCAAGGCACGCGGCCGCGCGTGGGCGCGGTTGCGGATATCGGCGCTCGCTCGCTCGCTCGGGGGCCACGTCTGTCCCATCGCGGCCCTGTCCGCGTCCAATCCGTGTCGAATCCGTGTCGGACTCGTCGGATCCGTGTCGGATCCGTGTCGAAGTCGTGTCGAATCCGCGTCGAAGCCACGCCAGATCCGCGTCGAGTCCGCATCGGGCACGAGAGAGCAGGCACAACTCGGGAGACAGGCGAGGTCCCCCGAAGATACAACGTTACCTTTCGTCCGACCCAGGTCAGTTGTGAAGAGGTCACGGCGTAAGAAATCTTCTGTTTATTCCAGGCGAGAACGGCCATCACTGGCCGCGCTCCCCGCGTGAGCAAGGCCCGACCGTCCTGGCATTCCTGTAGGCCTACCGCGAAATTGTCTTAGTTCGGGAGGCACAGAGACATACTAGAATTACAGGTCCTCCTTGGATGCGCGCGTCCGACCATAACAGATCATATATCCACCTTGTAGTAGATCGGTTCACGAGCGGTGTGGCAAAAGAGCGCCCGCCACGATGCATATACTATTAGATTTCTCGGTGCGCGCGTCGCCCCTGGGGGGGCGACGCACATACAATAGAAGTATGTTTGGGTGACGCCGGTAGAACCGCAAAATGTTCGCATGATACAAGCAATGCTTTTAGAACAACAACCGGTCTCAACCAAACATGTTCTAAAAACATGTCGTAGAAACCACAACCAATTCTCATAATATTGTTCGGTGGGCCTATAGGCACGCCGGGACGCTCCACCACTGCTTGACCCCCCTGGTAACGGGGCAGCTCGCGCCAGCGCCATTTGGGAAAGCCTGGGAATAGCTAAAGACGTTTAGAAGTAGAATACGACATGAACGTGGGGATCTGCGTGGGATAGAAAATTACAACGTAAGAGACTCCTGATAATAGGCATGAGCAGCGGACGAAACTCCTGCGCGCGGCAAATCCCGCGGACGGACCTCTGGGGTACACTACACTGCCTGTGTACACCGCAATGTCTACCTACACCATGCCTGTGAACACCACAGCGCTTGTGCACACAAGTGGGCCAGTGTGAACAACATGCACGTGTAAACCACAATGCCTGTGTACACAACAAGCCCAGTGTACCATACAATGCTGGTGCACAACACATCGCACCACAGCGCTTGTGCGCGTAAAGGCCACAACGCACCACAGCTCACCACAACGCCACACGGCCTGAATGCACATTCGTACCTCCGCACACCAAAGTGTCGGTGTGCACCACAATGCGTGTTTACTCCACGTGGCCTGCGTACTTCGCATGTCTTGAGCACACCGTAAGCGCCTCTGTGCACAACAAGAGATGCATGCACCGAAAAGCTTTGTGTACCATAGCTGCTGCTGCAGCAGCAATATCTGCATGCACCACAGCGCTGCAGGCTGGGAAAGGCTTCTCCGAACGCCACCACATTGTCCAGTGCCGCATCCACACCCACGTCGCCTGCTATCTTGTAGCACAGGGGTGCAAAATGTGCATCAGTAGTTATGTGTTTACTACACACTGTACAAGACCACGTGTTTGCTCCCGCGACGTGTGTCAGGCACCGAGAGAAAGATGATTTGGAGTCCCGAAACGGTGCGGTGACGCACCGTGCGGTGATCTCGAAATCCCCAAGACCTTACCGCACGGTCCGTCACCGAACGGTTTTGGGACCCCAGAGGCCCCTGTCGCCCGAGACGTCCTCGGAGAACGACCCGAGTCCCAAGACCGTGCGGTGACCCCGAATCCCCACCGACTCACCGCACGGTCTGGTCACCGCACCTTTTGGGGGCCCCCGAGATGAGGACGTCGCAAGCGAAACACGCTGGAGCCAGGCGAGAACAGAGGCGAAACCAGCCAAATTGCGGGGAAGCCTCAGGCGAAACTTTGCCCAGACCAGAGCAGACCCCAAACCGATTGTGCGGCTCGAGCGAGACCGCGCCGAGAGACCAGGCCAAGCCGAGAACACTGCGAGGACGCCCTGGGCGGAACCACAGGCCAAACCATGGCGAAACACCGGGCAGACCGCGAGGACATCTTGGGCGACACCGCGCCCAAACCAAGCGGAACTGAGCACATTCGGAGGACGTTTCCAGCGAGACTGGGCGGAACCCAGGCGAAACCAAGGGCGAAGCCAAGCAACCTGCGAGGATGTCTTCAGCGGCTTGCGCCGCCCAACCCGGGGCCAAAGCAGGGGCGCATGCAAGCCAATTGTGAGGAAGGCCTGGGCAGAATCGCCGAAACCAGGCTCCATCTTCTCTCCTTAACAAAAATTTGAACTGAAAAGAGTGGATGACCCCAAGGCCCCCCCCCGCAGGCGTTTGGACCACGTGTCCGCTGAGGCGCACGGGGTTGAGCGCGGAAAGCTTCAACTGTCTTTCGGTTGTTGCTGGGGTCTTGGTGTGGCAGTAGGAGAACTGTTTCCGAGCCAGTTGTGTGCACCTGTGCCAGTGCGCACTACCTCGCCTGTGTGCGCCACAGCGGCTGCTTCAAAACTGTGTGTTTGACACCGAGCATGTTGACACCTTCAGGATCCCGATCGGGCCCAACGCCACGAAATCGTCGGGAAATCGATCGTGTCAAATTCACTGTGATAGCAAGTTGTGTCTGGATCTTTCCTTGTGGCCCAAGGTCAGCAGGCCCGTTTTCTGGGCCCACGATGCCTGTCTATGCCACACTGCCTGCGTGCCCCTCAACGCTCGTGTGCACAACAGATGCTGCAGCCGCATATGTGAAAGAACCTCAGCGCCTGTGCTCACCACAAGGCCTGTGTGAAGAACAGTCTGTCCACACCGCAAAGACTGTGTACACCACCATGCCTGTGTACACCACCGACGCTGCTGCACGAGGCATATGGCATCTGTGCGCACCAGAGGACGTGTGTACACCACAGCGCCTGTGTACACCACAGCAGCCGCATGCGCACCACAGCACATGTGCTCACAACAGCGCACGTGAACACCACAGATAGCGCAGCAGGTGTGCATAACAACTTCCAACTTCTTAATGCCTGTGGGCACCAAAATGCCTGTGCACACACTGCCTATCTGCACCTCTAGAGCCCTCTGGACGACGTCGGTCTTCGTCGACGTCGTTGTCGTCGTCGTCATTGTCGTTGTCGTCGTCGTCGCGGTGGACGGCGTCGTCGTCGTGGTCGTCGTCGCGGTCGTCGCGGTCGTCGCGGTCGTCGTCGTAGCCGTCGTCGTCGTCATTGTCGTCGCTGTCGTCCCAAACCACTTCCAGTCCAAACGTCACCTGGCCATTCCCCCCACCTTCCGCGGGGAAAAATGGTGACCCCGGTAACGCCCGCTGGCCCGGAGGAGAATAATCAAGAAAAACGGGATCCGATTCTTCTGGCAATGTATTGCCTCCTGCAAGCATCGCAACGGGCTCTGGGGCTGTCAACAGATGGATTGGAAGAAAGAACAAACTGCACAAACATACACTTGTGGCGCTCCGCGCGGATTTCTTGGATCTGCGCTGGACCGCCGGATCGCGCCAGGGTCGGCGCCAGAGGCGCCGCCGGGGGGCTCCAGCGCGGATAAACGGAACCCGCGCGGATGCCAAAAATGTATGTTTATGCCTTTTTGTTTTCCTCGGAGGACTCGGGATGCAAACCCGGCCCCATGGATCCCCGGAGGCGTGACCTGCACGGGGGGTTCTGGGGAACAAAGGGGGAGGGCGGAGTGAGGCACAAAAAGGTAAGGCCTCAAAAAGGGGAAACGGGCGGAGGGCAGCGGCGTGGGAACCTTTTCATCCTCTGACCCATGAATCCCCAGTCGTGACCTCCAAGGGGTGCTCCTGGCTGGAACCTCGCGTGGGGGGGGTCTGGGCTTCGGCGTTCGGAGCGGCGGAACGCGTGGGGCCTCCAAACGCGGCGCCCCCGCGGCCAAAGCTGGATCCGCCTCCGATAGACAAGCGCGTTCAACTACTCAGAAATGTCGGAGAAGAAAGAATGACATAAACATGAACGAGACATATCCACAGGTGGCGACAACCGAATCCGAAGCCAACCACCCAAAGGCCTCGGCGAGGGAGGTTCGAGAATCGATGGCCGACTCAGCCTTCGATCCTCGATCCTCCCTCGCTCCTTGCCCTCGAAAGCCCTCGATCCTCGATCCTCACCCCTCGATTCTCGGTCCTCCTCCCGCGATCCTCGGTCCTTCCCCCCCATCCCTCGCTACCTTGATCCTCGATCCTCGTCTCTTAAAACAGGGCTAGGATCGGGACAAATCGCTCCAGAGCGTTCCGGAGCGCTCTCAGAGCGTTCCGGAACGCTCTGGAGCGGCCGCGGCGCCCAATACATCCTCTTAACCCGCCGATTCTCAGAGATTTCGATTTATCCCGATCCGATTTTGTCCCGATCTTCGCGTCGTCTCGCCCCTATACAGGTACGCAAAGAAGCCCACTGAAACATGCGGAATTCTGTTGTGACCGTGGCCCCTGGCAGGTGGTCAGGCCGTGCGACTGTGCAACGATCCCGGGCCCAGCGCGAGCTTGGCCAGCCATTCGCCGTCGTCGCCTGGAGCTGTGCGGCCCCTGAGGCGCCGACGACGCTGAGTCGCCTGTTCGAGTCCGACCGCCCGATCGGCCCGTTGGGATCGTCAGCTGCCGTCGCTTCGAAGCGTCGTGGTCGTGATCGTCATCGTCGTCGTCACCTGTTCGAGTCCGCCCGCCATATCGGTCCGTTGGGGTCGTCAGCCGCCGTCGCTTCGAGTCGTCGTGGTCGTGATCGTCGTGGTCGTCGCCTGTTCGGGTCCGCCCGCCCGATCGGCCCGTTGGGGTCGTCAGCCGCCGTCGCTTCGAGTCGTCGTGGTCGTGATCGTCGTGGCCGTCGCCTGTTCGGGTCCGCCCGCCATATCGGTCCGTTGGGGTCGTCAGCCGCCGTCGCTTCGAGTCGTCGTGGTCGTGATCGTCGTGGTCGTCGCCTGTTCGGGTCCGCCCGCCCGATCGGCCAGTTGGGGTCGTCAGCCGCCGTCGCTTTGAGTCGTCGTGGTCGTGATCGTCGTGCTCGTGATCGTCGTCTTCGTCGTCGTCGCCTTCGCCGCCGCCGTCGTCGTCGTCGCCTTCGTCCCTGGTGGTGGCTCGGCTGCCGCCCCCCCCCCCCCGGGGCACCGCGCGCTCAATGCACTCGACCACGAGGCAGCATGTCTGGAACTGCCCCGTCGCGGAGGACTTCACCTGCCCCGAGGAGGAGGAGGAGGCGGAGGCGGAGGAGGAGGAGGAGGAGGAAGCGGAGGAGGAGGAGGATGGGGAGGAGGAGGAGGAGGAGGAGGAGGAGGAGGATGAGGAGGATGAGGAGGAGGAAGGAGGAGGACTTCACGTGCCATCCACGGAGGTCCCCCCATCACGAACGACGGGCATACGCATATATCGTGTACGCAAACGCACACACACACACGCACACGCACACACGTACACACGTACAAAAGCACATGTACATACACATATTCCGTGCGTGTGTGTGTGAGAGAGAGTGAATTCGCCAGCATGGGCCCAAGCGGTGAGTTAATCCAGAAGCCGCATTAAAGTGATCATTTGTTTTTTGGCCCCCCCTCTGTCACAGAGGGGGTCTGAGATGCCCCCCCTCTGTCACAGAGGGGGTCTGAGATGCCCCCCCCTCTGTCACGGAGGACCTCGTTCTGGGTGCTCTTCTGCCACGGGAGCTCCCGATACGATTGGAGACGATAAAATGTGATAGCGGGATGGGGGATTGGAGGGGGAGGGAGAAGAAAACGATGAAGGAGAGGAGGCAACGACAGCACCGATGAAAGCACCGTTTCTTTTTCCTTCTCCGCTCGGGCAGCGGTCGCCGAGCACGACGGCGCGCGCGAGTCGCCGCCGCTCACGATGCATTGGCAAGGCCTCCGCTGCTGCGGAGGGTCGACGTTCGGCCGATGAGGCCTCCCTCCGCTGCTGCGGAGGGGCGGCTCCTGTGCGATGGTTCAACTAAGCTTTTCCCAGGGATTGGTTTCGGGGGGGGGTTCGACCCACCTCCAAGTCGTGGTCGCGACCTCCCAGTGCCCCTGGCCGCTACTCCACCCACTGTGGCTGCTCCACCAGTCACTGGGGCGTTGGTCGCTGCCGAATGCAACTTGCATGTCGCGCCAGGCGGAGTCGACCATGCGGTCCTGCAGCGAGGAAGCCTCGCCGCTCGGCTGTTGCCACTCGCGCTCCTCGCCCTCCTTGGTGCGCCACCACTCATCCCTGCGCCACTCCTCGTCTGTTGGTTGCTGCCGTGGCGTTTGTGGCCTCCGCTGCTGCGGGGGCTCTGGCGGCTCGTGGCCGAGGGCAGCGATCGCGTCCGAGATGTAGATGGCGGCGCCGCGCTGCCCTCGCTGCTCCAGCGGCGCAGGCCCTGGAGATGGGCACTGCGGGGTCGGCTGCCACCTGGGGGGTGATAAATAATTATTTCTATATCCCCTCCCTGTCAACTCCCGCCCCTTCCCGACACTCATTTCCTTATGTCATCCCTCGTCCTGCTCAGCCTATTCCTCATTCCCTCTCCTCCCTCCTGCCCTCCCCGTGCCCCACCGCCCCTCTCCCCCCCTCCCCCTTTCAACCCCCCGCCGCGACCTTCCATCGCCAGCCGCGGGCATGTCGCGGCCGTCGTCCGCGCTTTCGTCTGCCCATCTTGGTGGGCGCCACGCCTGTTGGGCGCGCTCGTCTTGCTCGTCCCTCTCGCTGTGCTGCTCTGGTGCCTGGCGCTCGGGTCCGTGCTGCTCGGGCGGCAGCGGCGCCCTGAGCGCAGCTGCCAGCTGTTTCTGGGCGCGCCTGTCTTTCTTCTCTTTGGCTCTCTCCTGCTTCCTCCCCGGCGAACGCACGCTGGCCATGCGCATTTGGAACAGGAGAGGGTAGTGGGCGCCGCCGTGCCAGCGCCCCTCCACCTCCACGGTCTCTGGCGGGAACGTCTTCTGCAACGCGCGGAAGAGGGTCACCTCGCGATTACTAGAGAAGCGGTGGTCCCCTCTAGCCTCAGCCTCGGCGCGCCTCAGTTTCTCACTCTCCTTCTCTTGGATCTTGCGTTGGCATTCCTCTGACTGAGTCAGTAAATCCTGGAGGTGCTCGCGGGCGTCTTTTTTCGGGTAGTAGCAAGAGTAAGGCATCCCAGGGCCTCCGTTCTGGCTGTGGTGCCAGTACGTCGGCTGCGATGATGGGCTGGTGGCGGCCCCCGCTGCTGCGGGGGCCTCTGCCTTGCTTCTGTTACGGTACCCGATCTCACCGATCACCGACTTGCGTGCGAAGAGCAACCCCGTCTCGTCTCTGTCGTGCACGGCGCTCAGCGGCCAGCACAGGGTGTACTCGCCAGGCCTGTTGAGAACGAAGATGCCGCAGCTGTCCAAGCACGGAGTGCCGTCCAATCCGCGCCAGAAGTACGCTGCTGCCGTCTCCAATCGCATGCCTAGACCCCGAAGACTCGGCAGCGTCTGTGTGAGCGCCATGTTGAAATCCCCACAAAGGATGTCAACGCTGTTGTCCTGCAAGATGGTCGCCAACCTCGGCCACCACGTCTTGTGAGCCTCGTTAAAGCCTCTGGATTTTTTCGCCGTGTCGCGGTGGAGGTGCACCGCGCACACCCGCACTTTCGAGCCGAAGTGGGCGTAGGTTTGATCGAAGTAGAGCTCAACCACCATGATCCTCGAGAACGATTCCATCTTGCGCCCTCTTGCTGTTCTGTAGTGGCCGCCGACACTCCTTCCCCAGTGGAGCAGCCGCATTTCGTAACACAGATTTGCGCGCGCAGCGATGCACAAGGACTTGTCCTCACGCCCGCGCAGGGTCAAGTATTCGTACTCTGGTCGATTCTGGAGCTGTTGGCAATCGCCAACACTCGCAGCACGACTTCCTCTTGCTGTCGCCATCGCTGCTGCGGGGGCGACAAAAGGCCCACCGCTGCTGCTGCTTTGGCCCTCCGCTGCTGACGCCCCCGCTGCTGCGGGGGCGTCCGCCTGCAGCGGCGGTGGTCTCCCTGGCCGCTGTAGGATTGACTCCATCTGCTCCTCACATTCCGCAAAGCACGCCACGAGAGCAGGGCAATGCCGCAGCTGCAACTCAAGTCTCCGCCGCTGGTCCGCGTGGTTGGTCTCGCTCGGCATGGAACCCCAGTTCCCGAACAGGACGGAAAGGTTGCCCACGTTGTCGTTCCGTGGCCTGTTCACGTCAGCCGCTCTTCTTTCGCAGAAGAATTTTGGCGGGACGGTGTCGCGAAGAACGCATTCGCGCCGCTCGACGTCGTTGGGCGGCCTGCAGCCCCTAAATTCCTGAGGCTCTTCGTCATCGCTCGGATCCACCACGGAGTCGCCTGGGCGGGTGCGTATCGTAGAAACTTCTGATCGCGCCGCCGCTGCTGAGCTTGAGACGCCAGGCGGCGCAGCCCCCGCTGCTGCGGGGGCGCGCTCTGGCACAAGGGCCCAAGGACCCTTCCAGGGTTCTGCCTGACCACCTACAGGTCGCCAAACCTTCCCAGATTTCGCTGTGAACACTGCCGTCAGTCGGCCCCGAGGCCCCGCTGCTGCGGGGCCCAATGGGCTGCTGCTGCTGCTGGCGGCCGCGGCCATCGCTCCCTGCCCCCGCGTTGCAGGGGGGGCGGCCGTCACAGCCGAACTCCTGGGGCCGAAACGGCGGTGGAAGGAGGGGGACGGGGCGAAGAGGAGGAAGACGGGGCGGATAGGGAAGGAAAGGGCGGGCAGAGAGAGAGGAGAGAGAGAGAGAGGGAGAGACAGGGAGATAGTGAGAGAGGGAGAGAGAGAGAGAGAGAGAGAGAGAGAGAGAGAGAGAGAGAGAGAGAGAGAGAGAGACGGACGACGATAACGAGAGAGAGAGAGAGAGAGAGAGAGAGGGATAGAGAGAGGAATGATATAATGACCAGGAGAGATCAGGGAGAAGGAGGGGGGAGAGCAGGAGGAGGGGCGGAGTGATCGACACCCGCGTGGTTTTCTCCCCCTGCCCTCTCTCCCCCTCCTCTCACCTCCTCCCCCGTCCCCCCTCCCCCCTGTTTTTTCTGCGCAAGGCCTGCGCTACGTCCGCGCGCGCACGCGGCACCTCAGTCGCAGGCAGGTGGGAGAGCAGTGGCTGCTGCCCGAACTCACACCCCGCGCCTCGCCGCTGCCGCGGCGGGCCGCGCCTCTCAGAGGCCCCCAGCTGCAGGGAGCGCAAGCGCCAGGGAGCCAGACAGACGGCGTCACGTCTCACTGTGCACAAACATGCTGAAAGCTCTCGGGTTGCCCCCCAAGAACCCGTCTATGACGTTCTGCAACCATGTGGCAAACGTCTCCGGCCACTTTCCACCGAAGTCCTCCATGCCAGCGGCGTCCCATTCCCGCCGAAACCAGTCAAAATCTGACCGCTGAGCTGCAGAAAGCCCAGAACCCAAAATCGCACGGCGATTCAGCGCGTCGTACCTCGACGTTCGACCCGCCACGCCTCCGCAGCTGCGAAGGCCCGCGCCCAGCTCGGATAACCCGACATGCTTCATCCTGTGTTTGATATCTATGGCTGCCTCTGCGTCTAAGAGTTTGGCTTGCTGTGTCCTCAGCAGCTTGCGCGCTTTCTTTACGTCGTCCCCCAGGCGGGTTAGCTCTTCTCTGCGCCGCGCCTCGACATCCCGCTGTCGTTTCTCGTTTCTGAGCGTCGCCTCGCGGGCGTCCTCGTATGCTGCGAGGGCTCGCTGAACCCCAGGATCTTCCTTCGACACTTCACGCACTCGCCTCCGTTCTTTCCGTAATTGCGTCTCCATGAACGTGGCCCCCGCGATGTCGCCCCAGCTGCGCAACTCCTCAGCGATCGACGAATACGTTCTCATCAATTCAGACGTCTGCTCCGCAGTTTCCATACGAGACGTCGACAGGCCAGGCGGTGCCTCCAGCGCGCTCTCCCCCGCCGCTGCTGCGGTGAGACTTTGATTGGCCCATTCGTAGTCAAACTCGCCAGCGGCGCTCCACCCGTCGTCGTCCTCGCTCCCATCATCTTCATCTCCTTCGAGGGCGTCGACGGAATTGCCACCCTCAGTGCCCCCGCTGCTGCGGAGACCCTCGGCTGCGTCTTCCGCCCCCTCCATGCCATGCCAAATCTTGTCGCCCTCGTCCAGGGCCGCGTCGTCTCCAAGGTTTGCGAACACGTCGTCGCAGTGGCCGCGTCGAGGGTGCGGGAGGACCAATCGCATGATGTCGTTGTAAGTCCAT